AGCTTTAGTAAACTTTTTTTATAATATTAATAATATTAAAATTATAAGTTTTTATAATAATAATAAGAATTATAATAATAATTATTATTAGTTTTTTATTATTTTTAATTATTATAATTATTTATAATAAACTTTAATTAATTATTAATTTAATTTTAATTATTATAAAAGTTTATTATTTTTATATAAATTATATTATTTTATTAAATAATTTTTTATATTATATATATAATTTATTTTTAAAAATTATTATTACTTATTATAATTTAATAAAATAATTACTTTATTTAATTTAATTAAGTTATTAAATTATAAATTATAAACTTAAAGTTAATTATATTATATTTAACCTTTATTATTTAAGTTTTTTTATATATTTTAAATTTAAATTTAAACTTTAATTAATAATTATACTTTATAATTTAAATTTTTAAAATTTAATTTAATTAATTATAATTATTTAAATTATATTATAAATTAATTTTAAATTTTAAATTTAAAACTAAAATATAATTTATTTTTAATTTAATTATTATAACTTTATTAAACTTTTTAATAATAAATATAAGCTTTATAATATAAGGAATTATTTAATAAAATAATATATTTTATTATAAAAACTTATATAAAATTAATAAACTTTTATAAAAATTATATTTATTATTAAAAAGTTTAATAAAACTATAATAATTAAGTTAAAAAAAATTATATTTTAGTTTTTAATTTAAAATTTAGAATTAATTTATAATTAAACTTAATTAATTATAATTAATTAAGTGAAATTTTAAAAATTTAAATTATAAAATATAATTATTAATTAAAGTCTAAATTATATTTAAAATATAAATAAAAACTTAAATAATAAAGTTTAAATATAATATAATTAACTTTATATTTTATTATTTATAATTTAATAATTTAATTAAATTAAATAAAGTAATTATTTTATTAAATTATAATAAATAATAATAATTTTTAAAAATAATATATATATATAATATTTTTAAAATTAAAAAAATTACTTTATAAAATTATATACTTTAATTATTTATTAAAAAATAATTATTACAAAAACTCTTAAATAATAATTATAAGTTAACTTTAATTTTAAATATATAATAAAATAACTAAGTAAATAATTAAATTTATAATTAATAAAATTATAAATTTAAAATTTAAAACTTTAAAAAAAATCTAAAGTTATATAAAGTAAAATATAAGTTAAATTAACTAAAAAGTATTAAAAACCCTAAGTTAAGTAAAAGAAATTAAGAAAATTATTAAGAAAGCTAAAAAAGTAATAAAAGGTTTTTATAATTAATTTTTTTAAGTAATTTATTTTTTATACTTAGGAAAGAAATTATATATATAATATAAAAAACTATGTAATATAATTATATACTTTAGTTAATTAAAAGAAATAATTATTATAAAAGCCCCTAAGTATTAATTATAACTTAACTTTAACTTAAAATATATAATAAAATAATTAAGTAAATAAATAATTATATAAATAATTAAATTTATAATTAATAAAATTATAAATTAAGAATTAAAAACTTTAAAAAAGGAAAAACTAAAGCTAAGTAAAATAGTTTATAAATTAACTTAATTAAAAAATATTAAAAACTTTAAGTTAAGTAAAAAAATTAAGAAAGTTATTAAAGAAATTAATAAAATAGCCTAAAATAATAAATAAAATTTATATAATTATATATATATAATTAATTTAATTAATTAATTAATTAAAAGTATATATTATTAAATATTTATTTATAATATATATAACTTTATTTAAGTAATTTAAAAAAAAACTTTTAATTAAATTTAATATAATTTTATTACTTAAATTCTAAAATAAATAATAATTAAAAAAAATTTTTTATTAACTTATATAATTCTAAAACCTAAAGTTAAGAATTAATAAATTAAATTAAAAAACTTAGTTTATTATATTTTCTTAATATATTATTACTTAATAAAATATATCTCTCTTAAGTATAAAAAATAAACTACTTAAAAAAAACTAATTATAAAAAAGCCTTTATATATAGTTACTTTATTAGCTTTTTTAATAATTTTCTTAATCCTTTTACTTAGCTTAAGGTTTTTAATACCCTTTAGCTAGTTTAACTTATATTTTACTTTACTTAACTTTAGTTTTTTTTTTTAAAGTTTTTAATTATAAATCTATAATTTTATTAATTATAAATTTAGCTATTTACTTAGTTATTTTACTTAAGTTAAGGTTAAGTTATAGCTATTACTTAGGAGCTTTTATAATAGTTATTTTTTTTAATAAGTAAATATATAGTTTTATTAAGTAGTTTTTTAATTTTAAAAGTATTATATATATAATTTATTTTTAAATAGGATTATTACTGCCTTTTATAACCTAATAAAATAATATAATAGCTTATTTAGTTTAATTAAGTTATTAAACTATAAATTATAGGCTTAAAGCTAGTTATATTATACTTAAACTTTATTATTTAGGCTTTTTTATATATTTTAAGTTTAGTTTTAAACCTTAATATAGTAATTATACTTTATAACTTAAATTTTTAAGGTTTAACTTAGTTAACTATAGTTAATTAAGTTAAGCTATAAATTAATTCTGGATTTTAAACTAAAGGCTAAGGTATAGTTTTTCTTTAATTTAATTATTATAGCTTTATTAAACCTTTTAATAATAAATATAATCTTTATAAAGTATATAATATATAAAAGTTATATTTATTATTAAAAAGTTTAATAAAGCTATAATAACTAAATTAAAAAAAGTTATACTTTAGCTTTTAGTTTAAAATTTAAAATTAATTTATAAGTTAACTTAATTAAATATAATTAATTAAGTTAAATTTTAAAAATTTAAATTATGAAATATAATTAATTAAAATTTAAAACTAAAGTTAAAATATATAAAAAAGCTTAATTAATAAAATTTAAGTATAATATAAGCTTTAAGTTTATAATTTATAATTTAATAATTACTTTTATAATATAATAATATATACCTAAAGGTTTTATAATATTTCCTTAAGTATTTATAAAGTAATTAATTTAAATTTAATTAAAAAACTTTATATTAATAAACTAATTATTTTATTTATTAAATAATTAAAATATTATAATATTTAAGTTTTTAAGCTAAACTTAATAACTACTACCTAAAGTTAATATATAATTAAGCTATATTTTATATAATAATAAAAACCTAGCTTAATAATATTAAACTAAAGCTATTATTTAATATAAAAGCTAGTATTACCTAGGGTATATTTAAAAAGTTAAATTAATAAGCCTTTTTATAGTAAAAGGCTATTATAATAATATAAAGTATTAAATATAGTTTATAATAGCTATAAACTAATTAATATTACTTATTTAATTAATAAGTAATTTTTCTTAAAGGGCTAAGAATAAAGTAAATTTAAGTTATTATAGTTATAAACTATAGTAAGTATAAATTACTTTAGTAATAAAAAAGAAATATAAAAGTTTTTATTTTAGTAATAAGTATAGGTTTTTTATAAAGGGTTTTTTTTACTATAAGGAAATATATAAAGGGATTAAAAATAGTTATTATTAGTTAATTAATTATTTAAAGTAATATTATTATTATTATAGTTTAATAACTTAATTAAATTAAATAAGTTAATTATTTTATTAAATTATAAAAAATAATAATAATTCTTAAAAATAAATTATATATATAATATAAAAAATTACTTAATAAAATAATATATTATAAAAGTAATAAATTTTTATAATAATTAAAAATAAGTTAATAATTAACTAAAGTTATAAATAATTATAATAATTAAAAATAATAAAAAACTAATAATAATTATTATTAAAATAATAATTATTATTATAAAGATTTATAATTTTAATATTATTAATATTATAAAAAAAGTTTACTAAAGTTTAAAAAATAAATAAAGTAAAAAAAAGTAACTTAAATTAATTATAAAAAAAATATAAATTAACTAGGCTATTATTAATTAATAATTACTAAATAAAAGTTTAATAATAATTATTTTAATTTTAGTTCTTAAGTAATTTATTTTTTATACTTAAGAGAGTTATATAAAGTATATTATTTTATTAAATACTTTTTATTAAAAATATTATATTTATAATTTTTTTTTAAAAATTATTATTATTATTTATAATTTAATAAAATAAAATAATAACTTATTTAATTTAATTTAATTATTAAATTATAAATTATAAGCTTAAAGTTAATTATATAATACTTAAACTTTATTATTTAGGCCTTTTTTATATATATTTTAAGTTTAATTTTAAATTTTAATTAATAATTATACTTTATAACTTAAATTTTTCTAAGTTTAACTTAATTAATTATAATTAATTAAGTTAAGTTATATATTAATATTAGATTTTAAACTAAAGGCTAAAGTATAATTTTTTTAACTTAGCTATTATAGCTTTACTAAACCTCTTAATAATAAATATAATTTTTACTTTTATATTAATAATATATAATTATTTAAGTATTTTAAGAAATAATATAAAGTAAACTTATATATTTAATTATATATTCTAAATTATAGTAAAAAGCTAGCTTTTTTTACCTTTCTTATAATAAATTATTAAAAAAATTAGCGTTCCTAGCTTTTCAATCTAACAGCTGCGACAGCCCTAATTAGCCTGTTAGTCTATAGTTAATCCGGTCCGGCCTACCTTATAGGTCCCTTGTCACAGCCATAAGAGCTGGGTCGTGACAACCTATCTATAACACAAGGTCCTGCCGTCTCAGCCTTGCTCATTGACCTTTTACCATGCGTACTTCGATATACTATGATATATTATGGCACTGGAACTCGAAGGGCTAATCGCTCGTCTATTGCTCGTTATCTCATGTGCCGGTGAACAGGGTATGATCCCCCTTGCGTTTCATTTTTTTTTGCCTTCGGCATCAAAATTAAGAATCTTGTTCTAGCACGTTGAAATAGCTAAATACTCATCGGATGACGGTTGTTAATGCTTACCACATAGGTCTCTCAATCTCGGAATTCAACGATGCTGCCAAATTAGCACTCTGCCTGTCTGACAGTGCTGCTTCCTTCCACAACAACCAAGATGTCAATCTTCAGGATTCAGGATCGAAATTCTCGGATCATGCAGTCGCTACAATCTGGAAATGGCTTGTCCGGCGGACCGATATATCCATTGGGCCTCGCCGAAATTTCAACCACTTAACGTTCTCAGAGGTGTTGGCATTGGAAAAGCCCAGCAAGGGTCGGAATACTCGCCCGGAGGTAGATTCTGCCAACCGCAATGGGCGGGCGCAGCAAGCCATTGTATCTACTGCCTTGGGGCGTGGCGAGCACAATGTCATTCGAATATACGCTTCTCCGGAGATAATGTGGGAGGCTATCACTGGACATGCGATAGATTATAAGCGCGTCCCTCGTTCCGAATGGCTTTTGCTTCTTGGCATCGCCTCAACGAAGGCACAGGGGATATTGCAAGGTGACCTTGGTCGCCTGGTTGACCAAGACAAACGCTCAGTACCAAAGCGAACGGATGCACTAGTCAAGAAAGGGTATATCACCAAGCGAACGACTCTTGTTCGGGGAACAAAAACAAGCAAAATGTGGCTCAAATTGTTTGCTCCTCCATTGCCAAAAGACAGGAGCGCAGCCGCGGAACCGGAAGCCGAGATGAATCTTTCCCGCCAGGTCCTTGCCATTAACCTCGAAGCTGTTCCTTGGCACACGAGATGGACTGGGGAGTCTGTCGATTACACAGCATTAGCAACCACTATAATGGCAATCTGTAAGGAATGGGGTGTTTTACGCATGCAAGATTTGAAATCGAAGTTGGGTGTTCTTGGCATGCGGTGGCAAATGAAAGTGGTTTCCAAAGTCTGCCGATTTCTGAATGCGCGAGATGCGATCCGTTATGTTGCTGCAAAATTGAACAACAAAGTTTTCAATGACTGTGTTCAGTTCAATCGTGATCTGACACCCAAAGATTGGTCTATATTCCTCGCAACTGGAAAGCGGGCCGGCAAGCTTGCTAGGTCCAGCGAACTCTATAGCCAAGATAGCCAAGACGTTACCGACTCCCTTTTCAATCAAACAGCCTCTTCAAAATGTCTAGAGGTCGCTCCAACGTGGTCATCAGATCAACCCTTGGCTGCTACTATTACAAAAAGCATAATGGCGTGCGGCGAGGCAGGTTTGACGAATCCGGATGTGTATGGGCTTACGCTAGGTGTATCTTTTACACGTTTTTTATCCTCCTTAACGACATGTATTTCCACGCCAAATATCCAGCCGGCTCAGCTACAGCATCTTCAAGTGAGGAGTGAGCACTCGAGAGCTGGAAAAGTTGCATCATATAAATACTCGCTGCCGTCTCTTCCACAGGCTTCGCTTTGGGGGCTTCAGTCGCCAGATACTTTGCCAACCAGTGTCCAACAGGAGGATCACGAGGGACGAACCGACTCACACCTATCATACGGGTTCTCACAAGAATTATATTCCATTGGAAGTTCAAAGTTAGCTAATCTCAGTCAGGCTAACTTATCTCAAAGGAGACAGAGAGGCAGGCCTCGGAAGATTAGAGCAGAGCATCAGGTTGATCAGAATAGTGATCAAAACAGTCTACAAAAGGCATCGCATAGCAGCCATCCAGGTGTCGATCTCGCAAATGAAGATGACACTGATGCGAGAGACTCAATGATCATCAAGTTAAAAGCACCACAAGATGCTCTAGAAGAGCTCATGAACCCGCCTCCTGAACCGCAGGTAGCTAGTCAAGAAACCGATCTCATTGAATCCGAGCCAGCAACAGCAGAAGCAGCGCCGGACATCCTCGCTGGCGATCTATCTGAAGTCATAAATACATCGTCATCACCTAATTTACGAATGCCTATGGAATCCCCTCGATCTATAGGTCGTGGACGGGGCCGAGGGCGTGGCCGAGGATTAAGCCGCCTTAGTAACAGGGGGCAGGCTGAATCTTTTACCAACGACACAGTCAAACGCAAAGGGTGGAAGTGTGACAAGTGTGGCAGGACTTGGAAGAATGATATCGGCCTGAAATATCATCTCGAAAAGTCTCAAACTTCTTGTAACCCATCTTATAGCCCGTCTAATGTCGATGGATTCCGCAGAGAGATTAAGTCTGCCCCTCGTTCAACGAGTGCAACCAAGCCGGCCGAGATCCCCCATGCGGCTCCTGCCCCATTGACAAGGGCTTCACGTCGGGTGGACATGGGTAAACCAACTGAACAGAAAGAAGGTGCAGAAAAGGAACAAGAAGATGACGACGTAGAGACCTCGAGATTCAGGCTGTCACCAGCAGAAACGAGACTCAGAGTTGGTAAATATTCACATTATACGACATCACCAACTGGTCTCCGTCGCCCAAAAGAGATTTTTAGTTTCAGTCAACTTTTCAATGCCCAATCCAATCCAGACCATAGAAACGCTTTGAGTCTTTCGTCTCTTCCACAGGAGCAGGTTGCTATTCTACGGGTGGATATGAGGCAATCAAATCAGATGCTTGGCTTAAAAAATCGAAAATCTAATACCAACCAATTGGAGACCCTTTCAGTTACCGGACCTGACTTGAACCAGCCTAGACAGCATTCAAGCTTCACCCCCCTTGTCAGAGAGATAGATGTTTCGGAGAATGCCGAGAAAACATGTAAACCTGATTATGAGACTACGTCCCCAGCATATGGCACAGACAAGACAGAGGTGAGAACGGCTACCAGCGAGCCATCAAATGGGCCCGTGTCTGGCAATACGGCAAGTGGGGTTTCAAAGAAGAAGCCTCTCAGAAATGAGGTTACTGACCAAATCTCTGCACTTCTGATGGATATGCTCGCCCAACGAGATGGCGTCCTTCCCGGAGGGCATTCTCTTTGGCATGCTCTCACCACCGTATGGAATACTAGACATCCCGAGAAACCAGTACCGAAAACGAAAGACTACCAGGTGGCTCTAAATCGAATGATCAAAGCCAAGTCAGTCCTAGAGCATTGGCATGGCTTTCAAGATCATAGTGGACTCTTCTCCAAATGCCAGATCATTACGTTGCCGCATCTTGATGCCTTCTCTGCGGAAGCGCTGAATGTTGTGGAGAGTATTAAGCAACAGCACCCCCGGCTCTTCATACCCACGCCGTTTCGGTCTTCGGGCAATGATGTTGAATATGGAGAGAGGAAGGAGAACCGCCGAGGACGTCGTATTCTTGCTGGTGAAGTTGCACAGCTGGACGCTCCAGTGTATGCTGCTCAAGCCTCAGCCAAGAGGCGCCACGGGATGATGAGCGACATAACCACTCCAAACAAGCGAAGGAAATTCGCTCATGCCGGTTCAAATAGTCCAGATATCGCATCTCTTTCCACTGCACCCCACGACAAGTATCAAGTGAGATGGGCTGCAACCAGCTGGCCGTCCGACAATGCTGAGGCCTCAAGTCAAAACAACCGCAGCATGGTTCATCCGACTCATGAAGCAAAGATACAATTCTTGGCACCGAACGTATTCCTAGATGACGATTGGTCTATTAACGATCACGGAATGCCACAAGGAATAGCACGGCCCCTCCGATTTTCTGATACGAATGCTACATTCGAAGACTCATCCACCGCTGTCGCCGTAAAGGTTACTATGACCGAATCTATGCAAATTTCGGCTAAGGATGGAAACTGGCCATATCTCGAATTGCATTTTTTTGAGGAAAAAAGCACCAGCTCTAGCTTCACATTATGTGGCTGGATGCCTGATGCAGAGTGGTTTCGTTGGGCTGATATGGTCCAAGGCCTTGACAAACGTATATCCGAGAATGAGACTGGAAGTCTAACATACGCTTTTAATACCGAAGCTGCTTACGACGGATTCATGAAAGGGTTAATCGATTGTCTCGATCTAGAGCTAGCTCAAAGAGAGCAGTTCATCAACGCATCACCACTGGCTGCTGGTCCATACAATTTATTCGTGAATCTTTCAGCTGGTTTCGAAAGTGCTACTTCATTATCTAGTCTAAAGTGGCAGCGCCAGGGGCCATTAAATCCCCAATCTGTTGACCGGATTTTGCACGAATCAGACGCCTTGACATCAAGCGATGACGAAGACTCCCAGTTCAGCTTGGATGCTTCAGTCCTAAGATATTCAAGGCGTCCCCTGAATGCTGGCGACATGGCACAATCAAGGATCAAAAGGGTGGCTCTGATAACTCGCCCACTTACCTCAATATCCTCAAGGGAAACACACAGGATAGACGAACCGGGGGCACTGGAGATAGAGGACGGCCAGTTGGCAAGCCAAGGAGACCTCATGGCCGCCTTTGTCGTCGTCCGAGTCTTGCTTGGAGGTGCAGATAAAGCCATCGATTGGGGCCTTTTACTTCATATCTTCCCGAACATGCGGCTGGCTGGCTTGCGTAAATTCTGGGCAGCCGCATGTAAGGAGCAGGGGCCTCATATAAAAAAATTTACCCGAGATGTTCAAGAACGGCTGATCGAAGCTTTTGAAAGCCTTGAACTCCCTATGCTAGACTTTGAAAATCCGATTGAATATGATTGGCAAATCCTTATTAAATGGGCGACTAGGATCTCTCGCCAGGAAGGCTATCAAATCCCGCGGACAAGAGCCCTTCTTGCCCACCGATTCTTACTCAAAGCCAACAGATCTAGCGAGGAAGATTGGTGTGAGAGATACTTCCATGCTCAATCGTCGATTTTTTCCAGGTTTGAGGCGGTCACATCAGAACCCGGTGCACTTCCAGTCAATCGAGCCTTTGATTGTATTGATGATAATGCCGAGGCCGCGAATGCAGATATTGCAAGGTCATGGATCAAGTCACTTTGCTGCACCGGCGAAGCGAAATACTCTGTGCGAAAGATTAAAGAAAAATTTCTCACTTTGTCAGGGGAAGGCACAGAACAAGGCTCGGTACTACTTAAGGAAGCCATCGATGAACTTACAGCTCAAAGGGTCATTTGCAGGAGCAAAAAGACGCCATTTGGAGGGCGTCCATATAGGCTGAGCGAATGGTATCTGTCAACGTTGAGCAGGGTGGCGCAACGCTCAAAATACGAAGAGGCAGCAGCTTTCAAAATACGCATGGATAGCATATTCCGTACGGGTGAGGCGTTTGAGATACCGTACACTCTGAATGACGGCTCTATGATGGCACTAACGAACTTGAATGCCGCCGGAAGAATTACACTTGCTCCATTGAACATACCGAATATCCCCTTTGGGTTCGAGCCGGGCAATTATGAGAGTCGAAAGTATCCTAAATCTTATTATCATTTCCGACTTCAGGCTGTTCCAACAGACCTGTACCAGTACAGCGATGGCATTGCCGTGCTACAAGCTGTGACGAAAGAAGATTTGCCCTCTACGACTTCGAAGGGGGAAATACCTCAGTGGATTGACTTTTTGGGGGAGAAAGACAGCAAGAGGTGGTCCGATATATTGGGAGCCATTTGTTTTACTTATGCCACCAAAGGACCCATGGCTATCAGAGACGTTTGTAACTCTTTGCGGCCGATTCTTGATGAATTTGAGGCGAGTCTCATTGTAAGCTGGGGCATGAAAACCGGCGTTTTTGAAGAGGCCATGGGTGGATTGGCTGTAACTGTGGGAGAGTGGTGGTGGCTGGCTGTACCATGGCAATACAGTCGACAATGAGAGCATGCTCGCAGCAAGTAGATAGCCTTTCCATACTAAGGTAGTGAATTTCCCCTTTCTAAATGACGCATGTGCTCCTAGATATCAGGTAGTAGTAGTTACGGTAGGGCCACGCTTTGAACGCTCCAGAATTGATGATTATAATTCGACTTCATTGGCTGTTGGCCGTGCTATTATTGACCCATGGATGTCTACTTCGCGCATCTGACCTAAATATTACTGATTGTTCAAATGCAAGGGGGGGAGGAAGCCCCAGAAAGCCCTCTTCCCAACTATAGGGCGGCTGGTTATGTACTAAACAAAACTTTGAGAACAAGTGCAAACAACAAAATGACCAAAGCTATAATCACTCTGTCTATCCACGGTGGGACTCCATCGCTTCCGGCTCTTGTCTGATTAGCAGTTGAAGAGTTTCGCCGAGTTTCGGGGGAGGGCATCGGGAGTGATGGTGCGACTACGTTGTTTGGGATACTGGGTGCGGTCTGGACAAATCCCTCTGCCAGCTCAGCTTCGTCAGAGATCTCATCATTTCGATCAGGTACACGTGAGCCCTTTGACGGATGAGCTGAGGGTGATTGGCCCTTCCCAGCAGCCTCCAGCTCATCTCTCCAGCCCATGTTTAGCTCGGCGGGAATTGATATATCCTGGCATGGAGAAGCGGTTTGTTTACAGCGGTCTTCGCATTCAGCGATGATGTCGGCGTTTGTTCTGGCACAGACTGCGCATTTGAAGGACGCTGATTCTTGAGCAAGGCGGCGGCGGACCGCTTCAGTGGTCTCCAGACCACCTAGTTGACCTAGAACATCCGTTTCCATGAAGCTGCGGAGCCTGTGTCATTACCGTCATCAGTTAGATATCAAGGGCTGATAGGGACATGCGATGGAACGTGGAGGTCCTACGCGACAAGGGCAGTTCGGATACCCCAGGCTGGCTGCCATGTCTCTTCATGGTGACCACTTATGCTAAGGCAAATCTCCCGGTTGGCCTCGAAGCGGCCGTTTGGAGTGGAGAAGCGAAAGCTTGGAGGCCGGAGAGGATACGCTGGAGGCAAGATAATACGGCCATGGTAAACACCCTGGCTGTATGGGGAATTTGGAGGGCCTCGGAGGGTGAAGTGCCATTCAAAGAGATCCGACTCTAATGGCTCCGCGGTGTAATCGGGAGACGGCGCATTTGAGAGCTCTGCAGCCTCGCGGACTGGGAGATGCCCGAGTTAGTGCTTCTACGAAGGATGAGACATGACTCTCTGCCCTCCTGTCTTGAAGAGGTCGGGGAGAGGGGACTAACGTATGCGTCGAATAGTGGGGGATTTAGTGTTAGTTGACGCCGCCATTGGCCGCAGATATCCTTGTGAGTGACCCGATGGGCTGTGAGCTGGGCAGATGGCGAACGGTGATGTCAGAAAGATGGTCGTCGATGTTCGGCGTCACAAGAGGAAGTGGATGGAGAGGGAGGTCTGAATAGCGAGGATCGCGGAGTGGCAGTGAGGTATGTAGGAAACAGATTGCATTTGGGAAGTTGGTTCCAAGTGTCCACAAATAAGAGGTCACCGTGGTCTTAATCTGCGACACAAAGATATGATGATGAAAGATGACCTACCAGGCTTACCTACCTGTACCTGGCACCTGGCAGACAAGGTATACCTGTATGTACTTAGTACCTTAGTACCTTAGTAGTTACCTGTATTTGGGCATCTGCCGAAGCGTCCTTGAAAGGCTCGGAGAGGCCACAACAGCCGCTAGGATTAATGGATAATTATACGTTTTCTTTATGCATTTCGAACATGAAAGTAGTTTTTCTCGTCACCATAAATTCAAGACTGGGCTCAGGCAATAGATGTCAAATCTGAAGAATAGAAAAAAGGGTCAATATATTACAGGGTATGCTTGCGCATTCAAGAATGGACAAGGTACGCAACTGCTTCGTACAGCCAGCTCGCTAACAAGTTTACCCGTAGACTGCTAGCAAAGCTGCTAACGGGTTGCTACGATAACCCCTCTATAACGATGATTGCTTCGCGGGATGTTGATTGTTCAAGTGGGGCCTTATTGCTCCACGCTGTCCAGAGTCTCAGCTTAGACTGCTAGCTGTCCTCATAGCGGTGCTCGTGCTTGCAAACGTGTTATCATTTTAAACAAATGATATACAAACCAGTCGAAAACCCTCTCCCTCAGCAACCCCGAGAATCCCACACCCGCGTCACATCAATTGCGGCCCTACCAACCAAGCTGTACTTTCTGTGCCAACACATCATCCGGCTGAGCTGAGCGTCCAGCGACTTGGCTCGATTTATCAATGGACTACGAAGCAGTCAAGGAGCAATGGAGCGAGGTGGAAGATCGCGATGGCGTTCGCCTTAGCTGGAATGTCTTCCCCAGCTCTCGAATGGTATTGATCCCGTTCTGCGTACACTTCCTGCTTGCTCATAGATCAAACAGGAAGCCTCGAGACTAGTAGTGCCCATTGGCGCTCTATTCACCCCGCTGAAAGAGAAGCCCGAGACGCCTCTACTTCAATTCGAGCCCGTCACATGCAAGCAGCCTTGTCGATCGGTCCTCAATCCGTTCTGGTAAAGCTCTCCCGCAGCTAAACGGTTTCCTTGATCTCTCGTGTAGGGCGTCTAACTGATGGACATATTAGCCAAGTCGATGTTCGTGCTCGAGTATGGATCTGCCCATTCTGTTTGTCAAGAAACCAGCTCCCGGCGCATTACAAGGACATCACCGCGAATGCGATCCCACCGGAGCTGCACCCTGCCAATACTACCATCGAATATAGGCTGTCAAGGCCTGCCCCTGCGCCACCTCTGTTCCTGTACGTGGTTGATCTATGTCAAGAGGAGGACAGCTTGTCTGCACTCAAGGAATCACTCGTCATGAGCCTCAGCCTGCTCCCGGAAAATGCGCTGGTTGGCCTCATCACTTACGGTACCATGGTATGCTTATTCTACACCTCTGTATGTGAACGGGAATTAACTGTTCCTAGGCCCAAGTCCACGAGATTGGCTATGAAGGTTGCGCCAAATCGTATGTTTTCCGCGGAAGCAAGGACTACTCCGCCAAGAATGTCCAAGATATGCTAGGGCTGTCTTCTCAGGGTGTACGACCTGGAGTGCCACCACAGGCAGGTCGCCCAATGAATGCCGGAGCTGCGACGAGATTTCTCCTGCCTGTTCAGCAAGCCGAATTCCAGCTCACCAAGGTTCTGGAGGCACTACAAAAAGATCCTTGGCCAACTGCCAGCGACCGGAGAAGCCTTCGTTGCACAGGTGTCGCTTTGAGTGTTGCCATCGGGCTGATGGAGTCAACATTCCAAAACTCTGGTGGCCGCATCATGCTCTTTGCTGGCGGGCCTGCCACTGAAGGCCCCGGCATGGTTGTCGGTCCGGAATTAAGGGAGCCGATTCGTTCACATCACGACATTGATCGCGATAATGTCAAGTGCTACAAGAAGGCGTTGAAGGTGAAGTCATTGAGATTGAATAGAGTATCACTACGCGGGAAACTAACATGGCTGATAGTTCTACGATAACCTTGCCAAGCGCACGGCTCATAATGGGCACATCATAGATATATTCGCAGGCTGCCTCGACCAGGTTGGCTTATTGGAAATGAAGGGGCTTTGCAACTCGACAGGAGGTCATATGATTCTCACCGACAGCTTCACATCTTCGATGTTCAAGCAATCATTTGTCCGCATATTCGAAAAGGACGGCGACGATAATCTCCTAATGGGCTTCAATGCAGTGCTCGAGGTGCTGACGACCAAGGAGCTTAAAGTCACTGGCCTAATCGGACATGCAGTATCCCTCAACAAGAAGTCGGTCTCGGTTGGTGAGACAGAATGTGGTATTGGTAATACCTGCTCATGGAAAATGTGTGGCATCGACCCCAATTCCAGCTATGGTATCTATTTTGAAGTTGCCAACCAAGGACCGGCAGCTCATCAACAGGCACCCCAAAAGGGAATGATGCAGTTCTTGACATATTACCAGCATTCCTCGGGCCAGTTCCACCTTCGAGTAACAACTATTGCTCGAAACTTGAGTGGCCCTGCCGGAGACCCGGCTATTGCACAGTCTTTCGACCAAGAGGCAGCAGCAGTCCTCATGTCGCGGATAGCTGTTTTCAAGGCCGAAGTCGACGATGGCCCCGATGTGCTTCGCTGGGTGGATAGGATGTTGATTCGGCTTTGCTCCAGATTTGCAGACTATCGCAAAGATGACCCAACGTCGTTCCGCTTGGAGAAGAATTTCACCCTCTATCCCCAGTTCATGTTCCACCTCCGGAGAAGTCAGTTCCTACAAGTTTTCAACAACTCGCCCGATGAGACTGCGTTTTATCGTCATGTGTTGAACCACGAAGACGTCAGCAACTCCCTCGTCATGATTCAACCCACTCTGGACTCGTACACATTTGATCAGGACGGCGGCCAGCCAGTGCTACTCGACTCTGCGTCCATTCAGCCGACCCATATCTTGCTGCTGGATACTTTCTTCCACATTCTCATCTTCCATGGCGAAACTATTGCTGAGTGGCGGAAGGCTGGTTACCAAGAGCAAGAAGGATACGAAAACTTTGCTGCTCTGTTGGAACAGCCAAAGGAAGATGCCAGAGTAAGCATATGAAGTGAATACTTATGTAGTAAAGGCTAACATTGCTCCTTAGGACCTCATCACAGATCGATTTCCGCTGCCTAGATTCATCATTTGCGATGCAGGCGGCTCCCAAGCCAGATTCCTGCTATCCAAACTTAACCCGTCAACCACGCACACGACGGGACCTTACGGCGGTGTGGGGGCAACATCTGCCCAAACCATTTTCACTGATGATGTTTCCCTGCAGACTTTTATGGACCATTTGATGAAGTACGATATATAAACAGACCCACCTGTAATGCAAGACATACTGACGACTACGATAGGCTCGCTGTTAGTGGCACGAATTGAAATGGGCAATTTAACAATGGGTGGGACTATGAGAGTCCAACGAGCTATCAGAAGCACCAGCCTCCAATGGAAAGAAAAAAAGGTTAAAAATTAGAAGAAATACAATCCCTCAATCCACCAAACGCAGACACAAATACGGCTCTAGCTTCAAGTCTAATGATAATAATAGAACTATTTGCTGATGACAATATGAAGAATCTCACAGTTCCCTCGGGCGACCGGTAGCCAATGCTCAGTTGATTGATTTTCGCACGTTATGGGGAGCTACTAAAGTGATGTTGGTCAGCTGGAGGCGTTGCCTCAAGTCGAAGCGGAGCCAAGAACAATATGAAGGCGATAATGCAAAGAAGTGACTACATGGGCGATTCGACCCCACATTCGAGAACAATAGGATATGATGTGAATGATAGATCAATGCACCAATGCGACATGAAGAAGCCCGACGATTGATTAGCCCAGGAACAATGCTTTGGAACAGGGGCCGAAACAATTCTCCGAAGCAACTTGGAATCCCGCAGGCCATCTTCACATCCAGTTGCAATGGTATAAAGAGGCCTAGGATTTCCGCCATCTGGAAACAAAAAAATCAGTCCATCACCAACAGCTTCAATCGCATCATCTCTTCACCAATCTTACTTCTTCAACCCACAAACCATCATCAAAATGGCCAAGTTCCAGAACACCAAGACTGACAAGTCCACCACCACCCTCGGCTGCAACGTCATGGCCAAGCCCCAGACCAACAAGGACGAGTACCACACTACCCTGGGCTGCACCGTCATGGCCAAGCCTCAGGTCCAGAAGGACGAGTACCACACTACCCTGGGCTGCACCATCATGTAAAGAGTTGCACGTCTTTGAGATATCAGACGAGATTGCATCTCTCAGGAATCGGCACATACCACAATCAACGACTCACGATTCAGACGGATGGGATTCAAGTCTATTCCCAAATGTGTTATGAACAAACAATATTTTTATCTATTTATACGCAATCATTTCAACGTTTAGGCCTTGTATTCGACAAAACTGTCGAGTAGCCTGGCTTTTTCCCATCGCCAACCCTCTCAGGCTTATTGATTGGATAGGATGACGGAATGGCTGGATGAGGCAGCATGAAGCCAGCATTTATGAATCTGGAAAGGGAGGAATATGCTATTATCATGTACACTATATACCAACATTTAGTGTGAAAATCACACGCAATTATATCTTCATTTTATATTTCTAGTGATTTTTCTTTTTGATTGATCCTCATGTCCATGCACAGTCGCCTGATTACCTAACTCTCTAGTGTTACAATGGAGTATAAACGGCTAATAAATGACTGGTCTGTTCATTAATCCCTGTCGCGGGGAGATGTTAAGCGAACAGATGCAGGTACTTGTACAACGCGTGGACTTTGCCAATATACGCGAGCACAGCCCGCGCGCTGGGGCTGAATGACGCTTCACCCTGTCAATGCCGAGTCGCTTTCGCGCCCGTCAACCAACTTTACCTCTGCACTCTCACCAGCGACACACAGCCCTAGCGCCGTCAAACCCAATTGCAGGATATAAAGTTTATTGATATTTCCTTGACTACTATAGGTAAGTCGTGCGATGCTTGCTATGCCATCTCCCCCCTTGTCTCGTAGCACGAGTCCAGAAATACACAGCGTACCTACCAGGCAATATTTCAACGAGCCTCGGTCGAGATTCGCAAGACGGGCACCAATCGCAAATGACTCTAGCTAGCAGAGCGGTACCAGGGGTTTGGATGCGCTTCAAGAGTCCCTTTCCATGATAGGAGGCTGTGTCTGTGTCAGGGGAGGCAGAAGTCCGCATTTCTGGACTGCTGCAATGCAATGCGGGCGTGCTTCTGCGTAACCAGGCTTGACGTTCAACATGGCGCTTGAGCAGCCATCCTTACATCTGTCTACCCAGGCATCTCCTGCTGCTCATGTTACGCTATAGGTTGGCCAATATGGCTGTCGACCGGCGGCTCTGTGAACTCGCCCCTGTACTGCTTCAGCCTGAATTCCTTCTCTAACTTTGACTTATGGCCTATATACTAAGTCTACTGCAATCTTGGATAGTTACTGACGGTGTGCTTTGGTATCTAGGGACCTCGTCGCATACCCGCTCGTTTCAATCCACATCTCCTATTGGCACTGTCGCACCAGATATCCAACCGAGATTCTTCTTCTTTGATCTATCAGCACCAAAAATTCGATCATTTTGAGGGCTCCGTGAAGCCTCTTTCTTGAAATTTTCTTGCCCATCTGCTCAACTTGTATTTTTACCACTCGACTTACGGAAGCATCGCTTTTCCATGGCGTCATCCGAGGTGGATCAAAAGTACCTGGGTCGAATGGCCAGGAGCGTTGAAAATGATAACAACATACTCTCGTCAACGCTCTACAAGATCCTGGGCCTTTCTCTCAGGCTCTCTGACAAGCTCGTCGAGGTCAAGAAGCAGCGCAAGCCTGATGCTACGCTCCATGAAAACATCATGCGCATCCTTTGGCTGGCACGCGAAGGGCTCAAGATGCTTCAGGAATACGTCATTCCCTTTGTTAGCAATTGTGTCGAGCTGAAAGTCCTGGCATATAAGTTGCGTGCCAGCTTCTATCACATCTTTGTGCTCTTTCGAAATTCGCCCCGCGTGTCCAACATGCCGGGCTGGGATCCCGACGCCGTGCCGACTGGCCAGGTTGCGGATGACTACCAACATGCCATGCATCATTCCCTTGAAGGAGGCCCCGTTGGCCCCCCTCCTGGCTTTGAAGCCCCGGTATCGGCGCTCTCGCTCTCTTTCTTATTGCCTGCCAAAGACTACCTGCCCACAGCTAATCAATATTTTGAAGAGGCTGCGGAGTTAGCTGATAAACTTCTATGGGGCTCCCACTCCTTGCGTTTGTCGGTCAAGACAGAATACGCAGCGTTTCTGTATGAATGCGTTCACGACGCCAATGCCAGCCGCAGCCTTGCAAGAACTACGATTAATGAGGTGTATGAGGCTACGGAAGGCATGGACGATGACATGTTTCGCGATGCCTGTGAATTAGTTACCGTGTTGGGTAAGATGATGAGGCGTGGCCTTGGATCTAGCAACACACTTCACAGCAAAGCCCAGGCTTTGATTACAGCCCCCACCGCAGGCACAACTCCTCCCATCGGCATGGAAAATCCAATATAAACCTCAAAACTCTCATGGGTGACCGCAGCCGGCCGGGATCAAACCCCTCACCGAACGATGCGAGTCACCTCATTCCGCGGAAGAGCTCATGAATCCTCATTTACGAACCAGCCTTTCGCCGTGTATTTTTTCCCCAGCGTGCATAAAGCGTATCTATCTACCACTTCAAGTGAATCTAATAAACACATAGCATGTTTACAGTTTATGTTGGTATATATATATCCCTATAGTTAATGTTTAGATTATTATTTATGTATTTGTCTATCTGTTCATTTATTGGTGGAAATTTCTCTTCTATGATCTTAAGCATATTCTTTCCCTTTAATCGTGCACAGCTATGATACGCCCGAGCTCACTGCTATGGTAGTCATCAGAAGCCTGTTTCGCGCCAGCGCCCTGAGATAGATAGAGGAGGCTTTTGACTCAGTACCCTCCTTGATATGGCTTGTATCCCCCTTTCTATAGTATGTCCATATTGATCAGCTTTGGGTAATGCATTCATGTCTTCACGTCGGTCAATATCAGTGGTGAGTACCTCACTGATAGATATCACCGACTTATTCGTCCTGGAGGATCAGTCCAATGATTCTCAACTTTTCTTGTTCTTGTTCTTGTTCTTGTTCTCGTTCTTGTTCTTGTTCTTGTTCTTGTTCTTTTCTTTTCAAAATTGCCATGGCATTAGCCTAATGCTCCAGACCTAACTGCTGCCCCCATCTTGCGACGCCGTGTCGGCACATTCATCGGCGATTCACGACTGACGTCCTCGATTCCTGCGTCAAAGGGCTTGTGCCCGCTCAACGTTGCCAGCTTGATAACATTCCCATAAGCAAAGGCTACCGATGTTGGCCCGACTCTTACGCTGGGACCCAGTTCACAAACAACCAAGTGCCCTGCATCTTCGTCGGAGAACAGTGGAGCGGTTTCGTCCAACTCGTCCCAGTCACTCGACGCCGCCCTCCACAACTCCCAGCAGCTGAAGGCCCCAGAATCACGGCTTCGTGTGCTCGGTATGCGACTCCGTACTCCCGATGTAGCCTGGCGTTGATGTCCATGTCGACTTCTCGGCTCGGTGCGGGGCCGGCGACGAAGACCTAATGTGCTCCCATCGGACAAGAGACTCCAAACACCAGGATTGCCGATGTGCTTCTTCCGTTCTTTTGCATCAGCCCAGCTACACCATCCGCTGCTGGTACCTATATCGTCCATGTTCTGCAGACAAATCGCGTCGTCTTCATCCTGAGGCGTAAACGTGTGTAGAACACAGTCGCCTGAGCCCAGCGCCAAGTAGCTAAACGTGAAGGATGTCAGCCCTAATGGCAAGGCACTTGGCGATCGATGGCAGGTGAAGGCGCACGAGAGCGAGCGTGGCCGCATCTCCGCCACGGAGAAACTCCACGAGGTAATTCCATCATCCAGGCTTATAAGATGAAGATCCGTTTTGGATGATACAAGGAAATAGGGGAGTGGTGAGAGGGTTACGACTTGGTGTATTTCATCGCTTGCAAGTCTTCTAGAAAGAAGATTTCGCCTTTCCCACAATAGCCCGTTTCTTTCCATGATATGTACATCTCCATTTCGAGATGTTGCTACAAGGGAGACCCTCGGATGGTTGCCAACTGCGTAGATAGGAATCATTCTCGTTAGTCAAATATACTTCTAATACGACAACAAGGACAGATCGTGAATTCATTCACCTTTTCTCAGAAGTGGGCGGGCACATGTCAATCCTGGACAGATGGTGGTCTCGCGGGTTTCTCTCGGGGCCGGGTCTACGTCTAATGCAGTTCCGTTCCTCCATACTATGACCACTCTTGGAATATCCGATGATGCAGTTGGTTCCAGAAAGAAGGACTCTGGCTTCTGGTTGTAGGTCTCTACAGCCACGGAAGAGCCGTGGACATGGGCTATCATATTCCAAAAGATGACCATGTCGGATGATAAGATCGCCAGCCAATCCGAGTCTTCACTCATGGCAACTGCAAGTACGGGGAATTTTACCACGATTTCCCTTTCCAGGTGAGAAATTGGGCCTTTATTCCTATGGTTAAGATCCCACAGGCGAATCATACGGTCTAGGCCAACAGATATAACGTAGCCTCTTGGTGAGTAGGCGAGCATAGCTATATCGAGCGCGTGCCCCCCGGAGAGCGTTTTCACAGATAGGCTGGATTGGTCACTCGAGTCCTGCAGCTCTTCCGCCTTGGTCTCGTCTTCAGGCAGTAGGTAGCTTACGAGGAGACGCAGCAAGGCAACCACAACAATGTCGATGAAGACGAATGTACGCAGCTGGTGATGCGCAAAGTCGTATATCGCTGGGAGTAGCGCGGGTTCTTTCATCATCGGCACTCGGTTGGACCCCTTTTTTACAAACACTAAAGGCTCATAGACTCTAGCTATGTAGCTGTAGGCTGAAGGTTTGATGAGGCGGATTATTTCACGGGCGGCATCATGATCTTGCAGCCGCAGCCAGGACGTAGGAGTCCTTGCTTGGTGGATATCCTCCAAAGGGGATGCCTTGAGCGATGACATGTTGGGTTCCAAATCCTGGCCATTGTATAGGTGAGCCAGCCTCTGAGAGATATCGCCGCCACCGAAAAAGTGAGACTGCGCGATGATGACAAAGCTTATCATGACGATTGTTCCCGCAATGCGTGTTGATAATGCAATTTTCCCTTCAAGCATACGCTTCATCCAGGATGGGTTCTCCCGAGGACGACGTGCTTTTCGTTTGCGGCGCATGGCCTCTCTGGCGAGAGCATCCCCAAGCTCCATTCGCCGCACATCAACACTAAGGACCGAGATAAAGAAGCTGGATAGGAAGAAAAAGTCGAGCACAATGGCAATTGCCGCAAAGATGCAAAATGCGGAGACGCTTGGGGTGACAGCATAGGATAAGCCGAGGAGAATCAAAAAGTTTTGGACAGTGCTGACCAGGGCAGTAGGCGCAGTCTCTCCAAAAGCAGACCCTATCCTGCTGCTTGTGTTTTCTCCCGAGGGAGTGCGGACTACAGCGTCCATTAGGCGAAGGATATGCTCCAAGCTCATGGATAAGATGACGAGGGGATATGCGGCTCGAGGGATGCCAGACAGGTCGATCTTGAAGACGCCGCAGATTGTGAAGCTTGCGGCAATCGACATGATAATCTGCATCACGACGGTGACAATCAGACCAAATTTTGACTTGACAGCGCGAACCTTGGACACTTGCTGGAGAAAGTACACCAAGGACAGCGTATAAGCCAGGGCAAGAATGATGGAATCCTGCACCGACATGGGCCTGAATTGAAATTCATACAGTTGACTGGTTGACACATTGCCGCTCGGAGGATATATATCCCATTTGTCGCCCATCTTGACAGGTAACGATCGTGCTACAGCCTCCCACTGGCGGCCAACGGGGGAGTCAGTTCGATACAGTAAAGTGATGACGAGAGCATCAGCGGCCAACAAGCGGCGGTCCTCAAAACGCTTCCCACTGAAAACAATAGAATGCCGTAGAGTGATATTTGCGGGAGTGGTGTGGTTCTTCTTGTCATTGACCGTGGCCAAAATATCCTCGTCAGCGAGGATGCGATCGCGGGAGCAATTCCAGTACAGCAACGGCGATTGTAATATCCACGACTGGTCGGTCAAGCCATTGACGATGTGGAGGGCATCCCGCTGTGCTGGAGTCAGGGGAGATTGGGATTCGGAGTCGCTAGGGGGGAGCAGACCAGAAGATCTGCCGGGACCAAAGTCTCTGGTGTCGCCTAGGAGCGCATCCTGCAGATCAAGGGCCGATAGGAGAATATCGGGACTAAGTGCCTGCATGTAGCTCGAATGGACCCAGATGGAGCGCATGACAATGTCGGGACTGGCGGCGCTGTCATACGGAAGCGGCTGAGCAGCGGTCCAGACATGGCGAGGGAGGGCTGAGGCGCCGTTGATGACATGGCTGGTGTAGATGAAGGGCAGCGGATAGATCAGAAAGGCCGCTATGGCGGCAGAGAGGAGCAGCGTGGTGATTGCATAGCGGGAGGCATGGCGGCCATAGCGAGTGAGGACTTTTCGAAGCGGGTGAGACGCTGAGAGGACTGGGGCCTCTGTTGTTCTAGGGTTAATCAGTCAGCTCTGGTGAAGCTGCGGTTTCTTGTGATGAGTTGGGGGAGTTCCTCACCCTCGCAGTGGATAGAGCAGATACCAGATCATTTGCGACACGCTTTGGGATTGAGCATTGTTTCGCTGAGTCCTTTGGCTTGCGATTGGCGCTATTCACAGAGCAATGGTATGAGGCGAGTTTGGTGGTGTGAGGAGGTGATGATTGCAAAAAGCCTCTGCAGCTGGTGGTGTGAGCTGTTGCAGGACCTTGGAATCAAGGGACCCAGTGTATAAGCAACATTCCGGGATTAGTATCGTATCGGAGATCTGCCAGCCTTGGCCATACCATACCCAGAAGGTGCCGTCGGGCGATCACTCAAGGGATGGATGTCATGAGTACTCGCAGGTGATTTGCTGTCCAAGGAGAGGTACCCGATACCTGCCACTTGGCATTTATCCAGGGGAGACACCGCCGGGTTCAGGTACCAAGAGTACATGTGCTTGTACCTAAGATCTGTCACACAGCAGAAGGCCACTCGCCTACATTAGAAGTGTTCATCGTGGTCAATGGGAGACACAAAAAGAGGTATATACAGGTAAGTAAATGAATGGAATAATTAAAATTGAAAAATTAAAAAGCACATACTACTACCACCTGGCACTGGTGGGCGTACATCCCTTTGAGTGCCAAATGGTCCAATACAAGTATCTGTATCCACTTTGTTTCTATACGGACTGGGCACAATCAAGGACTTTATTTACTACCTGTAAAAAGGTCGCCTCATCGCTGTGTTAATCATTGACGTTATGTAGCTTAACGTACTGATCTGAATTTCGATACTTGCTTTCGGGGCTCATTTTAGCAGCAGCTAATGTACTCCCAAATTATGGCGACTTAATTGGCCACAATCCCAGGAAGATACCTCTTCGGATGGACCATTTGGCACTCAAAGGGATGCACATGCACTTTGTGTCTACTGACGCATACGGGTACCTGATACCTGGGTACTCAGTACAGCACTCACAACACATTCGCTGTAAATGGAGACGACGCGCTCCAGTCAGTTCAACTGCCAAGCCAAGGTACACCGTACCTACTCCGCATTGCAGGGGCACATCCAAAGACAAACGCCTCCCAACCGCCTCTCCAACTCCCAGCTCCAACTTTTTGGGCTTGCAGTTGCAATTGGCAGCCTCTGCGAGCTCCATGATCATGACAGAGTAATCGCGTCGCGGCTGAGGGAATTCAAGTGCTCGCCAGATCTCCCATCCTCATCTCTATTGCAGTTTCGTCCTGCCTCTACATCTACATCCGGGCGCTGCTGCATGTCCGACCGAACGCCTCTCGGCCCACGACTTGCTTGTCCCTCTCAAGCCGCCAGCAAACCTCATCGCGCATCATGTCTTCAGAGTCGGAAGCCCTGCAGAACGGCAGTCAAGGAGCCACCGCTCCCAATCCCTTCAATTTCCAGACCCAAGTGATATCTACCACACCTGTCAAATCTGTCCGTCCATACTGTCCAAGATATCTTGTATTCGTATCGCCTTCAACTGACACTTTGACCAACAGAACGTCGGCCAGCGTCGTGGACATCGCTACAAGCATAGTAGTGTATCCGCCCAGCATCAAATCTTCCAAGAGCCGCCCCCAAGGCCGCCTCCCGTCCTCCCCGCCTCCCTCCCGACGCCTACCATTAAAGAAGCATGGAGGAGCCTCCAGCGGGACCAGCGAATGCGGCTCTACTGGGGCTTGTGTCATGTCGCTATTGCTATCTTCATCTTCTATCGGTCAGGTGGCTCTCTTGCGGCAATGGCCCTGTCTCACCTCGTCTTCTTTGATGCCGGCAGCGCTGCCGTGTGTGTCGTCGTCGACGTGCTGGGCAATTTCGAAGTCTGGCGTCGCAGCAGCATTAGACACCCGTTTGGCCTTGAGCGAGCCGAGATCCTGGCAGGATTCGCCATGTCTATTTTCCTACTCTTCGGCGGCTTTGACCTCCTCTCGCACAATCTAAAACATATTCTCGAATCTGTCGGTAACCACGAAGCTCACCACGAGCACGAACACGATCGAATCTCTACAGGTTCTCTTGACCTTGTGTCGGCGGCTGCCATTGCGAGCACGCTCGTGTCTGCCTATGGTCTGAAGAACCACGCGCGCATTGCCAAAGTTATGAGAGTGTCCTATCTGTCTACTCTGCCCAGCATCCTCTCCAACCCGTTTCACTTCCTCACCCTCTTCTTCTCTGCCTTGATTTCATTGTTGCCTCTATTATCCATTTCCCTGTATGACTGGCTTGACCGGCTAATCTGCGCCGTCATTTCCCTTGCAATGTTCAGTTTAGGCATGCGCGTTGCTGTTGCTCAGGGATTGATGCTCCTTATGAGCTATGGCGGGAGCAAGGGTGACGTTGGCGTCACGGCTGTCCTCCGTGAGATTGAATCCGAGTCGGGCATTGCCCGTGTAGACGGTGCTCAATTCTGGCAGGTTCACTATGGCCTGTGCATGGCCAACCTAAAAGTCATCATCACCAATGGGTACGATGAGCTCGCGCTGGGAAAGCTGCGCAATCGCATCTCGGCCTTGATCCAAAACAGATTAGGAGAGGGTTATGGGACGGGGGGTAACGTGAGGTGGGAAGTGACTCTAGAAACTATTGTTGATGCCACCATTTGATTTCAAAGGCATTGTCAGGAGCGCATATTTCCTTTCCTCAGCGCTCTGTGTTGTTAAACTAGACTAAGTACATAGATTGACGCGGTAGACATAGTTTATATAATCAATGAAGCATAATGAGCAATCATAACTTAGTGGAGAGATATCGTCACCACACATTCAAGGTTCATAAGTTAAAACAAGCCATAGCTGACTGGCGCAGAATGCCTGCAATCTGGGGTTTTGTCATAACAGGCAGGCTTAGAAGAGCCCCCACCGTCCTCGGTCCTTATTCGACGCTCCTCTTCTTCCGTTTGCTCCATGCTCCCTGTCCCTTCCTTCTAGCTGTCGCAGACTGTCCATTTTCTCAAGCACCAACTCCAAGAGCTCCTTCTTCCGGATGACATCTAGATGTCGGCGGATCTTGGGGTCTTCCTTTGCGAATTTCTCAACTTCATCCGCGGACAAGTGTCGTCCAAGACGAAGATCCAATTCACGCGGGAAGTTGTAGTAGAATTCGGAAAGCAGCTCCACGTTCAGGAAGAGAACAGCTGTGGAAGCTAGTTTGGTTGCTGCAGCATCCAAAAAGACCTCGGGGCAGTAATACTTGTTCTTAGGATTGTTGCACTGCTTGGCTTTGACAGCAAGCATTCTCATCTTGATGATGTCGGCCCTGTCTCGAAGGAAGACAGCTTCTCTGCCTATATCAATGTTAGAATTCACAAACCATGGCGTTATGAGCAGCCTTTTGGGGAGTGAGGGCGGGAATCACCTTTACTTAGAAGAGCAGCGCTAAACCCTCCTGCACCACTTCGCCCATCGCCCTCTACGGTGATGTCGCCCTTTCGCGCCTTATCTATAAAGGCCATGACCTCCCTTAATTTCCTTCGTCCACCGACAGCAGGTTCTAAACTGACCAGTGCAGCCTCGCAGTCTTGCAGTTCCCTCTTCAGCACACTACCGACATGCTCACGGCCATGATTCCACTCTCTTTCGTCAATCTCGATGTCGAATTTGAAGGGTTTGATGCAGTTCTCGACCTGATCACTGGTGCTGTAGAACCTCTCATTCAAAATGGTCGACGCGGCTTCAACTATGGCCTTCTTTGCAAAAGGATGGCTCACAAAGCTTGAGTTGGTCAGTAACTTGTCAACGTGAGCTTGAAGAGATGTGGCGATGACCGTTGTTGCCAGGCGTCCAACTCCAAGTTTGGTGAGGGCCGAGGTCGAAGCGTCCAGCTGGCGACGCCAGTAAAGAGAGTCAGGATCAGCCTTGGGGAGGTCGGCGATATTATCGAGATCATATTTCGCTGGCGCCAGGTCTGTCACTGGCTTATTCCAGTATCGTGAGGCCAGCAGGTCCAGCACCTTTTGATCAAGCTCGCTCTTCAAAAGCTCGTGCATTTCCGGGCGCCCAAATCCCTCAGTAAATTGTTTGAAGGAGTGCTTGAAAGCGTCGAGACTCTCGGCAAGGTAAGATTCGGCGGACAGCGGGCGATCATTGTACTGGACCTTGAACTCGTATGTGGCCTCCTCCAACTCTTGTCTAATGGCGTCGCTTGTGCTCTGTAAGCTAGATGACATGGTCTGTTCCAAAACACGCATTAATGTCTTTCGAAGATTTATTGTGCCCACATTGACGCCTGCGTCCGGTCCAAACTCGAGTGGGTGTGAGGAAAAGAAAGAGTTTTCATTCTTGGCGATGGTGGAGAGGAGATCTGATGAGCCCATCTTGAAAAGGCCCTGTGATGCTGGCGCCTTTGATACAACGCCAACGTAGCCTAATCGAAGAGGATACTGCTTATCATTGAGGATGGTGGCGCCACGGGCAGGATCGACCAGATCCATCTTGGTAATAACTCCAATAGTTCGTTCACCTCGGGGATCGACTCTGCGAGATGCCCTGAGGGCTGCCGAGTTGGCCAGATCGACATCTGCGGCAGAGATGGCAAGAATGACATTTGGAGGCTGAATATACTTGTCACACAATTCCGAAATCTTCTGCTTCAGCTGCAGTGGCTGGTTCTGCCCCACAACTTGGATGTAGCCGGGTAGGTCGATGAGGGAAAGATCAGGAACGTTGCGAGAATAGATGGTCAGGTGAATAGGGTCGTGCGAGACGCACTCTGCATCTGAAACTGCCATGTTCAGCTCTGTCAATGTTCGCTGGATCGAGGAAAAGTCGGATATTTTTCGTAAACCAAGATCTGGGAATTCTCCATATTCTTCAGGCGAGTCGGGTGTATTCACAAGAGTCAATTCAATCGGCCTCCGAGTAACCATGTTGTTTCCCTTGGGAAGAAACTCGTGGCCGACGATGGCCTCCAGTACTGAACTCTTTCCGGACGATTGCGAGCCAATGACGACGATGGACGGCAAAGTAAGAGAGCTGGACTGGCCGACTTTCTGCAGTATGCTTCGAATCTCAATCATCTTTTTCGTCAATACCATCATCTGATCATCCTTGGAGCTCTGTAGCGCATCCCGTGGATCTTCTTCATCCGATTTGTCGTAGCCAACAGCGGCAGCCGAAGCACCAACAGCTGCAGCGGCGCCGACTTTACTGTGTTTAGGATCGCCATTGGGTCCTCCTGAGCCCCCAGAGCCTGAACTCTCGGGCGTTCCCAACATCTTTTTCAACCAAGCTGGCACCTCTACCCGTTCTTTTGTGTTTTCCCATCCTTGCCGTGTTTGGTCTGCTACATCTTTGGCACTCCCGTATATACTAGATGCTGTGCCCGTCACCGTGTCCAAGGTATCGTGGAAGATGGAGATGGCATAGTTGCCAGCCTCTGAAATTAGTGAGCAAAAGGCCACCCCAAATCTACCATATCTATGAGGATGACATACGTGTAGCTTGGTATTGAACCCAGGCAAAAGTGCCAATGGCCAGCCCACCAAACATGGCAGGAATCCTAGCAAACTTCACCACCAGCTTCGGCAAGAAGCGAACAAAGGAGGCATTTCGAACGATAACCTGGTTATGGAAGGAATTGCCGCCAAACCACATGCGTCTTCGAGTCTCCCGGATCGCGGCATCTGCCCGCAACAGGCCTCCTGTTGGAAATCGGTGTAAGTGACGAACTCTGGTGGCGGCGGAGGTATTTCTTGCCGCCACAGGCCGCAGACTAGCTGCAAGGAACCGGCCGCTCATCGTGGTCGGGCTCTTGCAGTCTGGGCAGCTGCTCTGTTGACGACCATATGGCCCGGCACCGCCTCAAGACAGACAAGACAGGAGTGAAGCTTCGGAGTCTGTTGCAATGGCAGAATAGAGCTTGCATTGATCCGACTGGAATATCGGGTACCTATAGACTAGCAGTGGTAGCTAAAGCAATGCCGCTGGGCGCCGAGGACAGCCCACTTCTTATCGCCACGTGATGTCGTTATCGGCGCAACTTTCCGACGAAATTTCTGGATTTGCTCCAAGTGCCTGCGAGACGCATGCCATTTTCTCTGCCATTGTCGCTGCATCCGACATCATGGCGATTCAAAAAAAGCACGGCAAAGGCCGTTTGGACAAGTGGTACAAACTTGCCAAAGAAAAGGGCTACCGTGCTCGTGCCGCCTTCAAGTTGATTCAGCTGAACAAGAAGTATGGATTCTTGGAAAAGAGCAAGGTCTTGCTGGATCTTTGCGCCGCGCCAGGTGTAAGTTTTTACTGCCTTGTTTGGAGAGGATTGTGAGTTACTAGGCAAAGGCTAATATCCCCATAGTCATGGTGTCAGGTTGCAGCAGAGGTTATGCCAGTCAACAGTTTGATTGTTGGAGTCGACCTGGCGCCCATCAAGCCCATTCCTAGAGTCATCACCTTCCAGAGCGATATCACTACAGACAAGTGCCGTGCTACCATCCGCCAACACTTCAAAACTTGGAAAGCAGATACGGTTTTGCACGACGGTGCCCCCAATGTTGGTACTGCCTGGGCTCAGGACTCTTTCAACCAAGCAGAACTCGCGCTTCAGTCCATGAAACTCGCGACGGAATTTCTTGCCGAAGGAGGAACATTTGTGACCAAGGTCTTCAGATCCAAAGATTACAACCCGCTCCTATGGGTGCTGAATCAATTGTTCACCAAAGTCGAAGCCACTAAACCCCCCTCTTCTCGAAACGTCTCGGCCGAAATTTTCGTCGTTTGCCGTGGTTACAAAGCACCCAAGCACATTGATCCTCGGTTCTTGGACCCGAGATCAGTCTTCGCAGAGCTTTCCGGCGCCACCCCGAACAATGAAGCCAAGGTCTATAATCCAGAGGTGAAGAAGCGGAAGCGTGATGGTTATGAAGAAGGGGATTACATACAATTCAAAGAAATTGCGGCAAGCAGTTTCATCCAGACCAATGATCCCATAGCCATTCTTGGTTCCTACAACAAGCTCTCCTTTACTCAAGCACCCAATGGCGACATTGCGCTTGCTGCTCTGGACAAGCTGCCCGAAACTACTGCGGAGATTCGGGAATGCTGCGCCGATCTGAAAGTTCTTGGGCGCAAGGAATTCAAACTTCTTCTCAAATGGAGATTGAGGGTGCGAGAAATCTTCGGCCTCTCGCAGAAAAAGTCAGCAACTACTGCTGAAGCCGAGGAAGTGGCTGGAGTCGAATCGATGGACGAGGAATTGCGAATACAGGAAGAGTTACAAGCCCTGAAGGATACGGAGAACTCCAAGAGGAAGCGAGAGAGGCGCAAAGAGAATGAACAAAAGCGCAAAGAGATCATTAGGATGCAGCTGAATATGATGGCGCCTATGGATATCGGTATGGAAGAATCAGGACCGCTGGGAGAGGGAGCCATGTTTTCTCTGAAGACGATTGACAAGACCGGTGGCATGAACCGCTTCACTCGGGGCAAAATGGCCGTATCAAATACAAAAGACTCGAAAGATCTTGATCAGGGTATCTCTACAGAGCCAGTTGAGAGCGACAGCGAAGAAGACGTGCTGGAGACTGAGCTCGATGCCATGTACGAACAATTCAGAGAGCGCAAATCGGAGGCGGACACCAAGTACCGGGCAAAAAAGGCGAGGAAGGAGCACAAAGATGACGAGTGGGAGGGCCTTTCAGCAGGTGAAGAGCCAGAGAGTGACGCAAGCGAGCTGGAAGAAGATGATGACACATCCGATGACGATGAAGATGGCTCACTACCTACAAACGGATTCCTAACGGATTTAGATGGCCAGGCAGGGGAAACTCAAGATGGCTTGTCCAAAAAAGCATCCGCATTCTTTAGCCAGGATATCTTCAAAGAGATAACTGGAGGCTCTCTCCTTGGGGGAGAGGATGATGTGACGATTGAGGCATCCAGTACGAATACGCGCTCACAAGTGCTACCCACGCGGACAGCAACACAAAAGACATCCCTGAATGGACAGGAAAATGATTCAGAGGATGACGGTGGATTCGAAGTCGTCAAGATGGACGATGATGAGAATTGGGAAGACAAAGAGAGGCGACGAGCAGATGGAAGACCTGGTAAGTTTACTCACCGTCGAATTATTACTAAGACGAACATTGCTGACTTGAAACAGACATTGATATCATCACGGCCGAAGCAATGACTCTAGCACACCAACTTGCCACAGGACAGAAGACTACTCACGATGCTATCGACGATGGTTTCAATAAGCGCGCATTCCGCGACAGGGACGGATTGCCTGAATGGTTCCTTGATGACGAAGGTAAACACGATAAGGCCCTGAAGCCAATATCAAAGACAGCGGCCAATGCCATCAAGGAGAAACTGAGAGCCTTCAACGCCCGACCGATCAAGAAGGTTCGAGAAGCAAAGGCACGAAAGAAGTTCAAGACGGCCCAGAAGCTGGAGAAGTTGAAGAAGAAATCAGACATGCTTGCTGCTGATGAAGGCATGACGGAGAAGGAAAAGGCGGAGAGCATATCTAAGCTTATTAGCAGGGCCAACCGTCAAAAGCCTCGACAGCCAGCTAAGCTCGTTGTTGCCAGGGGCTTAAACAAGGGTATCCAGGGCCGACCAAAGGGTGTCAAGGGACGGTACAGAATTGTCGACGCCAGGATGAAGAAGGAGCTGCGAGCACAGAAGCGAATTCAAAAGAGGAAGAAATAAGGGGTGAGCGTGCGGCCATGTATATTAATTCTACTCCGCAGTCGGAGGTTGGATTCTATGCGATGATTTATCTGAAGGAAGCATAGACTGCTTTTTGGTTCCAAGTTCGCGAAGAAATGAGATAACGGGATAGAGGGGTCCGCTGAAGTCCATATCGTACCTAATATAGAATGTTAGAAAGCAATGCTTTTTTCGCAGGCGCTTGCATCTTTTGGACATACCAATAGTTTACAGCTAGGACGAACCCTTCGCCATCATCGATACAGGACTGCTTGACCTTGTGATACCTTGGAGAAGAGATTTAGTGAGAAGAAAGAGGCGCAAAAACTCGGCATAGAATACTAAGAATAAAGACTTTTCTCATTAGTATTGGGCTCACTCACCACATAGCAGGGAGATAGAGCATGTCTCCAGGATCCAGAGTCACATGGAGAGGCTTTGCCAACGCAGATAGGGGCGAAGCATTTCGTCCAGGATCATCAGGATCCCAGGTCGCCAGCGGCACTGGAGGAGAATCTGGATCCAGGCGAAGCGCGAAGCCCTGGCCCTCTCGGACGTACGTTGCCGGCAGAAGTAGATCCTCGTTGACGCATGCGTGGAGCAGTGGCGGTAGCAGGACGAAGTGCTTCCTGCCCACAATCTGCACAAAGATGTTTTCAAAGTTGTCTTTATGCAGGCACGTCGTGGATCTTGAGTTTCCGATCCATAGATTGATGGCATCTGGTTCTTTGCCCAGGGCGATCCGTGCAAAGGGAATGTCTTTCAGAGCATCGGGATACAACGGAAGATACTCATCCCGAAGATTATCGTTTTCTTTAAACGCAAATTAGTGAATACTCAAATATCAATACACAGTATAGTAGTGGTATGAGGAGAAAGAAGAGTCTGTATCTCACGAGTTTGGGCATATCTCACTTCAGAGTCGAGAGGAAACCTCGGATCCGTCTCCTGCTGGGTGATGTATGCAAAGAAGTCGCCGAATTGCTGAGTCTCTTCATGAGGCTTTGCAATGACGGTGGCCTGATGCTCCGAAGAAAGCGTTGGAGCATCGGCATTTCTGTTGATTTCAGCTGTTAGATGGATAAACAGGGAGATGATGTATCGATGAATCCCGTGTGTATTCTTACCCAAATGGAGTAACAGCAACATTGACAAACTGGCCCTCAAGAGCCGTCTTCAAATAAGCAGCGTTCCATTTCTTCGTTGCTTTCCAGCTCGAGGCTCCTCCTCTAATCACAAACGGCGTGTTACGGGCCACATAACGCATAAACTCAAGAGGGCTCGGCTCTGAGAAGAGTTCATCCACAGTGGTGGCATTGAGCTCATTAAACGTCTTAATTAGATTCTCGAGCGAGTTGTCCAGATCCGACACGACCATTTTCATACATGCCAGGGTTCAAGATGTAGAACAGCTGAAACTCGTGCTACATCTTTGTTGGGGGAGGCGAATGGATGACCGTTCTCAGATGTCGAAGGAATTGCAGTAAATGCATCTTGGTATGGATAGCGGGCTTTTAGAATTATGTAATTAGGTAAATAGGGAGTATCTATGCAACTAATGAAAAACTGACGGCGATTTACACATCGATTTATTGCAACTCGGTAACAGTAATTCAAACATCTCAACGCTGTTTAACGCATCGAAAAATCACTTCATACCCTAAACATGATGACTATTACCCTGTTCTCAGGATTGGCTGTGTCTGGTCAAACTGGCCACATTGTTAGCTCATATCCCTCGCGATAATACGAAATGGTTATTCCTTACTAGAGAACTTCAAATTCGTTGAAACGCTCCAAGTGCGTAGCGCTGCGGCGATAGGGCTCCAAAAGCTTGGTTACCTTGGACTGCCTGCGTGGGGTGGCTTTGCCAGCAAGACGGACGACTGTACTAGAGCTCTGGAACTCGGGGTCAAATACCAGGAGCTGAACATCGCCACCCTTGTGCTTCTCCAGCCCGACAATCGTAAGAGAATGTTCTTGGAGACCTCTGTTAGTTTGATATGCCCAGTGGTTTCAGGTCCAAAGGGGAGGAGAGCCTACTAGGTCGCTGCAGATATATAGGCGGGAGCAGAGTAGGCCGCACTTTGTTGTCCATAGAGCTTACCGCACCTTGTTGGAAATAACGCTCGATTGCACTCAACAGGCGGCGCGAAGCATTGTCGTCTTCACTGGAAGCCTTGAAAGCCTGTACCGAGCACCTGGTTCTATCGTTAGTCCCCCGAGGGAAATGACCACATGTTTGAATAATACTCACGGAAACCCCATGCTTGCGAAAAATGCCTGGGCCTGTGATGTAGATGATGAGTATGAAAGCGCGGGCCAGGGTAACCACCAAAAAAGGCCACTTACCTCTGGCGTTCCAATATATTTTCGCGTCCCTCGGATGCCTCCTGTCTCGACTCGACCCCGAGCATTATACCCGCGATCCCAGGCAGCCTCGATCATATCTTGAATCTGGAAGATGCCAGGAATATCATCTCCTAGCTGCTCCCACCCGGTCGCGCGTGCCCCAATAATGTGAGAGGAGAGGACTTGTATGTTGCGATAGCCGCAGAATGCACCTATATGACTATGGGTAAGTTGCTCGCTTCTACTTGCGGTCGTCTGTGTGGTATGAGGAGGCCCCGATCACCTTCTCTGTTTAGCTTTGCCACATGTTGGACATCCGGATGGCATAGATACGCATACTCGGTCCGCGAGCTCAAATCAAGCAGCTGTTTCAAGGCTGGTATGACACCTGCGCGGCGGCAGTGTTAGCCAGTCTATTTGCAAATCGAGTCACGAGCGCAAAGATGCCCCTTACCACCGGCACGAAGGTCGCCTTCCGTTTCCAATAGCTTGACAAGCCACACGGGCATTTCCTCCTCGTGCGCATACTTTCCAAGCTGCAGTGTCTGATATACGCCATGTCGTTAGTTATGCGCTGGACATCGATGCATGGGCTGGCATAGACGGACCCCGAGCCTAGATGCCGACTGCATGCCCGCCCGGCTGTTTGGAGGGCGCGCCGAAGCATCCAGCGACTCTTTGGTTTTACTTCGAACACCCGCCGTCTGTTGAGCGCGCAATCTGCGCCCCGGAAGGAGGCGCTTCCAGGACTGGCTGATGACGATTCGGTTCGGCTGGCTGGGAATCAATGATGCCGCAAAAGGCCGACTGGACCGCGATACCGAGCCTGTCCGCTGGCCCGCGAGATGCGCATTGGTCGGCGTGGTCGAAATCTCATCGGGCTCGGTAATCGCCATGCATCTATCGATTATCGGTTCGGGATCGTGGTGGTGTTGTGGCGTCATGATGGCAAAGGGAGTGCAGTGACATTCTCGATCCCCAGCATCAGCTGCACATGGACATGCTGCAAAACTTAGCGTCGAGGTCAGCAATAGTCGCAAACAGGACGCACCCAATGAAGAACAAAGAAGGCAGTGCCGCTTCCCCCCCGTCAGTCTGGAACAACGGAGGCGCTTTGAGCGTCGAGTTCATCGTTGTCTGAGCAAGGGTCCCGTCCAGCCTGACAAGGTGAAAATGGAATTGGATTATCAATTTTTTGGGTTCGCGTGACACAGCCGGTGACTTGCGCTGCCAAGTACTCGGTACCTGCGGAGTGCGGTGGGTTCACGCCAGCTGACTGCTGCTGTTCCCCAGACAGGCAAGTCTTTTAGGTACCAGCAAGGTACTAATCCATTTGATGATGCTAAAAAGCTCCTTGAAAAGAGTCCATCCACCAACTACAATACTTGCAAAGCCCATCACCTGCTTCAGACTTTCCCCGGCAGCGCATCTGTCGAGCTCCAGAATGGCTCCCCCGATTCACTTCATCACCGGCAATGCGAACAAGCTGAAGGAAGTCAAAGCGATCCTTGAGCCGCAGATTGAGATTGACAGCCAGTCGCTGGATCTCGAGGAAATCCAGGGAACGATTGAAGAGGTTGCCGAGTCAAAATGCCGTCGAGCTGCCGACTTGGTATAGCTATCCTTTCTTTAGTACCTAGGAAATTGGTGAAGAGCTCGTTCTAACATGTCTAATTCAATCGAGGTAAACGGCCCGGTGCTTGTTGAAGATACGGCGCTCTGTTTTAATGCTCTCGGAGGCCTACCCGGGCCTTACATGTAAGCTCTCTGCTATGCTGCTTCGAGATGTCGAGATTCCGTCATGGCTAGAAAACTCATCAATCCGTGCTCGACATTATAGCAAATGGTTCCTGGATAAGACTGGCCACCAAGGGCTCAACAACCTTCTTGCGGCGTACGAAGATAAATCCGCAGAGGCTGTTTGCACGTTTGCATACTCGCCAGGACCTGGCCGCGACCCAATCATCTTCCAAGGACGGACGCCGGTAAGTCTTATCAACATGGAGTAACATGATGCCATTCTTACATACTCCGTTACCAGGGTCGCATTGTACCTGCACGAGGCCCTTCGAAGTTTGGTAAGAAATACACCCCGCAGAGGCACTTCTAGCCGGATAGTACTAACAAAGGAATGGCTAGGCTGGGACCCGGTATTTGAGTTTGAAGGGAAAACGTAGGTTATATGCCGCTCCGGACGATTGCGAAAGGTGACCATTGGCTAATGTGAACTTTTTTCTAGCTATGCCGAGATGGAGTCTGCGGAGAAGAATAAGATATCGCATCGTGCTCGAGCTCTAAAGAAGCTGCAGGCATGGTTTGAAAGCCAGCAGGAAACAGCATAGACAATTTCTCAGGTAGATGAAATGAAATAATAGCTGGCAAAAGTAAAGATGTAAAACATTCATGAAAGGCATCTTGTTTCCTGTATATATGTCTATATATACATACAAGTCAAGTGATATTAGTAGCCACGACAATCTGCTTCGACCCGACCATGAGACGAGTTTATCTCGTTAGAGAAGATAAAACATACCTTTGTGTGTCAGGGTCGAAGCACATTGTTACGGCCAATGTCACTCAGCGGTTTGACAGCATGGTGAGAGCGGACGTGGCTCTTGGGGAGAAGCCAACTGTGTCAGAGAGATGACGATCTTACTTTACCTTACCCAAGGTACTAAGGTAGGCAGTAGAAGATGTGAAATGACGCCTTTTCAAATTTTGTGCCTTCTTGTCCCAACACGTGTTGGCGGCGTAGCTGTAACCCGTGATGAGTTGAAAGAGGCGATCAAGTACTGCTACGAGAGGTAACCAAGTACCTGGCACATGAACGGAGTACACCTACCGGGAACGGGCACTAAGGCAAGGTACCGGGTACTCTAGCACCCCTGTATATCAGGTACACATACCAAGTGCCGCCCGCGAATCAACTCCAACGCTCCTTATCCTCCTCTCTCACACAACTTTTATTTTTATTTTACCTCGAGGGGGGCTGAGCATCGCCAAATCAATTGCAGGAAAGACAAAGACAATGGCCGGCAATCTGGCAAAGTGCCGGCAAATGTCCCCTGTGGGGGGGCGCGTTCAGTTTTCAGCTCGCATGGCCCAGGTCCCCTGTCTCTGTCTCTGCTTGGCTCATCTCATTAATCAAATCAATCCATGGACAGGGATCTGATTAGAACCGATCAAGCCACCAACATCTGATGGTGCCAACTAGCTGATCGTGGGATTTGCCACTCGTCCTCACCATCGAAATGTCTTGGATTTATCACGAGCGGCGCCGCAACTTCAGCTTCCCGACCCGACCTCCTCCCTCCTTTTCCCTCTGACACCTGAGACATTGCCAGAGCCGTCGAATAGGAAGCCGTGCCTCGACAGCCGTGTGTTATTGTCGACCGCTGGGAGCCTCCGTCATAGGCCGTGGTGGTGACACTTCCTTTACCTGGCCTGACCCTGCTTCTGAGCCTTGCCGTCCCAATGGATGAACGACTCTCCGCTTCCAGCCCCGTTCACGCTGTGACTTTCGCTAGTTCCCTTTGCATCTCATCTCACTTCCTCTCCACGTCGACTCGGGAACATCTCGAGCTCCACATCTGTTTAACACCACCATGATACACAGAAGACCTTCGTCGTCACATGTGTTGGCATCGCTCACATGATGTACCACCATCGTTGCTCTGCTCCTAGGGGCCCCCGTCTCTCGCTTTCTCGCTCAATTCACTCAATGGCCTGAGTCTCACCGCAGCCGTGTCAATATAAACTCTTCGAGAGGTCCCCCGCTTTCGCTCTCTTCACAGATCGCCAGAATAAGACAAGAGGGAGGACGCAGCATAGCGAACCAAGAAAACGCCCCCAGAGGAAAAGCTCTGTCCAACCCTTCAGCTGATCTTGACCCAAATCCCGCGCCTTCTTTTCGTGTACCCATTCTGGAGAAGTATTGTTGATGTGAACATCTGCTGTTGCTCCATTACTTGCTGTTGCTTTTGCTGCGGTTGGATTGCAAGGTAGAAAGGTGCGTAGATGGACCCCATCACGTTGGAGCCACCTCTGGCGGAGCTGTTATATGAGAACCAGAGGCTTACAGAGATTTGTCAAGAACCCAGGCATATTGGGAGTTCAATCCCAGCTGTCTTGTCCGAACATATCATCTCTTGAAACCAAGAGCCCACCAAGCTTCGCATAGTTTACTCGGCATTCTTCCCAAGCGATTGCGCTTCATTACTTAGTGGATTACAATGGCTTTCCATCATGTAAGTTTGTTCAGCCGCCGTACATGATTTCTACCTGATTTCGGCATGTTTATGATTCAAGAAGAAAGCTCATCATTCCTGGCCAGCCCTTTCAAGAGGCACAGTTCGATCTTTTTGACTGGTACCCCAAGTATCAATCCTGTCTCTCCTTTTTCCTCGAGCGCGGCCAGCACACAAACGCCGTTCAGGCCGTTGCTGCAATTGTCAACATTCGACTGCCATTTCAACAGAGCCCAGCCTTCCCCAGGCATTCGCCTAACTCTAGCTCTGCATCCAGTCATCCCTCCACCAATTCAGACGTTTCCTTAGTTCCCTATGTACGCCGCCTGGTTGCCACCGGGTTTGACACCGTCGCCATTCTACATGGCTTTTTCGGCGACGGCTGGGATGTTGGAATCGGCCTCATACACGAGAATGAGCGGAGAAACTATCTCTTCGCGGCCAAGAGCGAGACTTGGCTCAGGGTCAAAGCCAGCTACGACCTGGAGGGCGGCCAGACAGTGCCCTTCTTGCGTCCTCTCCAAGGAGTCACCGAGAAGGAGATACAAGCGGCAGAAGCAAACTGGAGTGAATGGCTCGCCATGCAAGACTGGATGCTGGGGCCCCGTGCACCTCCAGACGGCCCTTCTCAAATGCACCAGAGCAACTAATGGATCACGGTGGTGGCATGTGTTTTACCGGCATCTGCGATAGTTATAAACTGATAATGCATACTGAACACACAAGTTTCAAGTTTAAAGGAGATGGACATTTTCAAAGGAAACAGATTGGGCAACATGCGCAACGGAAAGGAGCAGCGGTAATATGGCTGAATTTCAAAGGACTCGTTAATTTTACATATTCTACCACGTCTGAGACGCGGGCAGATCATGGCTCGGCTGAGCTGAGTCGAGCCGGCAACTTTTTTTCCCCCTTCATAGGATAGCGAAAGATGATTATAACTACCTAGCATTGCGTTCTTCCCTCCCCTTGCCGCTTCCCTCCTCCGCGAAATCGCTTCAACTTTGGCCTCCTCGTCGTCGGTTTGCCATTTCCATCCATCAAAGAAACTCCGAGTATATGTACACCCTTTCCTGAGGGGTTGTGTTTTTTTTTTTTTCAATCACCAGCCAACAAGAAAATGAAGAGCCGACGGAGGCGAAACCCGGAGAAAATAAACCGGCCTCCGTATCAAAACTGGCGGCCCTCTTTTGTCTGAAAGTTTTTGTCCTTCCCAAGTCACACTGATAACTCCATGACTGCCTGGGGGGCTATTGTTTTGCTTAATCGAAATCCTACGCCGAGGAGCCCACGATCCTTTATTTTGTTTTTATTTTTCTCCTTCTGAGCGCCTGTTTGTGTTTGTTTTGTTTTTGAATGCGGTTGATTCCCTTTCAACGCCATCATTAGCCATTGCTGATCCATAGCAGCTTTCTTCTGTTCCTTTCGTGAAAGCCCCAGCCGGTTGACTGAAATCTGCATTATGTTACCACATGGTTGACATGCGATAACGGATAGTACTGCATGTAAAGTGTGTGATCGGCGTAATAATCAAAATAATCTCGTATTAAACATTCAGTCGACAGCTCGGTTTTGGCACATCGTACGCTCCCCGTCCGGCTAGGTATTGCTGCTAACCAGCCTGGTATCAATGCCAACTGAACGATATCTAGTTGAAAAAAGGGCGGGTATTAGTTGAGGAACCCTTTGCACGCTGCCGTGCCACACAAGCAGGGGATACGGTCCAGACTGCCAATCTCTCGCTCGAATTTGTAGTCGTAGGTTAATTCTTCGTCTAAACGACGTGGTCAGCTTGACTGTAGATCAAAGAAGAAGAAGAAATCATAAACAGAGTCACTACACTTACTCATAGCAATATCGCGCAGGGCATAAATGACAATCCGCTTGCTACCCTCGACCTTGATGATTTTGGCAGTGCAATTGGGCATGCAGCTGTGGTTGATGAATCGTGCAATACCTCCCTTTTTCGTGGCGTCAATGACCGTATTATCATCGATTCGGAATAGATAACTGCTGCCAATACCGCTTTTGAGGTAGCGGTTCTCCCGAATCTCTGCAATCTGCTGTCGGACTTCCTCGCCCACATACTCGATAATCATATCGTCCTTGTTGATGTTTTCCATAGCATACAAACCCCAATTGTGAATGGCAGAGCGGGCAAACTTGACAGGCTTCTTCCGCTTCTTGAGCTGGTTGAACTTGAAGACGTCAGAGTCTTGCCCAAGCGTCTTCTTCTGGTCATTAAGGTCAGCCACATATCGTCGGTTTGTGGCGCGGTTTGCTCGGGAGTTGCCCTTGGCGATGAGCTTTTCGGCAGCCAGCCTGGCAGCTTCATTTGCCGCCATAGTGGCGTCTCTGCCCGTCTTCTTGGAATTTGCCTCCCGCTCCTCCCTGGCCTTTTGAACCTTGATATGATGCGGTAGATATTTTGATTTCTCCGAGTTCAGAATCTTCTTGGCCCCTTCAGTTCGCGCGCAGCCACTTGCATTCGGCACATAGTAGCCTTCGATCCGGATTGGGCGACCCAAGAGGCCATCAGATGTGTTGAGTTCCCTGACACGGCTCCGTTTCCACAGCCATAGTTCTGGGTTGCCGATCTCTTCGATCTGGAACTTCTTGAGCAATCTAGTGATATCCGGGACATCGGTCGGTCCCAAGGACAGAGCCGCCAAAGAAGTAATGTCAGGTTTAAATCCGTCGGGGAGCGTTGCTGCGGAAGTCATTGGCTTAGTCGCGAAAAGCCTCTCGTCATATTTCTCGGGCACAATCTCGGGCTCGGGCACCTTCTCGCTGGTTGGTTTCACTTCGTTCGCATCCGAAAGCTGTGATTCAGCCTCGGATTGTTTGGCCTGTGCCTCTTGTTCCTGGAGTAGTTGCTTCTTGGACTTTCGCTTAGATTTAGCGGGCTTCGTCTTGGACAGATTCTCAGCTTGCGACAATGGTCCCTCAAGAGTTGAATCTTCTCGCTCCGCAGTCGCTTCCAGATCCAGACCAGTATCGTCAGAGTCTTCGACAACCTTGAACTCCGCATCAATTTGATCGATTTTGACGCCAAAGAGTTCTTCGTCGGATTTCTTCTGTCTCTTGAATGCTTTCTCGATCGAGATCTCCAGCTTTCGTTTCTTTACAATCGAGCTGTCGATGGCGAGACTGGCCTCTGTCATGGAATCGTCTTCGCCCGGACCCCATGAGGCAAAATCATCCTTGGAAGCCTCGTCATCGGTACTCATGCGACTCCGTGGGCGTGATTCTGATTGGCGAGCATCTCGCGCTGCCAGTACCCTAGCATCTGCATCATCGTCCGATTCAAAGTCGCTATCCAAACTTTTGAGACGATGATGCAAGGATCGAAACGCTGTACGCGCCGCCGAAGCCCGTTTTCGTGCAAAGGGATCGACAAAGGTACTCCGATGAGCGAGGCCTTTTGTTTTACTCTTGCGAATCCTTGGGAGGGCTTTGGGCTCTAGGCGGCCAGTCCGGCGTTCGATGGGATCGGCTCGAGAATTGGGAGTCCCCAATTTGGGACTGGCGCTACCACTATCGAAAGCGTCTTCTTCGGTCTCTACAGGGTCAATGTTGAGCTTCCGCCTCTTAGCAACGTGATTGGCTGGGTTGAGGAATTCGGCCAGCGCCGGCGCTGCAACTTGAGTGCGGATATGCCTGATCAGATGTTCAGTCATCTCACGCCGAACGACCTCCACGGCCTCAATTACAGGGTCGAAATTCTTGGCCCTCTGCCTTTTTTCTTCCTCGAGGTCGGCCTCATCTTCTCTGCGCTTCCTCTCCAACTCTGCCTTATCTGTCCGGTGATCCCTTCTAGGTGCTCGCTCGGGGCTAGGGCTTGATTTTGGGGCGGAATCGATGTAAGATGTTCGGGGTACGCAAAGTTGCATAGCCATGTTGTAGTTGAAGAATTCGGTGTGATTAACAGCCCGAAAACATCGTTCGGCTTCGCTTCGCCCGGTATAAGAGTTTCGAAAAACGATATAGAACCCTGTTTTGTCGAGGCGGATGTCTTCAAATCCATAATTCTTTAATCGCTTCTTCATATGGGGTATTATACTGGGGAGAGTCGGGACACTTTCGGACCCGACAAATATATATGGATCATTAGCCAACTGTGAGCCGATAACCTGTGATTCGACGGCTGCATGAGGGCGGGCTTGCTGTGCTGCGGCCGTGACAGCTGCTGTTGCTGTTGCTGTTGCTGTTGCTGTTGCTGGCGACGGCGCTTGCAATTTCGGCGGCACTGTAACTGGGACTCCGAGTGTTGGGTGAGGTCTTTGGGGTGCGAGACCCTTGGGTGCTGTTGGAGGAGGCCTTGAAAAGCCAGGAGCAGTCGCAGATTTAGGCCCTGTAGGAGGAGGCTTTATTCGTGCCGACTCGTTGGCTAACTTCTCTCTCTCCCTTTTGAGTACCTCTTCCAGCATGCGCCGACTCTTCCGACCTTCAGGGTCGTATTCAACCTTGACAATGTCGGCATCGACCTTGATTCCTCGAGTGCGAACGGCTCGTCGCGCGGCATCAATGGCGGACACTCGCGGACGGTCTGGGCGTTTGGAGTCGCGGTATCGAATGGTTGCGAAGCCGAGATAGCTGCCCGTGTCTGGGTGCATCTTATTGCTGCTTTCTGCTATCTCGCCGAAGGCGGCGAAAATGGCGATGACTTTGTTGAACGACACCAGCGGGTTGTATTTGGTGACTAGGACCTGGGTAGGAGGACCCGGCCCGATGGACGTCTTTGGGTCATACGGATACGGCTTGAGGTTCTCGGGAGCATGGCGCAGGCGTGCTTTGGGCAGGTAATAATCCGTGTTGATATAACCCAGCCTATCTCCCGCCTTTGTGAGGCGAGGGTCCGCAGGGGGGGCGTCATCTTCCTATTCCAACAATTAGCCATTCAGCGCTCCAAAAAACAAATGACGCCCCCCCCCCCCTTCCTCCAGCAGTGGAGGAAATGTGTTATCTATACATACCAAGCCGAATTCCTTGTATACTGGTTTCGCATTCTTGTTTACAACCTTTTTGCGCAGTCGATCGAGGAGCGGGTCATGTATGCACTTGATACCCTTGATCGAAGGCAAGGGGTCTCGAGCTGGGATGCGTTCAATCGAGGAGTTCCTGTCCTGCCGCAGGTGTTGGCCAGCGGAGGCGGCATTCTCTGACGGTTGCCCCGAAGCGCGGTCGACGATTGAAGGCGTAGACATGCTAGACTTTGCAGGCGCGTGGAGGGAGGAGGGCGAGTCTGTGGAGGTGAATGGAGTCGCGCTCATGGATGGTCCGGAGGACGTGGCTGTCGCAACTGGCACGGCAGAGCCGCTGAAGAGGGAGGATGCAGAGCTGGCATGTGAGCTGGTTGAGCCCACGGTACTGGGCATATCACCCGGCGACGACCCGTTGTCGTCGGCTTGCGGCGGCGGCAGGGTGGGATCTGATGAGGTGGTGGTTTGGCAACGTCGAGCGAAATCATTCGAGTCGGCATCTGTCATGACGGCTTGTTCAGGTTCAGGTTCTGGCGCCGGGTCAACGACCTGGAGGCCCCGCTTGGCACGTCCTTGGGCCTCTGTTTTGAGCTTGGGGGCGTTGGGGAAGAATTGCGCGAAGCTCACGCCAGGTGGCGGACGAGTCATCGTGTCGATGAGCTCCTGCTATCTCGAGAGCCGTGGTGTAATCATGATACCTCGCTCAGTGTGTGGTAAGGCTTGCCATGCATCACTTCCGTTCGGGGCTGAGCGGCGGCTTCTGTGGTACGCGCTAGAGCGCCCACGCGACCTGGGAAGCCGAAAATTGAGGCTCCGGATAGGCGGCGTGCGCTGCGTCGCAGAGGGCTCAGACGCTGTGAAAAGCCGGCTCAGGGGGTGAAGCGTCGTCGGCGACCGCGGCGCAATGGCTGGCGAGCTCGAGAAGCCGCGGGTGAGGTGCTGGAGGAGCGGGAAATGCCTTGCAAAGACGCAGCAAGTTGAGCGTTCAAGTTGAAAAGGGACAATGCAATGGGGATGCTCGTTTTCGGCGTAGTCAGCAGGTGGGTTGTCAAGGTTGGCGCGGGCCCGGTCCAGGAATCGCGGAGTGAGGAGCTACGATGTTCCGCACACCAGTTTGTACTTGTATGTGTGTGCCGTTCTCCGTAGTATCGTAGGTGGCTTATTACCTAGTAGTACACTTTACACCTTATATATGCCCAATGAGAATCTCAAGGTAGGTGGTAATTTACACTTTCCAGTGGGGGTCAGGCGAGGCCTCGTGAGGGAAATGTGTTTTGATTTGTTCTTTGTGTTCTTTTTGTTTTTTTCTTCCCTTCCCCTGTTTCCCTTTGAAGGGCGGACGAGTTTCCCATTATAGAACACGGGGGCTCATTCACACACACGCCAACTGTGCAGTTTCAAAGCGAGACCATATAAATAGCAACCCCCCAAATGTATCTAATCTATACGGACATCTTTAGCACCGCCCTTATGCACAACGATCCTTTCACTGGTGGTCAAATGCATCCAATCAACAACCTCTTCCTTGGCCTCTTGCAGCCTTGTCCTAGAATGGTTTCGAGCGCGGCCGTGCGTCAGCCAACCACATGTACTCGCCAAGTGCCGACTCCCTCTCATGAGTGAGTCACCATCAATGAATTAGGACAAATGCGTACCTTTGTTGCTTTGATATTATTTACATACTAGTAATAGTGTAGTACAAAGAGCATAAAATGAGCCAAACATTCCAGCCGTCAGATCTCCATCTCATTCAACTCGTGTGTCTTTGATATTGTAAACCTGTACCTCAAAGAACCTCGCCATGGCCCAAAGCAAGCTCACAATCTTCGACCTTCCCCGCGAACTGCGCGATGAGATTTGGATCCTCATAGTGTCACACGACATGCGCCTCCTCTCAGGACAGCACATGCCTTCCGACATATACAAGACACCGAAAGAGGCTCGCCGGCACCTCACTGTGTTCAACCTCCTCCTCGTGAGCAAGGTGGTCAAGAGAGAAATCAAAAATGCATTTCGCAAGCGCTGTATATTCACCTTTTACACCAGCACGCTTCTCTTGGCCCTTTTGGAGTACGGCCATAGTTCTTGGGGTGGCTCCAAGCTCTTGTCAGACAACCGGGGAATAACTTATACCCCGACGCCCGAGATCTTCTTTGAAATGGGGCATGTCAGCATTTTCCCCAACGGTCCAGTAAACACCAGTCGAAGACGGGACGATGCCTTTGTCTGGTGCTCAAATGGGAGCCGGAGAAGGAAAACGTACAGTCACGCGGCTCGTCCGCCGGGATGGAAGACTCTGGACCCTGGTGCTGCGCGGCTGCTCAATTTCATGCTCAAGTCCCCCTTGAAGCTGCGTAGCTTGGAGATGTCGGCCATCTTGCTGCTCAATATTCGTGTTGTGCGGCAGCTGAGGAGACTGCGAGGAGTCGACTTGCATTTCGCATTCATACCAGACGAAATCGAGCTCCCAGACAATGAGCTGGCAATTGAAGACAAAAAATACCTGGTAAAGTGGCTCGCTGAGACTGCCGACACAAACATCGTCTTGCCAATCTATAAAACGGAGTCAGGTGTTGATCCTGTGTCAGTAGCGCCTCTCTCATGCCTGGTCATCGCTATTCGCCGCGAAGTTGCAAGTAGTAGAGCCGTATCACGAGCCGTTCGCGGTGATGAGAATCAAGTAGATAGGGATCCACCGCTTTGGATCGACTTCGATGATGAGAGCATTGCGACTACAAAAGATATAATAGCGACTTATACCAAGGCGTCCCTGTCGACGCCAACATCAGGATGGTATAGATATTTGGCACGAAACCCCGGCGTCATCTCTCTCGAGATGGCTGAAGAGCCACGCCCTCGTGAGCCGCTCAAGCGAAAAAAGCTCAAACGCCAGCGGCAAGAATGGGGAGCACGGGCTTGGGATGACGAACGGTTTCGTGCTCAGCGGCTTCTACGCAGCGAAAACTTGGATGTGCCAAGAGCGTTGAGGATCTCCAACCTAGGTCTGGAGGACATTGTTATAGCCCATAGATAGGGGCCGCTACCTCCTCATGTGAATTTCTGCTGTGGTCTGTTCATCATGGCAGTAATTACGAGCTAGATCTGTATCGCGGATTGTGTTGAAAACTCGATTATTCGTAGATGATAATAATACTTTACAAGACAAACAAACGTTACAATCCGTTCCTTTAAAGAAATCCGTCATTTTAAACCCCTAAACTCCTGCTGCCTCATTTTAAGTCCAGGTTGATAGAAAAAACAATCTAGAGGTCGAGTCTTAGCTCAAATTCCTCTTCATCCTCTGAGTCCTGGTAGGATAAACCCGCCGCTGGGAGACTGCTGCCAGCATATTCGCCGTCAGAGTCAGTAGGAAAGTGTGAGCGAGTTATAGTCCTTGATACCCTCTCGTTGGATGCGTTCCGATGAACGGGGCTCACCCTGCCAACCGGGCTAAAATCATTGTTGTCGAATTCATCTCGGGCCACACTCTGCGCGCGGGTCAACCGCTTAGAGGCGCTTTCTCCTCGGCTCCGAAGCGCGAATGGTGACGTGAGATCACTGGAGTATAATGCTTCCATGGATGGATCAGCAGTTCGCCGCCTTGATGATCGAGTGACAGCATGTTCTTCATAATCATCCGCCACTAGAGCCTTCGTTCCAGATAATCTAGATCTGGACGATCTGGTTACCATTGTAGGCTGACGTGAAGAAGAGGCGGACTTCCTTTTTTGCCTAGACATTCGCTCTGCAATCTCCATTCCGTCTGCGATATCAGCACTATTCCAGGTAAACTCATCCGTCTCGTGGTCGTTCCGTTCTATAGCCTTTTCTATCGCGGTTTCAATTTCGTCTTCCAGTTGTTTGTCCATGCGTGATACGCCACGAGCATCCACAGGGTTATAAAAATGTTCATAGTAGCCTTTGAGCAGATTGTCTTTGCTCAGCCCCTTGAAGGTGAGGCCACTGCGCGGGAAGACATCGGATTGGTAGGGTAAAGGTTGAGGGTTTGGCGGTGCGTATTCCGGCTCGTCTTGATCTGGATCTTGGCTGTCTCTGAGCTGGGAAAAAAGATTCTTGGGCGCTAATTCAGCTTGTCTTTGCCTTTGTTTCTGCTTCCGCTGCGCGCTCGCGATACTCTTGAGTTGTGTCCTTTCAACCCCATTCACGGCGCTCTTGCCTCCAATTCCAAGCCCTTGGCTGTTCTTGGCTTTTGCGTTCGTCGTCTTGTTGCCCAGAGGAGCTCGCATCCGAGATTCTGACCAATGGATTGGATTAGATCATCTTGTCAAATGCATACATGAAAGGGCCTACATACCCGTTGGGGTCGTCATGGATTTCTTGGAGATGAATTTTTGATTCTCTCCAAGGTTGGTCACTCCCTGAATCGCATTCTTGCCAGCGAATCCGGCCAAGGCATTCTCGTTGCCTCGGCCCAAATCGATTGGTGTTTTCGGATATCGCATGCCGGGTGTCTTTGGCTGCTGCTTGGAGGGAATCTGGTGGCTGAGAAGCCGATTCTCCTGCTCACGATGGGAGGACAGCATTGTAGCTGTGAGCAGTGGAACACAGAAAATATAATTGTCCTTTTTCCTTTAGATGATGAATCCCCAGAAAGCATACACTATGCCTTCCACGGGACAAACCGCAATGTGTGAACAACCGCTGATAGTAGCAATGTTGAATTTCGTAGCGCTAGAATGGCGTGTATTGAGAATCCCGCTGATATGACGTTGACCGGACAACTGGACTCTCGGCTTAGTGCATTTTAGGTAAGCGTCAGATTTCAGGACTGATGCCATATTAGTACTAGCGTAGAGTGCTCCACTGCCAATACGTTATATTGCATGGGCAAATCGATAAGGAGCAATAGAGGCTCAAAGAAGCTGTGGCTTGTGCTCCCAAAGAACCAGCAATACAATGATAGCAATAGACAACGATAATTTCGCATAGTATATTACGATGTTAGTTTCTTTGTGTCGATGGAGACATCTAGGCAGCCATTCATCATTGTGTCGGTGTACATGTCATTTTCTTTTGTTTTCTTTGTGTGTTGCCATCTTTGTATGATTGCGTAACTTCTCATCCTGTCATCCCCGTTTGACGGTACTTGGAGCATCACTTGACCCGTTTCGCCTCTACTAAGAACCCCCAATTTCTGCAAAAGTCTCTCGTTGTCATGCGCCCCGAGGCAGATTGGGCGCCTTGCATGGGTGATGTTCCTGCCTGCTGTAGATTCCCTGTAGGGACCTCTTCGGGGTACTTAGTGCTCGATACCGCCTTAGCACTAAGCCTTCTGGGTACCTAGCAGGTACGGAGCCCGGTTGCTGGAGGGCAGCTCAGGTGTTATTACAGTACCAGTTCCCTGAGGCTCGGCGGGGCGCGACCAGCCACAGACGATGCCTCGTAGAGGGGCATCAAGACACTCTCCTTACCCCACCCCCTTTCCTGGCTGGTTTGACAACTCTACTTCTACTCTGCTCTGCTCTGCTCTGCTCTGTTACGAGTACACTCTACATAAGACGTTTCGAATCCTCTGCAGTTCCGTCTCCCGACCTCTACCAAGAACACCCACCTAAGACCGCTAAATCTTTTCGCAACTTCAAAATGGATCGCATCAAGGAGGTAAAACTCTCGGCACAGCTACACCGACCTAGAGAGGCGCGGGCTAACGGCATGAGCTAGAAAATGAACTCGCTCCGCCTGGAGGCTGATGAAGCCATTGCCAAGGTGGAGGAGCTCCAGACCAAGGTCAAGACTCTCGAGCAGGAGAACCTGGCCAAAGAGCAGGACATTACTTCTCTGCAACACAAGAACGGCCTCCTTGAGGGCGAGGTCGAGAAGCTGGAGACTGCCATCAAGGACTTCAAAAAGGTAGCCGATGAGGGACAAGAGCACGGAACCCAGAACGAGACACTGCAGCGACGACTGCAGCTGCTCGAAGAGGAGGCTGAGGAGGCCGACAAGACTCTGCGCGAGGCTAACGAGAAGTATGTTCACCTTAGGAGCACGTCACCACTCTATCAACCCCCCCCAAGATACGTCGTGGCCGTTTCCACCGAGTCTCGTGCTAACATGTCGATGACAGGCTCCGACAAACTGATGTCAAGGCCGGCCACTTCGAGCGCAAGGTTCAGGCCCTTGAGAATGAACGCGACCAGTGGGAGCAGAAGTATGAAGAGATGGCAAAGAAGCACACCGATCTGCAGAAGGAGCTGGAGGAGCTCCAGAACGAGATTGGAAACATTTAATTGTACTCGCTGGCCAGCATACCCTTTGGCGGCCCGGCTCACACTGTTGTGCGGCTGGACCCTTATAGGCACCACAAAGGAAATAATGTAGGATGTTGCGGGACGCGTGTTGATAGAGAAGATTCGAGTGTCACAGGGAAGCGCCATGTTTAGCAGCAGCATTACAACAATTACGTGTTTCATCACCATGTCTTTTTCTGTTTTTCTTTTTTCCTTTTTTTTGGGGTATCCATAGATCGCTACCGAAGCTGGCAACTATATTCGTGCTTCAAAGCCTTCATTCCGACCTGCGCGCCTTGCTTTTGGCTTTGCTCTTCGCCTTTTGCCTCCTATCCGTAAGCTGCCTCTCGAATTTCGTCTCGTAACGGAATTTTTGCTTCTTCTTTTTGGGCCATGCCGAGGTTTTTGATTTATCTTGGTCCGCTCTCTCCGTTTCCTGCTCTTGATCCCCCTCGGTCTGTTCTTTAGGCTTCTCGGGCCGTTCTAAACCATCTCTTGATATTGAGACGGACTCAACTGTGACTGTTGTATATCGGTCTTCGTCTATGTACTCTTCTTCGTGATCAACAATGTCAAGATTTGGTCGGTCTGGAAACCCGGCCCATTCTCCCTCGTTCGCCTCTTCATCTCCCGATTGTTCTTCGGCGCTGTCGACCTCAATGGCGCCTGATTCCCGAAGTAGCTTGTTGACATGTTCGACGTGCTCTTCAACTTCTCGCTTCCGTTCCTCTCGAATCTATCCGCGATGCAAACGTTAGACCAAACAACGAGAGACGCTAGCATGGAGGAAAAATCCTGGATGTAAACCAATGTAAACTCGGGAAGACGCAAATTACCTGTTTCCTCGTCTGTAGCCTCTCCTCGCGTGCTCTCTTGGCAGCTTCTTCCTGTGCTAGCTTTATGCGCTGTTGTTTTCGTTTATGGAAGCCAGTGAGATATTCTTCTCGAGCGTCGAAGTCGAAAGAGACCTCTTCAACGCCATACTTGCGCTTTTTGCTTGGTGGGGGAAGGACGCTCTTCTTCGGTCTCGGCTTTGCAAACATGATTTTGTGACTTTAATGATTCTTCGGGGGATTTGGTTATGTTGCAACTTTTGTCGTCCGTTGTCGTAATTGTAAAATTTCCCATCTACCTTATCTGGAAAATAATTTGAGGCCGATTTTCAGGAGCTTGCATTATCGTCCCAGTATTTCCTACTTTGTACTAGCGCAGTAATCTAAAATAATAATAATAGCTGACTAGGTACGTACCTATCTTAGCTGCAAGGGATCTCCGGATTTAGCAATAACTGCGATAGTTGCATATTCAGCGGATGATGCAGCGCGCTGTCGCACCTCCGAAGCTCCAAGTCTCGGCTTCTTAATCTGCAACCCAGACCATCTGCTGGCCAGAAATCACAAACAACTGCGGCCATGCATTTCCAGACGATTGCGAGCCTTTTGGCGTTTTCCGGCGCGGCAAACGCCTTTTTCGATTCATCGCCTTGGATTCTCTTGTCAACGTCGCCGTATGTATTTGTCACTGATATCCTTGGTATGATGCTCTTTGATATGAGCTGGAGGCGCTGACCAGATTCATATGATAGCTTTGCCAAGGCCCCCAGCGCGGATCAGATCCAAACCAGCTCTTCAGTGCTGGGCTTCACCAAGGATGCTCTATCGACGTGCCCAACCGATCGTTACCTCATTGTCTCCCAGCCTGGCTTGAACACCCAAGACATCCGCCGATCCAATGGCTGCGCGATGCCGCATCTCTGCAAAGCCGTCGATGATGAGCGAATCAAGGGCAAATCCATTGTGAACGAGGTCGTCGGGAATTTAGCAGATGCACAACTATCAGAATACATCAAGTCTGCCTGTGCTAAACAGGGCAAGGCGGCTACTGTGGAGGAAATCCATCTGGCTCCCTTGTCTTGGGAGGATAGGGCTGGCGCATTCGCTGCCAACGGTTTGTCCTCCTGTTAGAACTGCAACAGTCAGCCTTGACAGTAGCTGATACATACTACGGCAGATGATAAACTTGCACAAGGCCTTGAGAAGGCCACGGAGGGCAACAGCTATACATTCCTCTTCTTCTCGACCCCAGGCGAGCCAATCTATGAACCCGAGTTCGAAGAAGCTCTCCGGACGGAGCTGAAGAGGAATGTTCAGAGCTCTGAACCTTCAAAGGGAGGCAACAATACCGAGTGGGACAAGCTCCCCTTGTTCGAGAAGTACCAATTCTTTACTCCCGGTAGGAATCCAAATGTTCACTTCGCAGTTATACATGGGCTAATCAGCATTTAGGTATCTTCATGGCACTAATCACCGCAATTATTTTGCTTGCTATTCTTAGTGTTGGTATTAGAGCTCTTGGAAGCCTCGAGGTGTCATATGGTGCGTTTGAGAAAGACATGGGCCCTGCCGCACAGAAGAAGAACCAGTAGTGCATCTGCCAGTTCTGGCAAGATATCATGTAGCGAGGTTATGCGTGAGAATCCTGTAACAATAACTCTTTAATTTCCAATATAGGGGTATGTATTTGTCTCTTTTTTTGCGAGTATCATATCAAACAATACAATTTTTCTTGTACTCTCTGCAGTGATGACGTGAACAGGAAATTCATCGTAGTGAAGACGTGAAATCTTAATTTTTCTCTATTCGACCATCTTGGCCATGTCTATTGACGAAAACAAACGCCTTATACTCCTTTCATCCCGAGAAAAATCTTTCATATTCCAATGACAATCTTCTCCGTCGTACTTTACCCAAGTTACCTGTTTTTTCACCCAGTCAACCTCTGCAAACCCTTCCAATGCCTTCCAGCACCACGAAAACTTACACCAAATGACTCGGCAGCAAAAAGTTCGCAATGCCCTCCTTGACGGCATACGAGTGGCCGCAGTTGGCGCACACCAGCTTCCCCTCAGAAATCTGCGTCTCCAGCAACAAGTGGTGCAGGTCCTTGACCATCTTCTCATCAGCCCGCAGCTCTTCCTGCGTCGGCGCCTGCTCAGGCAGAGGCGGGAAGCCGAGCTATTCGAAAAGTTCCAGGGTTAGTTTCACCGGCGGGAAACCATTCTGCGTATATATACCCTTGGTATGGCTAGTATAGGGTATAAGAGAACAAGACAACGTTACCTCTGATGAAGTCGTTCGCAGGGCTGCCCAGTCGAGGCGTGGCAGCACGTTGATCAGCATGTCTGGGTTGAGCTCGATCTCATCCTGCACCAGTTCTGCGTCTTGAGGGTGGAGAGGATATGAGCTGGATGAGGATTTGCAGGCCTTGACGGCGCAGGTCAGGAAGTTGAGACTGAGGACCTTCATTTTCCCGTATGCTTCTTTGATTCTTTTCTTCTTCTTGTTTGTGTTTCAGTTTTGCTTCCTATCGTTATTATTTCTGTTGATATTCTGTGCTGTATTTATGGTATGAAAATGTCCACCAACTTAGTAGAAACTTTAGTACTAGCCCGAGACGCAGCGTTTTTGCTTGTCCCAAAGCGGATCTCCAACTTTTTTTTTCTTTCCCTCCCAAAGTTGCACGATCCACGTGACAGGGGACTCGGCGCTTTCAATGCCTGCGCTCCTTACTCCGTACGCTCTCCAGCATATAACAGAAGATCAGATGGACGTATAATTAATTGCAAGCCTGAACAATCAATTCATGGAATTTCATCACAATACAGCTGCTGAGAACTCTCTGTAACCAAATCTTTAACATTTATTTATAAGCTCGCAATTTCACTGAATCAGGCCAGGTTCTTTTCATGGGCGGATTTGCCAGACTTCCTGAATCGGAGAGTGAGTCCGAGAATGGTGGCACCGACAGCTGCAAACATCACCACACGAAGCGCTCCAAATCCTGCAGAACCCGCGGCATCAGCGTCAATAACCCGCGCTGCGTCAGCCGTACCGGAGGGCTCTGAATTTAAGACCAAAAAACTCATCAGTACACCAGTCACAGGAGGGAATCGAAGAGTAGTTGGAGTCTACCATGTAAGATAAATTTAGAGCTCGACGTGAATACCTTCGGGAGGGACCTCCAGCTCGCCACTCTTGGCGATCTTGACAGTCTTCAATGGGCGGTCAGCGGCGGCAGTCGGGGCGTTTTCAATCTTCTCGACAATCTCGTAACCCTCAAGGACTTCGCCGAAAACGACGTGGCGGCCGTCGAGCCATCTATTCAACATTGCGTTAGCTTTTCTTCATCTTCTTTTTCTCATCGCGTTCCAGAAGAGAAGAGAAAGGAGAGAGGCAATCATACGAGGTAACAACAGTGGTGATGAAAAATTGGGAGCCGTTGGTGTCGGGTCCGGCGTTGGCCATGGACAGGAGGCCCTTCTTGGTGTGCTTCAGCTTGAAGTTCTCATCCTTGAACTTGTTTCCGTAGACTAGATGCAGCAGTTGTTAGTCAGATGGACAGGCACCTTGGGAACCGTCTCTGGGGCTATCCTTACTCGACTTGCCACCGGTGCCGTCGCCCTTGGTGAAGTCACCACCCTGGATCATGAACTGCTTGATAACACGGTGGAAGGTAGAGCCCTCGTAGCCGAAGCCCTTCTCGCCAGTGGCAAGAGCGCGGAAGTTCTCAGCGGTCTCGGGAACAGTCTTTCCATACAGACCCAGGACAATTCGGCCCAGCTTCTCGTCGCCGTGCTCAATGTCAAAGTAGACCTTGTGGGTGATCTTGGGGCCCTTGGCAGCCTCGGCCGACTTGACGAAGAAGAGCAATCCCACCACCAACAAGATGGCGGTGGTAAAGAGCCGCCTGAAGCTCAACATGGTGAATGGCTGGACGTGTGACAATGGATCTCGGTATTGCAGATTGTCGAGATTGAGAAGCAGGGAGAAGAAGAGCCGGCAAGATGGACAGATATACACCTTGCTTAGTATCGCAACTGCAGCTCGGTCCGTTTCACGCCTTGCCCCGCTTGTTCCGCTTTCAAGCTGCTTGCGTGAGGGGCTCCACAGAAAACCCCCCTGGCCTACCCTTTTAGGTGGATGAATTTGGCCACCATTTACCCGGCTGGCACCACACCACACCGGCCTTGTCGAGATTTCTCAAGGTGCGCAAGTAGAGAGAGAAAGAGAGAGAGAGAGAGAGAGACTGGCGCATTGGGTGTTTCTAGAGCGCGGCTTGCAATTCGCATAGACATACAAAAATGGTACGCAATTCCTGCTAATGACTCTATAGGAAAGATACACAAAAGACTGATCGATTTATTCTAGGTGTTCATCTTGGGAGTCAGCTTCCACGAGGGGCAGCTGGTCAAGGTATGAAGGCCTTACGATGCGAAACACAGCATTGCCGTTCGATTTGCAACGTGTGGCTCTAACACTCAAGCAGAAAGCCCTCGAATCCTTCTACGCTCTCGGCCCGACAACCTCTACCCGCATCATGGCCAAGTACTCGATTCACCAGCTTGCCAAAATAGGCTCATTAGCGCCGAGGACAATAACGTCCCTCACGGCGGAATTGTCGCAAATGTCCATAGAGACAGACGCAAGGAGAGCGGTACAGGAAAATATCAGAAGATTGAAGGATATAGGATCGTACCGAGGCAGGCGGCACGCCATGGGTCTGCCAGTCCGTGGCCAGCGAACGAGAACACAGACGGCGACCGCCAACAAGCTCAACAGAGTAGATCGCAGAGCTTAGGGTTCTGGCTGAGCTGAAGTTGTGGCGGAGAGGGCACGGAGTTTCGGAACAGCAATGGGGGGTTACAATTCACAGACAACCCAAAGGATTGGGAAAGCGTCAAAAAAGAATATCGCCTGCATGTACCAGGCCTTGTATAATACGTGTATATGACCAAAAAATAACGTACGAAGAAAACGCTACATGCTATATATCTGCTACGCTTACAGTTTGTCTTCCATGATGGGCGCGCCGTTGGCCTTTAGTTGAGCGGAAACAACGTCCACCTCTTTCCAGACCCTAATGACATTGCCTCCCACAATTTTTGCGGCGTCTACGTCGCTGACTCCTCGTCGCAACAGTTCGGCGATCAGGTCGGGATACTTGGAGACATCTTCGAGGCCCTTGGGGACAGATCCTATACCATCAAAATCGGTGCCAATGCCGACGTAATCATAGCCGATGAGGTTTCCAATGTACGTAATGTGATCAGCGACCTTTTCCAAGGTGGCTTTGTCAGGGTCGTCGGCAGGAAGGCCGTACTCGTTGTCACTTTCGACACACGAGATGAACGACGGAGCAATGTTGACCATGACCACAGAGTTGGTCTTCTTAACCAGCTGTAGGACATGGTCTTTGACGTTGCGCGGGTGGGGGCAGATGTTGTGGACTGAGCTGTGTGAGAAGATGACGGGTGCCTTAGAGCCTTCCCATGACTTCCCGCCAAGGACATCCACCATTGTATTTTCACTTTATAAGCAAGAGAGTGAGCGGGGTTTTCACATATAGTTGGAAGGGGCTTAACATACCTGACGTGAGAGAGATCGACAATCATACCAATGCGGTTCATTTCGTGAACCAACTGGCGTCCATCATCGCTGAGGCCGTTCCAAGCCGGCGGGGCTGCCCTCAACGGACTCTCTAACAGGGCGGCGTCTGCAAACTTGTTGTGGCAGTTGTGAGTCAATGTCGCATATCTCACACCGAGATCGCGAAACAGGCGTAGGTTGCCAGCCAGGTTGGCAATCTGGTGAAGACCCTCAACACCCAAGGGGGAAACCAGCTTTCCAGCCCGGAATGCACTAATCGCATCGGAGCCGTCGACATCAGGGGCAAAGTCATTAGGATAAGCGGCAAACACCCTCTTCATGATGTCAATCTCCTGCAGCGTGAATTGGAGGCCTTTTGCGAAGAATTAGCATGAGCAAGACGTGATGAGCATGGTAGTGGCATGATCGAGCTCTTACTATCAGCATAATTGGCATCCGAAAAGTCTGTGCCGTTCTTCGGGCAGGGTGCGAAGACACTCCAGAAAGCACCTCCGGAACGACCAGCTCTTAATCGAGCGAGATCGACGTGACCCTTGAGCGTTCCATCTTCAAAGGGGCCAGAGAACGAATCTCCATCTAGATGATTGCCATAATAGCCGCGCACAGCAATAGGAAAGTCGACGTGACCATCTAGAGCATTGCGTGTTAGACGTTGGTTTGGAATGTCCTTTCCATGTAATGCATAATGCAGACTTTGAGTTTCTTACCAATTAGAGGAGTAGTTGACAAGATGTTGCGCGCTCTCTCCTCGACTGAGTGCGTCTTGGAGCTGGCTTGTTGATAAATGCGTTCATAGTGATGGACTGCCGGCCTATAGAGCAAGCCGATTGTCGCAATGACCAGTGCGATGCCCGCAGCAAGTTTCTTGTAGTTTGGCTTGTGCGGCTTCTGGTAATAGCCTGCCCTCTCTGCGGTGGGCAGAATCGTGTGTGATTTTGCGGCCATTTGAGGTGATTGAGGGCTGTGAAACGACTGTGAAGGGGAGGATGATTATCTCCGAGATACGCACGCTGGTTAAGATAGTAGTACGCGGTTTGGCGCGGAGTCTTACTAAAAGCCCGGGGTAGATGAGCGTGTACTCGTACTCCATAGAATGAGGAGTCTCGGCATCTGGAGTGCTTGTGCAACTGCTACCTGTGATGGCATCATCTTCCAAACAACAGACTACGTAATACTTGATGAGATTACTATATGATACCTGTGATTTTGTATTCTGTCTGTGTTTTTTTTTTTTTTTGGTGTTGTGCCGTATCTCTCTGGGCAATCTACGTTACCGTATCGTACATACTTCCTTAGACTTGCGCTGACAAGGTGGGAACCGGCGCGGGTGTAGCAGATCTGAAGCAGTGCTAACGTAGGTACAGGTCTCTCTTCTGGCCGTCGATTGGCTTGGAGAGGTGTTATTAAGTACCGGCCCGTTCATGGCCCTTGACCTCATGGAGTAGACACGAACATGACAGCTTCCAGTAGCATTTGGGCACTTACAAACAGTCGTAGAGGGCACATGTTCTCCGCCCACGAGGCTGAACGCCAAGGCATACCGGCGCACCTGATGGCATCCACGCGGCATCCACAGACTCGGCGTACTGTACGAATACAAGCCAGGTACTCGATTGCTATCTGAAAGATCTCAGCCAGGTACTGCTACATTGGACCTCCTCGTGCCTCTTATCACGAACTGCAGACCTGACGATATGACTGGCTCTTTGCTCAGATTCCCCTTATGCAGTAATGCCATCTCCTTGCTGCACTGCACGCCTTCACAGGCAAATCTACACATCTTCACCGCATGCACCCCCGACCCTCTGTTATCAACGACTCGCCCTACGACCAAGTAAGTATGGCCGCGTTTCCCACTGTGCAAAATCTGTCATTGACTGACCCGCTCCCCTAAGAATAGCATCAACTCGACCTTACGTGGCTGACACTGACAGAAGCTAAAAAAGAGAGCACTTGACTTTGTTCACCAGAGGTATCGACTCCTCCTCGCTGGGCTGCCTCTTAGTAGTACCCAGTGGCACCTAGCTATATTACGGCCCCAAAACAAGGAAAAGCAGCGCATTTCGCCGTCAATTGGGGTTCGTGCAGCGGAAATGATAGTCATGGGGCGGTGACCGTATTTGACGATACGGTGAAAAAAATACCTAGGCAAATGCAGAATATTAATACGGTTGGCCCGTGCCCGGTCCAAGATGCCGAAATGACTACGAGTCCCTTCATAAGAGCGTAAGCAGCTTGCTGAAACCAGGAGCTTCGTACAGAATCTGCAGCTGCTGCAGGGAATCATGCAAATTGCTGTCCTCGTACTCATACGTCGATATCAAGTACGAGTACCTGCAGCTTTTGATATCTGCTCCTGAGTCTTGCAGGCGGGGACCGCTAACCAGTAACGCCCGGGCACATGCAAGGTATGTATGTAGGTTGCCCGTACCCAGCTCATGAAGCCGAGAGGAGAGAGAACGAGCGTATTGTGGCATTATTACCATCATGACTACCTGCGGCCTATTAATAACGAGACTGCTGGTTGGCCAGCTACCTACCTCTATACCTTAGTACCTGTAGTGAGCGAATGGCCAACCACTACTGGGTAATGTACCTGTACCTGTGCATGTACGGAATGGAGTCCAGCTTCTGTCAAACTTGAATAGCACAGTCAGCGCCAAAAGAGACTTGGGATGCTGTTTGTCTGCTAGCCGCCAGAGGTGATTCGAGGAAAAGAGGTACCTTGGCCAAGTGCAGGCAATAATAGGGGAGCCCGGCCATTGCCCTGCCAATCACCTAACAGCCCGCCATGTACATGCATACCTGCATCTACCTGCGTCTGAGCCTCGTTCTCCTCCCTTCCCTGCACTAACACTAAACCTCAGGCGCTGCTAGGGACCTCCGTAGGCACCTCGTACCTGGGCTCTAGCTGTTTCGGCCAAACCGCCTCCATGTGAGCCTCTCACCAACGCTGTGCTTGCATTTAACATCTGCTCACTGCGGAGCACAGCGCACTTCCTCTCCTTATTCTCGAGCCTTCTGCGAAGCTCAGCTCTTGTCCAGCCTTGGTCTTCTATTCTGCTTCTGCTTCTGCTTCTGCTTCTGCTTCTGCTCTTGCTAATACCATATCATATCTTTTCCTCTTCGCAACTTCGACTCGACGGCCCGATCTTCGTTGCCACCGCTCCAATTCCTGTTACGACCCCGGCGCGCTGCCTTTGTGTCCTCTCCTTTGTCACAATTTTGGCGCCCCTATTTCTTCTTTGTTTTCCTTCTTGCGGGTGATCCTGGCTGTGTTAGGAGCTCCTCATCGTTGCGATCATCGAGTTGCTGGAAGTCTTTTTTCTCAAACTCCAGAACTCGCTAGCGAGTGAAGAGCCCCCCTTCAAAACAGCCCCTCGTCAGCAGTACGACGTATCTATCGCATGCTCCCACGGTTCAACGGTCGGACTCCGAATAGATAAGGATGCCTGGATTCGCCGATTCCTTCTGGTCGAACGATTATGCTGCTGGTATTTTGAATCCCCGCCCCTGCGCAGGTGGCTTGCCGTCGTCCTTTTTTCTAACTGTCGTCAGGACTGGGTGTCCTCTTCAGCAAGCTTCAGCAGGGTGTTGTGGAAGATCGCCAGGTGCTTACCATAGCTCGATTGCGCGCCGAGGCTGAAGAAGCGTATGGACAGCGTCTCAGTGAAATTGCGCCGGCCGCAGACAAGTTGACTGGCGGCTTCTCTCGAGATGACGGCGCCACTGTTCGCAAGGTCAGTCGGTCAAGTTGGGTCTAAGCTGCGCTGCTGCGGCTTGCGCTGGTGTATTGAATTAGACAATGGGTTTTGCTGACTCTCGAAATGTGTAGGCCTACGATGGCATGCGAACGGAGATGCAGGAGGCTTCGCAAAGCCACATCCGAATTGCCCAGAGCATCCGCGATCTAGTTGTCAATCCCTTTTCTCGATGGTGTGATGCTCATGAGACTCGCATTCAGGATTCTCAAGATGTTCTCCAGCTCCGAATCAAGGCGCACGACAAACAAGCCGAGGTGGTCAAAAAGCTACGGTCAAACTATTTCAACAAGTGCCGACTGGTGGAAGACTTGGAAGAGGAGAACAAGCTTGCTTTCCAAGATCCAGAATCCAGCCCCAAGCAAGCCCAGCCAAACGCCCCACCGGTTCCCGAGATCAAGATTCAGCCTCACAAGGAAGAAGAGCCCCAGAATGAGGAGGTCTACGAGATTGGCGATGATGTCTACCAACCCGAGCAGATGAAGAAAATCCTCTCCCAGATGTTATCGACAATCAAGATGGGAGAAACCAAGGTCCCCATTCTGGGTACATATCTCAACACATCTGCCGGCTCAGATATCGTCGAGTATCTCCAGCGAAGCATGGGAACCACAAGCGTCAGTTACGCTGAGAGAATTGGACAGGATCTCATCTCCAATGGCATGTTGCGCCTCATTGGAAATGTCGGAAACACGTTTGCCAATTCCTCCAAGATGTTTTACCAGTGGAGACCCAAGGCCTTCCAACTTGCGGGGATCCCCGAGAAGAAGCAGACGCTCGGCCGGACTTTCTCCATGCCTGCTACGGGTTCAGATGGCGGCGACTCATCGCCCGTCGTTGGAACCGTGAGCGAGCTGCTGTCCGGCTGGAGTGTGCTCGGCAACTCTAGGCCTGGCGAGACCGCTCCTCAGCGATTGCAGCGCGAAGCAAGGGAGGCGGATGAGACGTACAAGGCCGGTGTCCAGAAGCTCGATGAGCTCCGTTGCGAACTGGAAGAGCTCATCTTCCTGCACCTCAAGTTTCTCGAGCGCTGTGAGCTCGATCGGTTGAAGGCTATCAAGACGGTCATCCTCGACTTCACGGGAACTATTGGCAACGTCATCCCCAGCCTGCAGTCGACTGTAGACAAAATGATGCTTTTCCAGGAGACTGTGCAGCCCTCTGGCGATCTCCGATATCTTTTGGAAAACTACCGCACTGGAAGCTTCATTCCAAAGGTCGTAGTCTATGAGAATTACTACAACAAGGTTGACGAGCAGACTTTTGGCGTTGATCTGGAGGCGCGCGCGAGAGCCGATAAGAAACGTGTGCCCATCATCATCACCACTATCCTGACCTATCTCGACAACCACTACCCTGACTTGGAGGGCGACGAAGCGAGACGAGGAGTGTGGCTGCTCGACGTGCCTCTTGCCCAGACACACAAGCTTCGTGCAAAGATCAACGACGGCAAGCCAGTTTCTCCCGAGGTTTTCGACGAATTTGACATTCCAACCGTTGCGACCCTTCTTAAGCTTTATCTGCTTGAACTTCCTGGTAAGAAACAACTCTGGCCTGCTCCATTCAAAGACCTCTGCGTAGACTAACATTTGTTTTCTCTCTCCTCTGCAAGATTCCTTGGTTTCCTCTCACGTTTACGAAATCGTTCGAACAATCTACACCACCCCGGCCACCGACTCGTCAGAGACCTCTCGAATTGCGGTACTTCAACAGACTCTTTCACAGTTGCGACTAACCAACATTGCCACATTGGACGCTTGCATGAATCACTTTACGCGTCTCATTGATCTTACCTCGGCTGATGAGGAGTACGTTGCGGCCTTGGCCACTTCTTTGGCTCCTTGCGTCCTCCGCCCACGAACAGAAACTTCTCTCACAATGGAAGAGAAACACGCGAGCCGACTGGTCCGCGACCTGTTTGCGAACAAAGACGCAATCTTCAGCGAGCTCAAGCGCATGTCAACTGCCAGCCACTCCATCTCCGTCCCGGGACGTCCTCGAGCTATCAGCACCGATGAGAGTAACAGAAAAGCTCTGATGGAAGAGAGAAACAAAGCCTTGCTCGAGAAGAAGATCCACCACGCCCCGCGAAGCCGCGCCACCAGCCCAGCTCCTGGCCCGCGAGGTCATCGCCGGGAGCGAAGCAGCGGCGGCCCCGAGACGCGATTTCCTATCCAGACCAGCCCGACAACCTCCTCAGACCGCCACCGCAGCAGTCTTGGCAGTCTGAACGCCATCAAGCGATCCAGCCTGGAGGTTCCTGCGCCAGATGGCAGCACCAGTCCCCCAGACGCCACGAATGGATCTCCCCTCAAGTCAGAGGTCGAGCCCGAGCCGGTCTTGGAAAAGCGTGACAGCCTGGGTAGGGGAGCCGCGGCCAAGTTTGGTGGCGGCGATCCCGCCACTCCACCAAGGGAGACCAGCCCTCGCGGTGTGACCCTGGAGGACAGACCGATGGAGTACTAGTGAATCTCCAGCTATGATGACACGTTTTCCCTTCTCGTTTGCATTGTATGGATTACGGACCATGACGAAATGTGTGTGCTTTTGTTTGTTGTAGATTCACCAGAGCAAATGGCGAAACTGTGTATGGACTGTCTTTCCCTTTGTCGTGAGAGAAGGAAAACAAAAAAGTTTGGTATGAAGGGTAGATAGATGCGTTGGCTGGAATCTGGAGTCAAGGGAGGTATTATAGGACAAGGGGGGGGACAAGGGGGGGGAGGTTGAGATGCCATATATGCGCTGCACTATCTTGCTTTTTTTGTTTTTTATTGCTTTGGAAATATCTTTTATTCTAGTATTGCTATCCTGGCACTTTTTTCTCTTCGTCTGTGACAGTGTTTACGGAGGAAAAGTGAACAAATGTGACAAATATAGTGATGCTTCCCCCCTTTTTTTTCTTTGACGAAGACTACGCTCGCCTGCTCCTCTATACAAATCATCTCCATATGTACAAACTTGTCTGCGTGATAGAAGAGGAATACTGTCCCCTTGCTTCTAATTCCCGCATACAAGGATAATAGCATCATGCCAAAATCCCACCTCATCCCGCCGCCTCGACTTCCTCGACGGGTGCCTTCTTCTTCTTCTTTTTCTTTGGTGCTACTTTCGCAGAAGGACTCCCCGGCGCATCTTCAGTTGCGCCGCCGGGCTCACTACCTTCCACCGTCTGCGCCACGACCTTTTTGGTCTTCTTCTTTGGCTTCACCTTTGTATGTTCGTTCTCATCGTCACCCACAGCCTTCTTGGCCACCTTCTTCTTCTTTTTCTTTATGACGACGCCTTGTACATCTGCCCCCTGAGCCATCTGGATCCTCTCGTTGGCTCGTTGCATCTCCAGTCGTAACCGCTCCACCTCCTTCATGGCCTGCTGCATCTCCGCCTCCTCCCGCTGCTGCCTTTCATGGTCGAATCCTTCAGAGGCGTTGCCTTCCAGGCTAAAGGACCCAATGGTGCTCGAGTCAACTTGTAGGAGAGAGTGCTGCTTCAATTTCTTAGATTTGGCCTTGGTAAGGTTTCCGGAGCTATTTTCCGAGTCGTATTGTCGCCCGGTGCCGCTATCGCTCCCTTCTAGGGTCTCGTCCGCAGCAACAATAACTCTCTGTCGTGGTTGAGGGCGCGGTCGAGAAGGCGCAGCGACTGTATTTCCAATCTTCTCGAGGTCTAGTTGCATGACGGGGATGGAATCGATATCCAAGGCAGGACCATTGTTGTTTTGTAGGATGTTATGAATGGGGGTTGATGTTCTAAGGATATTCTCGCTCGGGATGTAAAAGGGGTCATCTTTGTTTTTCTCCATCCTCTCTGCCTTTCTCTTCGCAAGAATGTCTGCATCCAAATAACTCTCCTCGCTGAGTTGTTGATAGGAGCTTGCCATGTCATCATCCGGATCGGCCAGTCTGCTAATGGCTGGAGCCGATGATGAGATGCTCGAAGGGGGCGGTCGTTGGTGATAGTAAACCTCAAACTCATCAGCCTCATCTGACTGAAGTGTAACAATATCGGTTTGAGCCAAGAGCCGGCCGAGGTTGCTGTGTATCGGTTCATCTAAATCCAAACCCCCTGGAAGGGGCACATTCTTTTGCGCATGTATAGCAACCGAATTGAGTTCCCAGCCAGTGAACAAGGATGGAATAGCCTGTGTGAGTAGCAATGGTGGCCCTTGGCTGTTCTCATCTGTTGATGGAGGTTGTCCTGAAGCCGCTTCTGCCGTCAGCTTGAGCAGCTCTATGAACTCTACCGCCCGCTCTTGTACTTCAAGATTTGGATGAAGAGCCAGGGGCTCCAACACGTCTAATATGCGCGCAAGGAGAAGCGATATCCTTGATTTTCGTTCCGAGGTCCACGGTTCAACTTCGCTGCCGGCGATTGATGAGAAGACTTTGGCAGTAGCATGGAGCGCTACCGCGACAATCTCCGGTTTCCCGATTCTCGGAATGGCCTGGAGAAGCCCGTTGAGACTATCATCCGGCAGGGCTAACTGTATAGAGTATTCCCCAATAATCCATATAGCCGACTTTAGAGCCCCTGAACTCAGCGGATGTCCAATCGGATTATCGCTGAGCAACTGGTCGAGAATAACGTCCGCTGCCCTAACTGCGGTTGCCCTCATTGCTCTGACCTTGACAGCAACATTGCGCAGCTCGTCTCCAACCTTTTCAGAAACATCAACCTGTTGGCGGGTCGGGAGCAAGGCACCCGTGTCGGCATCGAACGTTCGGGGGACAGGAGCCATTCGGACAAGTTGTGTCAGCACATCAATGTACCAATCAAAGTCCAATACACTCGAATAGTTGTCCTTGAAGCACATGAACAAGATTCTTTCAATGATGTCTATCCGATAGTCGTCAGGAATGAGGAGAGCTTGGGTGTCTCGGACAGTTGGCGCGGTAATAGCAGTTTGCGATTCATCGTCCGATTCTGTTTCGGGAGTGTTGGATGAGCTTCCTGGAGGACGGCGATCCTTGGACGGCGATGAAGACTTGAGCTGCTTCATCAGGCGGCTCACTATGGGGACCAAGTTATCGCTGGTAACCATGCCCTTTACAAGATTAAGGGCTTGGACGCGGATGGTAATATCTGTACTATCGATACATTCCAGAATGACGTCCTCCTGCTGAGAAACAAGATGTGGGTGTGTGAGAACAATCTTGTTAAAGGCCAATAAGGCAACATATTTTACTAAGTGGATAGGTTAGCCACCGGAAGGAGTTCATGAAGAGTTTAGATCATGGTACTCACGATTTGCATCACCATTGATCATTATCATTCCTCGCAGCTTATTGACACAGAGAGTTGCAATTTCGTCTGCTCCCGAGATGTCTTCGGCGCTGTCTAGAATGCCACCTTGGATGATGCCATTGATACATTCGTACAGCAATGACATGGCAGGAGTGGTTCGGATAATGTTAGTAAGAGGGGGTAGCAGTTTTTTAACAAGACGGGGCTCAAGCGGTGTTAATGTCGCAAACTGAATCATGATGTTAGCCTAAACGGAAGTAGAGCCCGAGGGATAGGAGAGACAGACGAGCTTGATGAGTTTGATGGCCATCCAGTTGTTGCCGCTGTCCACCAACAGTTCGAAGAGTCGCGGTGCCAGAGGCAGAAAGTCATGAGGTCGCCGCGAACCAAGCTCACAGACAACGTTGACAATAGCTGCCGTTACGCTCGGGTCTTCGTTGGGATCCATCAGGCGATCTTTGATCTTTGGCCAGGCAGCACGCAAAGCCTCGGGGTATACGAGCGCCAGGCGATATAGCGTAACGAGGGTCTTTTTGCGTATGTTTGCATGGCTATGATTCAAGCGTGGTAGCAAGTCGGCGAGGGTCGAGAGAGCCAAGGACGGAGTAATGACATGGGGGAGGGTGGCAATCGGAAGGGATATAACCGTTGGAGTGGTGGCAGCCAAGTCCTAACAATGGGAGAATCAGCATTGGGCAATTCTTGAGGAATCTCATGAAGTACCTTTTTCAGAAGATTGGTAGCTAGCATGAGAACTTCAGTATCATGCCGGAAGCTCTGCACAGCGCCAAGGTATCCCACGCGCTTCTGGTGGTACTTGGGCGACGACATGACCTCGAGGACATGGAAGGAGGCCCATGACATGTCGTGGCCGACCATCTCGAGGTAGATGAGCTTTAGAAGGGCCGTTGCCTTGAGGTCTAGACAAAGGCACAATCAAAATCAGAACCGCCGTCGCGTTGGAGAAGATGAAGAGAGGAAAAGAGGGAACCAACCCATGTCTTGGCTGCGAACCTCGGCGCGGCACTCCTTGAGCGTCTTCTGGATGTACTCCTTCTCATTGCCCTTGTGGTTGCGCAGACCTCGAATGAGGTCGTAAAGGGATTTTTCGAACCTGTAACCCCCACCATCAGCGCCCTATCTCGTATACAACACATAATAATTCGAGGTGACTCTACATGTTGACGAACTGCCCCACGCGGGGCCGGTGCAGCAACGGGTGAAGTCTGCGAGATCTATCGGGAAGCGAGGCGTGGCTCGTCAGGGGATGATGAAGGCTTGCAGCAGCCGGTTCATCCTGCTATCACGTCGATCGAGGGTTGTCGGCGCTGGGCTGGGAGAGCTTCGAATAGCTTCAAGGTCGTTTGGTGCTGTTTGGCTTAGGTAGGTGACCAACTAAGCAGGTACTCGTAACGTCGTCCAGGCTTGATGACGGAATTACCGCCGAAACTTCGGAAGCTGAGAGCGCGGCGAAACCCCGGTCAGATTGCAGACAAAATAAGCCAGTCAGTATTTTACATCTATGAAGCCAAATAATGTCTGATCATAGAGAATGAACTGCAAAAAAGTCTTTAAGAATTGGTTGCTTAAGTATATAGAGGTATCTAGAATGTAATAGATGGGAGATATCGACGATTGATACCCGCTCTACCGAAAATCCAGTCCACGCAATTATTAGAGGTCTTGTTCATGGCAGTCCCTCTTATTTTGTCCATCGCTATCCTGTGACGTCCTCGGCAGTTATTGGCGCAGGATTCACAAAGAGAACCCTTTTGGCCATCATAAAGCTTGCAACTCATCACCTTTCTTCTCCGTTTTATATCTCTCTGTTTCTCTTTTCTTTTCTTGCATAAAGTCGTCAATTGGTGTTAATCGCCATGGAATTGGCCTCTATTTAATCTTAATCCCAACCGTTTCTACAAACCAATCCTCAAAAGGCGCAAACCAGTCTCAGACTCCGTCGCAATCGCAATCGCAATCGCAATCGCACCACGAACCGCACAAGCCATGGCCGCCCGGACAGCATCTCAACGGCTTCTTCTCCCCAGGCCATCCATCCCTCTCCTTCGCCCCTCAAGGATTCCTAGCTCTCAATTCCCTTCTCCCTCTCGCCGCGCCTTCATCTCCCTCCCCGGAACATCCCCCCAAAGCCTCGTCGCCACCCGGACTCTCCCCTACCGTCACGAGCCTCTCTACGAGCTGATTGCAGACGTCGACTCCTACTCTGCCTTTGTGCCCTACTGCTCGCACTCCCAAGTCACCAAGTGGTCCTCGCCAGACGATTCTGGCCGCCGCTGGCCCGCCCTCGCCGACTTGCACGTGGGCTGGGGCGGCTTTGACGAGGTCTTCACGAGCCGCCTGCTCTGTGTTCCTGGCGTCTCAGTCGAGGCGCGCAGTGGCGGCTCTGCTGGAGGTGGCCTTGTACAAGATGCCTCTTCCGTGTTCAAGACTCTCGAGACCCTCTGGTACTTGACGCCAGTCGCTCGCCAGTCTGCGGCGCCGTCGACCGAGGTTCGGCTCACCATCAAGTTTGAATTTGTCAACCCGCTCTATGCCGCAGTTAGCGCTGCCGTCTCCGACAAGATCGCTGCACTCATGATTGACGCCTTTGAGAAGCGAGTGCACTGCAAGTTGGGAGCTCAACAGCGCCTGTAGCATAAATCTGGCTGGAGAGCTGTAGAGGCCCATCCATGAATGACGATAAAAGATTATAAACGAGGGCAGATAAAGAGTTCACTGGGAAATAGAAAGAAAAGTAGCTGTTAGACGGTTATATTGATAGATAGATCTCCTAGACTTGCGACAACTAATCATCCCTGCTTGCGTAGCTCAGCAGCTTTCCGTTCTGGCACAAAGACAAAATTCACAAAACACACAAATACATCATATCCTCATCAGACGTAGCCAACCACCTTGTCTAACCCCCACCAATTGCTCCCTAATATCCAAATGCCATCCTCCATATACGCCATACATCCTCGCCGCTCATGTCGACCCGCCGGGTATAAGACAAAGGTAGGGCCCATCATGCCTGGAACTCAGCGCAACGCACTCGTCCCCTCTCATACAGGCCCTTGTCGCATACTCTAGTATAAATTCCACCGGATGTGAATATAACGAACGGCAAGCCCTGGACCACCACCACGGACAGCGAAACAAGAGGGGAATCTTTCGCTCAAAAGGATCATAAACATGGGAATCGGATGGCGAAACAATAAAAAAAAACGAGAAAATAGAAGAATCAAATCAAGTCGCTCGGATATAGGGCGCAAACGTAACCAAATCGTTTCTTTTGAATGGAAAGCCATGCAACAACGTATGGGGGCGACATTATTTCCTGCTTGATGACCTATGTCTGGCGTTAGTAACATTTATTATTCCCCTCTTAATAGACGGCAACTTACTTCTTTTTCACAGGCTTTCCAGAAAGGAAGCTAAGCACGCCGACATTTTGCTTGCTACTGCTACCGCCGCCACTCTTCTTCTTGGGCGGCGCAGCATTGACAATTTTGATATTGGGGGGCACAATTGGCGGTCCCCGAGGCGGAGGAGGAATACCACCACCACTACCACCTCCTCCGTGTATTCCTCCTCCTAGTCCTCCTCCGTGCCAACCAGGAGGCGGCGGAGGAGGAATATTAATGCCGCCGGGTCTTGGTCGGTTGAGGGGTGGCATTCCCGGGGGCAGATGGTCCTTATTCGGCATCGGTGGCATCCCAGGTGGAAGTTTTGGGCCGCCAACCGGTGGCGCCTTGTCGAGCGGCCACATGGTCATGGTAATGGCCCAATCCGGCTCAATCACCTTCTCCCAGACAGAGGGAAGGATGATGTCGCCATTAGGACCGATCAAGTCATAGTGGCCCTCTTGGACATGTGGACCTAGAACATCCACCTGTAAAAAGGCCTGCTTAATCAACTCCTCCATTCCCTGTTGATTAAGTGATGTTAGCTTACCATCCCCAAAGTATCAAACAAGGATGAGCAAACAAGAAGAAATGCCATATCAGTGGCCGCAACGTACCTGCCAGGTATTGCACAAGTGAAAGGGGAAGCTAAACTTCCGACCAACGGCATCTTTGAACTTGATAGGAGCCAACTCCGCCTTTTTGGCAGCCTCCTCTGCTTTCCTAGTTGCTTCTTCAATGGTGGCCCTGGTCTCATCTTGGATCCTCTTCCTCAGTTCCTCAGCCTCGGCCTTTGCAGCGGCAGCGGCTTCAGCAGCTTTTTGTGCGGCCTCTCTTTCTGCTTCGAGCCGGGCCCGGTGTTCAGCCTCGGCCTTGAGTTTGGCTTCTTCGTGGATCAATCTGAGTCTCTCGGCCTCTTCAGCCTCCTTCTTTGCCGCTGCGGCCTTGGCGTCGGCCTCGGCCTTGAGAGCCGCCTCGACACGGGCTCTGGCTGCTTCCTCAATCCGGGCAGCTTCTTCGGCAGCTCTCGCAGCCGCGGCTGCCTTGGCTTCGGCCTCGGCTTTCATGGCAGCTTCAAGCCGGAGGCGGGTTTGCTCTTCAATCCGGGCAGCTTCTTCGGCGGCCTTCTTTTCAGCAGCCGCCTTGGCAGCGCTTTCTGCCCTGATGGCGGCCTCTAGACGGAGACGAGCTGCCTCCTCAGCCCGGGCGCGGTCTTCGTCTTCTCTCCTCCTCCGGTCTTCAGCTGCCTTGATTTCTGCTTGGAATTTGAGTCTCGCAGTTTCCTCTGCCCGGGCCATAGCTTCGGCATGCTGTCGCCTTCTATCCTCTTCTGCCTTCCTCTCGGCCTCGATTCTTTCACGAGCAATGCGATCAGCTTCCAATCGAGCTCGCTCAATCTCTTTCTTGGCCTCCTCCTGCTGCAGTCTCATTTCCTCCATCTTCCTCGCCAGGGCATCCTCGGCATCCTTGCGGATCTTCTCCTCCAGCTCTCGCTGCTTTGCTGCTTCCTTGGCCCTCTCCTGTTCGGCCTTGAATTCAGCAAGCTCCTTTTGCAGACGCTCTTTTTCAGGATCGGGCGGCGGGGGCGGAGCCGGAGTGGGCTCTTTCGGGGCCGGAGGTGTAGCGGGGGCGGGAGCTTCAGTTGGCGGTGGCTGCGGTGGCTGCGGCAAGTGGTATTGCTGCATATGAGGCGGCAAGTTGTTGTAGTGGGCCCCAGGTGGTCCGTTATAGTAGGGACCTGGAGGCGGAGCGCCATAGGGCATCATGTCATACATGTGCCTCTGATCCCCCCCATAGTAGCTGCCAGCGTTGGAGCCGTTGGCGGAGAAGGGATTGGCGCCGTAGTTGCCGTAGGGCGTCATTTGGTTGCCGCCGTTGTAGCCCATGTACGGGCCTACATGATTTTGCTGCTGAGGGGGATAAGACGGATGTCCACGGCCGTAGTAGCCGTTGCGACCAGCTGGGTGCTGCTGATGCTGGCCATGGCCATAGTGGCCATAGTGGCCGTATTCTTCGGACGGATCCACGCTGGGCGGTGCGGCGGGTGCATAAGACTGCACCTGCTGATGGTAGGAGGCGTCTTGTCTAGCCGCTGGGCGTTGGCGCCTCGCGGCGGCTTGTTCCGAGGGGCGGGTGCGTAGCTGTGGCCTGCCGCCGTGGTTTGTGGAGGCAGAGTCGGAAGGCTGAACGTCGTCGTCGTAGTCGTCGTAGTCCGTGTAGTCCTCCTGAGAGTCTTCTTCGCTCTCGTAGGATGGTGGGCTGCGGCGCCTCTCGTAGCCAGCGGTCCTCTCGTAAGAGGTAGCCCGAGGCTGCGGTCGTCGCTCGTATCTATAGGAGGCACTGTCGGGTGGTGAGAGTCAGTAAGGTTGGTCGCAAGCGTGGCAAAGCAAACATTAGGCACTGTACTAACCACATAACAGGCGAGCTTGTGGCAGTATTGCCCTCTTCTACTCACCACGGGCCACACAAGATCGCCCGACGATGGGACGAGCGTTTGTGTCTAGAATACCTGGGGAATGGTGGTGGGGGACGAAGGTTGGGTTGCCTTTAGGGCGGGCGGCAACGGGGGGAAAAAATGGCAACGAGCCCAAGCCGATTCAGTCAGTCAGCAGCCCGGAAGTACAATGGCAGAGTCGACAGCAAAGTGCAGATCCGGCAAGCACCTGCAGGTCCGTAGGGCGAGGCAGTGGAAGAGAAGGGAATGAGAGGGAAAGGGAGAAACTAGAAAGTTGAGAGGAGCGAGAGCGAAGAGAGAGCTCAAGCGAATCAAGGGCTGGTCGCGGAATGACTAGCAACAGTCGCTAATGCGACAACAAAAAAGTACTCTTGCTTGCGAGGGATGGTAGAGCGGACCAGTGTGTACATGTGCCGGGCAACCAGCCAGAGGACAAGCCGAATCTAGTAGGGCGATACAAGATGGCAAAGATAGTTTAGTGCTCCCTCGTGTCTCAAACCGATAGAGAGAGAAAACAGAGACGGCGGACAAGACGCTCGGCTTGCGGGAGGGGGTTCCGAGGCCTTATGAAGCTGCCAAAGTAGGACCAGAATGAAGAGTCGAGCGGTACACAAGGCGTGCGTCAGATGCAAATGACAGGCAAAACAACGGCCAGCCTCGACGGGGCTGCGGGCGATCGGCGGTGAGGGGATGCTGAGATCTTGGTTGGAGAAAAAAAAAAGCTGAAAAAAAAAAAAAAAAACAAGGTGAGGTGAGGACAAGTCGAGAGTGTGTGTGATTGTGTGCTTTTGCTTGCTTGCAGGTGCAGGTGCAGGCCAGGTGCAGGTATCGACAGGTGCTAATGCGCAAGGCCAAAGCGGCTGTGCCACCCATGCGAGTACGTGGAGTGTACGGGGAAGATACTTTTGGTGAAACGATCAATTGGACGGCGGATTGGGCAGTGTTGATGCAAGGCCGGGTAGCATCAGTGTACTCCCGCGTACAGCAACAAGGTGTGGCGCTGCCAGCCGCCGATTCTTCTAACAGCAGGGAGTCGCTGTTATTAGTGGAGAGACTTTTGCAGATGAACAACGCACACTGCGGACAGACAAGCGAGTGACGCCTCAGGATCAATCAAATACTTTTTTTTGTTTTGTTTTCGTTTGGTTTGTTGTTTCTGGCGGATCGAAGCTCAACCCCTGGTGGCCAATCGCAGAGACTCAGTGAGAAACAAGGTGAGTTGAGTCTAGAGCTAGAGAGGAGGATGCTGTACTAAAGCTCACTGCACGGATCAAACAGGAAAGGCTGGCATAACGTTGGTGAGACCGCCGTTCCGTGCTGAGTGGTTTTTCTCTTTCTTTTGATCTTGGTTGAGTTACTGTAGATGGCAGCTTCGGGTGTTATTTAAGACAAAAGCCCGCTCAACTCGGCTCTTCTAATACTATTCCATTCTTTCTCTCCACAGAATTCGCGTTGAAGAAACTCCCTGCAAATAGCGGCACTAGGATTATGGATTTGTCTCAATTACCCAACTCGGAAACCACCAGGTACCTGGCTGGCACCTAGGCACCTGGTAATAGCGGGCTGTGGGAAAAAGTATCTCGTTGTACTCGACTCGGGCACCCATATCGGGAAGCGCAAAGGAATCACAGCAAATCATCAACCCCAAGCCAGTTGGGTCTCAGAGAAGACCAATGCCCAAAGCAGGGCGGTGCAGACTGAGGTGCCCATTATCACCATCATTGCCATTATTACTCGTACATTATTGATTCTTTTGGCAGCGTGTGATGTGATATGTGAGAGTGCGTCGTGTAACTGGTCTGCTGTGCGCCTATGAGCTGGCTGACTGACTCTTGCCTGCGTGCGTATGACTTGTTTCTTTTCTTCTTCTTCTCGTCGCACAGAGACGAGGTTGACATGAGCAGGCTTGTTCAGCCACGCAGCTTCGGTTGTCCAGTTACCCGCGACAGCCGATGACTTGTGCATTCACCAGGTTGACCGCCCCCGCTGACGATGTGCTCTCTCATCATGCTTTGGTTATGACGGCAACAGGAACAGTCTCACCGACAGGTGAATGCAGGCCTTGCGTATATTCTCAGTTCTCAGCTGCCTTTCCTTCCTCGTTGCAGAAACTTACCTGCAGGTGTTGGTACTGCTTCTCCATACTAACTACCTTGTACAGCAAGTGATAACAGACAGAGAGCCGACGGTGCGGTCAGCCAGCTCCAAGGTCAACTTTATTGAGCTGATTGGCCCTCTGCTGCATTGGACTTGTATATGGTACGAGGACGTTTCCATAACAATGTACAAGGGCAACCAACCACCGTATCGGAGCATATTACCTATCGATTAAATCCTTCCGCTTGAGTCGCCTGAAGGCCGATGCTGAGCCCTGAGCAATGTAACATGATACGTGTTCCTGGCGGTGGTGAATCGTGTCTGCGATACGATATATGACAACAGAACGACCCGAGCGCGCATCCTTGTGTTCTACAGTAGATGTACTGAGAAGTTGCGGGATATCAGCAAGAAAAACATCCAAGCTCGACAGACGGAAGCCATGCAAGGCCTCTTCACAACGTCCAGCGTCGTCGTTTTGTGTATCACTCGTCATGAAACTCACGAATTATCGATACATAAAAGGTCATTCATTATAGTCCATTTCCGCTGGACCATGGCTAGCAGCAAGAGCTCAACCAAGAGTAGCCCAACGACTGCTGGCATCTTCCAAGCGACGGCATCAACATCAGCATCAGCCTCAGCTCATATCCACAGTTGGTCTGTCGTCGCCCCATTCATTTTTGATCCCGCGCAACCCTTGTTCTCTCCAGGTGTGGGCTTCTGCCCTGGTCTCAATCCGGAGTCACAGGGATTCCAAAATTCTTCATTGCGGAGCCCAAAATAACCTGCATTGGCGCCCAACCAGCTCCATTGACTCATGCCTGGAACAGCGCTGCACGGGTGCATGAACCTGACAGGCAGCAAGAGGCAGCCTAGAAAATCATGGATGGACATCGTGGCGAAGAGAAGATGCCGAGTTTTTCAGTGCCCCAGCTTCGAGTTGAGGGTCCGCTCACAGCCTCACTCGTTGTACCCTGATTTGGACCTTGCCATTATCCACTTACACGCAAGTACTTACATTCATAACCACAGCAAACTACATATATCTGCAACCCAGCATGGATGGAGCTTCTTTAGCCTCCGGTGCCGCATCGGTGAGGCTACATTCCCTTGACATGTGCGTTGTCCGCTTTTCTCCTTATTTCTTTTTGCCGACATGCACCGTCCATGTACAGTACATGCATGCTTCCGTATGAGGTTTCCCAGCTCCCGAAATCAGATGAGGCGGCAGTGTTACGGCCGAGCCCGAGCCACTCGCAGGCCGACACGGGATTGCTTGGTATGCGTAATGTGCAATGCGCAATGCTGTGCGACAAGCAGTACAAGGTCGCGTAGGTCAGATATCTTGATCTGTGTCGGCCCACCCGGATAGTACGGAGTACCTATAGACAGAGTATGTACGGTTATGTATTCACATGATTCAATGCTGTGTGCTTGAGTCTTGGCACTGGTATTTAGTACGACCATGGCCGTTATTCACCAAGGCTCTACCCGGTCGAGGCAGTCGTCTTGCATATTATTATGTATCTATTTCATATTTGCCACAGATCATTCATCATATCCATTATGACAGCAGTTTTGAATGGCTCCACGATAGAAACTCCACGTGTCCGACTGCAGGGTGTGTCCATCAACCTGTTTTGAACGCTTCACTATTACAGCGTCTGGCGATGATCTTTCCATCTGAAGACGGATAGAGCCCGCCTGCTAGTCTCCAATTGTACCACTCAAAAGACTTGAATAACCGATACGCAAATGGTCGCCGACTTGAAGAACGTGAGTAACTTCCTCCCTTGATGTCTTCATCGCACAACCTTTTGTGAAGATTCCGAAAGATAAGTACGGGCGGCAGCCACTTCTCCAGCATCATATCCCTGCCAAAGAGGATCCTTTGCATCGTACTTCCGCACGATATCGCCTAGTTTCTTGGTCGCAGCCTGATTGAGCTTTTCAATGGTCGATGTTTCCGGCAGAGTGAACTCATCAGACTCTGGTGATTTCTTCCCCTTTGAGTTTGCATCGAGGAGCTTATCGGTGACCTGTTTGTTGCAAGCGTTAGTTAGCCAATTTTGGAGACTGCCTTTAGATCTCCTACCCGTTTTAGTCCGTAGTAACCTCGTAGGTAATCATCAGAGAGTTCAATGCTTCGGCAAAAGCGTTTTAAGCTCTCTGCCAGATAGTTCTGAGGGTTGCCCTCATTCCCAGACTCTGCAGCCATCAAAAGCACTTCACCCAAGCGGGCATGGAGCTACAGCAAGAAAAGAAGTATCAGTAATGGCTCCATTTAGATAGCATATTTCTTCCCAAAAGGTAAAGCTCACATTCCATGCATTTGGCGCTATGATGAGTGCCTCCTCCTGAGCATAGATGGCTTGCGCGTATAGACCTTGAGAAAGATACAAGTCTGCCAGTTCCATCCAGGCCTCTGCATCGGTAGATGAGAAATCCAGGAACTGCACCAGAGCTTCAATCGACTCGGATGTTTTACCCATCGCACGCAGCAGCGCAATCCTCCCTTTTGAGATTGGCTGTTCATGGTCAGTCTTAATATCCATTGTGTTGAAGTTTCGCAATGCTTACCACATTGGTGTTGTCCTTGGCCAAGATTTCCTCGTACTCCCTCAACACCTTTTCAAGGTCGCTATCGTTTGTTGCTTCGGCCTCCTTCACTAAGCCCTGAAGCGCCGTAACACGCTCATCACTAGCCCCGAACCGGACCACCAGTCTTTCGAGACATTGGTGTGCCGTTGTGTTGTCACCGGTTCTTAGGCAGGCCAGTAGAAGATTCTCGTATATTGTCCACGTATTGGAGCTCTCAGGCGGGGAGAATAATGAAAAGAATGGCGATGCAGAGTATGATGCGGGGTTCTTGCGTAAAAACTCGGGAGCTTGCTGGGCGACCTGGAGGGCTTCGGCGTGGGAGAGAGTGGCATGAGGTCGAAGTAGTAGCGACGGCATTGTGAAGGTATTGGAGGCGATATGGGGATAGGATAGGAGGACAATTGACGGCTGGGGTTCTGGTGCTCTCTAAAGAAGCTGCGTAGAAGAGCCAATACCGATAGCGACGGTTGGTGATGGAGCTTCTGCGTCTCTCAAGAGCTGAACGGTTACCAAGCCCGGAAGTTATTAACAGATGTTCGCCATGATGCTATCGCACTGCTATTAAGCTGTGCTCCACTTTTACCACGCTCCCCACCTGCTCTTAGACAAGCTCAACCGGAGAACGGGAATTTCCGACACCGACGAGATCAGCCAATCATCTAACACTTGTTGAACCCCACCTTGCCCACCTTGCAACTTATTTAGTACTCAGCAAATATTTTTTTTTCCCTTCTTTTTTTTCTCTTCTCTCCAGCCTATCTTCTTTTTCCTTTTCTTGAGAAACGCCGCTTTGTAGGGGTGAACTTCGCTGCTGGCAGCGAGAAGGGCAATCGCGAGTCTCCTTTTGAAGAACTCTATGCGTTGTCGGATCCGCGGCGATGATCGACCTGGAAGCGGGCAGTGCAGCTGCCACTGCCACTGCCTCCGGGCTGGAGGATATGGCCACTCTTAAGGCGGCAGCTGAAGCCGTTGAGGCTGCTGAGGCTCAGACCGATACACCATCCCACCGGTCGCATGATCCGGCTAAGAGCTTGAAGCGAAGCGATCCCTTCCAGTTCGGTAGCCGCTATCTGGAGGCCGGAGACGACGTCTTCGAGTTCAATGCTTGGGACCACGTTGAGACTGACGATGCGTACAAACTGTATGCTGAGGGCCAGTTGGAGAAGCAACGTCAGTCTCCCGTCTCTGATTTTGACAAGAGTAAGTTGTTGCTCCTTTTTTTTTTTCTCCTCGGCTCGGTATCATGATGATACACAATCCTAATGCATAGTTCATCTGAATATTCTGATGAAAACTTACCTTCACTTCTTTCGCTCCCATCTGATATACCAAACTTATTATTTATTCTTTTGTCTACTTCATCTTTTACATACCATGTCGCTAACATGTGTGTTCAGACAGGTTTAATTCCAACCCGGCCATGTGGTGGAACAAGTTCTACAAAAACAATACCGCGAATTTCTTCAAGGACCGCAAGTGGCTTCAACAAGAGTTTCCCATCTTGGCTGACGTGACCAAGGAGGATGCTGGACCACAACTCATACTCGAGATTGGCGCAGGCGCGGGTAACACCGCTTTCCCAGTCCTGGCCAATAATAAGAACCCACTCTTGAAGATCCATGCCTGCGACTTTTCTAAGCAAGCCGTAGAAGTTATGCGCAATAGCGAATCCTATGATCCCAAGCACATCCAAGCTGATGTCTGGGACGTTTCCGGAGAGACCCTCCCACCCGACCTCGAAGAGGGTACTGTAGACCTGGCCATTATGATTTTCGTATTTTCTGCATTGTCTCCCCGGGAATGGACACAGGCAGTACGGAATGTTTATAGAGTTTTGAAGCCTGGAGGTTTGGTCTGCTTCCGAGATTATGGAAGAGGAGATCTTGCTCAAGTCCGCTTTCGAAAGGGGCGTTACCTGGAAGAAAACTTTTACATCCGCGGAGACGGTACACGCGTGTACTTTTTTGACCAAGATGAACTTGCAGGCATCTGGTCTGGACCGGACGCCGGGGAAGACTCCGAAGAGCCTGGCGTGCCACGATTTACGATTGAGAAACTCGGCGTTGACCGGAGGCTGCTCGTGAATAGAGCTGAGAAGATTAAGATGTACCGCTGCTGGCTTCAGGGGCGCTTTAGAAAGAAATAGACCGTTTGACATTGCGCAACGATGATTGTTTGCCTGCTTGCTCCTCCCCAGTGCACCACATGGCGTCGCTTTATGTTTAGAAGAGCAGCGTCTCCTGGACCTTGGTCCGCTGCTGCTGGTCAAAGCCAATGGAATCCAGATAATTGTCCAAGCCTCCATAGTGATCATTGATGTGGCTTTCAATGGACGAGATCATGTCCTTTGCGGTACCGGCCCACTCGTCTGTCAAGCCTATCTCATGAATCTCTATGAGCATCTGAGGTCGGCTGGGCATGAGCTCAGCATCAGTGAGAAAGTAGTCGTGCTCAATGGCCGCTCTGGGGATCCCCAGTATCATCAATACCAAAGCACATATAAGCCCTACAACATTTTGGTTAGATAGTCAGCCGTGTGGATAGTGCAATGAAGAGAGAGCTCATCTTACCAGTGCGATCTTTTCCCTGTGTGCAATGAATGATGGACGGCAAGGTCTGGGGAGAAGTGTAAAACGAGAGGGCTTCGTGTATCTCCGAGCCACAGTGATCAAGCGTGTCTAGACCAAGACGGACGAGGCCACGGGGCAACATGACCTGTTGGCTGAGAACCCTGACTGCGTCTATGCGGTATCCCGCGATGAAGAAGAAAATGACCTTGCTTTAGCAGTGGATTAGGTTCAAGTTTGCCTTCCTGATTTGGGATCCCAGTAGGGCCATCAGACTTACAAGAAGTCCCACCATGATAAAAGGCTTAACAAGTGTCTCTCGAAGGATCTGCCATTAATCTTGATGCCGTGGTATTGCACACCTGGAATCTCGCTCGCTTCGCCAGAGCGCCGGTGTTTTCTGATTTGTTTGAGGATTTCGGTTCTAGTTGGAGTTTTAGCAGTTGAGCATAATGAGAGAACTTTTTTTTTTTTTCATTCCTGGCGTTAGAGAAACCCACTTTGTGCGTAAATCAACAATAATCTTCATCTCGAGCTCATTCCTGATTAGGTCCTTGTCTGCAGTCGTGGCGTCGTCTGATGAAAGATGGAGGGGCGAGTAAGTGGCTGGAGAATATTTATATTTTCATGGAACGGGGAGAAGTTGTCTTGTTTGTCTAGACTCATACCTAGTCTTCCAGATCGGTAGAAGAGATTCTCGCGCATGCGCCTGCTCGACTGTCAGTCATTTGATACGAGGCTCAACATGTGAGGCAAAGGGCTTGACCTCTCTCCGAGAAACTGATTGACGGTTTTGCCAACGTCTCTGAAATTTGGTACCTTCTGGAGCTGGTGATCTTGTTCCATGGCTGCGTTATTAAGGCGTTGATTTCCTCGGTGATTCAGATGATAACAGTATGTAAGCTCAGTGTGCTACCATGGTATTCGAGAGAGAGGATTTTCTGTTTGTTGGCCGTTGTGTCAGCGACGCTAACATATCGGACGGCCTACCCTGTAAAGTTGGCATGTTTGACGCGGAGCGGCGAAAAAGTCCAAATAGCGGAATCTACTTCTCGCCGCCAGCTTGGTATTTGATGGATCATTGGTACCGCATATAGTTTATTCAATTTGGTGGTTTATTTGTGTTGGCAGAGACGCAATTGGCGTTGCGGTGCCGGTGGGTATTCGCTGCATGGGCATCGCTGACATGCAACTCAGAGAAGCTAATGTTGAACTCTAGGTGTGTAAGTCGACAAATATGAAACCACAAACACCATCTCGTCTATACCTATCCAATTGGAGAATAAACCTCAATGAATTCCACCAACGGCACGTCAAAAGTTCTAGACCCGTTTTGTTTTACCAGTTACGAAGAAAGAAAGCAAGAGACGAAGCTTCGTGTCATCACCTCAAACTGAAATGCCTCTTGAGGTTATTCGTCAATACGAGTTATTAACTCCCTGAAAAGATCCATGAACACCCGTTACGGAAATCAAGGCTTGGAGAGGCTGAAAAAGCGGCTGCGCCATCAAATGCAGCGCAATTGATTATGACTGACATTTCAAATTGCTTGTAATACATGGGTTCAAGGTTACGTCATTGTTACTCAGCCCCACTGGTATTCAGATTGGAGGCGAAGGATGCAATGTGCTGTTAATCTGGCGATTGGCGAGTGTTTCGAAGGGCGGAGGCTGAGGCAACATGCCTGGACAAGAAATGCCAAGTATATCTGCTTGCTAGGGAATCTGGAACTCATGATGGGATGCCATGGCGAGAACAAAGATGGAGGGTTGGCAGCTGTGTTAAGGTTGAGCAAGCCCTCCACCGCATGCACAAGATAGCTCTCTTCTCCTGGTCGAGATTCGTCAGACGCTCGCTTGATAAGATCTATAACATCATTGGTAGCATCCTGGCAGCTCATTACACGTGCAAGAGTTAGTATCCTTCACCTTGTCCGCCAGCTAAGGTACCTACCCGTCCCAGCTTGTTCCACAACGGGGGCGATCGACGTGAGCCGCTGGCAGGGGGAGGAGGACAGAAGAGGCCTGATTCAGACAAGTTAACAGTACATGCTTTTGATTGCAGCTGTCGAGAGGAAAATTAGTCGCTGTCTCAACCTGAAGCTGCGGACTAGCCGGCCGCCAGAAATGATTGAAATTGCCTTGGTAGCCAGAAGAGAGCTGCAATAGCGTCATGCACCAACACCTAGCTCGGGCATCATGACGTCACAACTTGGGGGAGGCGTTTCTTGATGGCTTTGGGGCGCGTCTGGCGTTACGAGAAGCTTATGTGAAGCATGTCAAAGGACGGCGAAGTGATATTGCCTGAAGTGAAGCAAGGAGGTTCTGAACTTAGGTAGGTTGGGAGAAGCGATGAAGCTGCAGAGAAATTGTAACCTTAGTAAGCTTGCCAATTGAAGGCAGTCAAGGACAAACACCAAGGTACATGTATCTTTCTGCTGCCGATCAGCGGGAAAGAGCCCATCGAGTACCTATGGAGCGCGCAAAGCAGAATCGACTGTACCTGAACTTGGTTAGCATGGAGCTCTTCGTCTCTCTTTACCGACGTGTATTCGGTACTTCTATGATGTAGGATGGAGGATGTAGGACGTACGCAGTGACAGTGACAGCAGGAACCACATCAGATTCGCTTTAGTGCCTGCCACTTGCCGGCCGTTCCAACTTTGTCTTCCAAGGTTCCTTGTTGTCTGGCGATTTACTATTAAGCCATGCCATTCCGCCCATTTTAACGCTGAGACTTGGCATTGACATTTGACATTGACTCTTGACGTTTGACGTTGACGGTTAGCACTTAACGTTGGACGTTCACATTCGACATTAGCATCGGCGCTATTCTATTCGAAATATTCTTCATTCGTTCATTCAATCATCATCACCATTCCTTGCCATCCCTCCGATCCTCATCCTTGCGTCCAGTCTCCACAATCCTCCGTGGCTGCTGCAAGACGCAAGGCCCTATCCAATACCTACATCCGCCAACCCGCCAATCCAATCCGCCTTGCGAAACGACACGAGAAAAAAACGACAAAGCTTGCAGGCCTGCCTGATCCGAGACACCAGAAGGAACCAAACGGGCAAAGCAGACAGGTGATGAGCATCGAGCCCCGAGAGCTGCTATAGCTGGCTTAGCTCCCCAAGACGATCAGCTAGACTCGGCAGCTTCTTCCACTGACAGCCGTCGTCGATATTGGCCATTACGTCGTATCGCGCCCGCGAGTGCAGCGTCACTTGACCAGCACTGCAACATCCTTTTTTCGGACTGGCGGCGCCTCACTAACCGCCTTTTCTCGTCGTCCTCGTATCTGATCTGGAGTCACCCCACCCGGATGATGCAAAGAGCTGCAGAAGCTGGGGAAGCGCGGCCATCCGTGGCAAAGTCGCCTTCACGGCACCATGAGCCGTCATCCCATAATAGTCCATGTATGTTAAACAGGGGAAGAAGGGGAAGAAGAAGAAGAGAACAAAAGAAGAAAGATGAAAAAAAGAAACACACCCCCGTTTCCCCTCGTTTTCCGTCTTGAGTTTTTCTGCTTAAGCGATTCCTGTTTTTTGCATCAAAGATCTTCCTTATCCTCGTTGGCGAGCCTTGTCGTTTACTTCTGCCTGATTTCTTTTTACCCATCGTAAGACTGCTCTCACGCTTGGCTGCTGTTCCGTGGCTAAGCGGCCCCTTTGATTTGCTGTTTCTGCTTGCCACTTGCCGTCATTTCGTCGTCGGATCTGTTCCCAGCTCTCCTTACTTACTTTACCATTCTCACAGTGTCGACCGCCGGCAGGCTCAAATACGCCGATCCTCGCAGTCTTCCAAGCTTCCCGTCTGCCGGTCTGAGCTCGGGTGGCGCAGCTGCCAGCGCGGCTGCATCTCTTGGTTGGTTTAGCCACAAGCCGGTAGAGACGTGGACGCCAGATAAAGTCTCATCAGCGTCGGCCGCCGCAGTTCTTGCCAAAGACTACAAGATATCGCCGTTGTGGGAGCCCACCATGGATGGAACGGGTACTAAAGCAGCAGTGTTGGCTGTAGGCTCTGCCGGCGCTGCATACAGACAGTCAAGCGTCAAGAAACCCTCACGCGAATCCTGGGGCAGTTCTGCTGCCACGCAGGCCTTCAATACTAACACGAACCGACCTGACCCAGAGCCGGTGACTCTGACGACGTCTCACGGGAGCTCCGCCGCGACTCAAGCTTTCCATGCGAGCCGAGTCCAATCTGCCAAAGTGGCCAAGTCACCACCCGCTTCTCCAAGGGAGAAGTCTCTGGTGGCTGCCAAGGGAGCCATGTCGCCCTCAAAGCTAGGTACACCGCGCTCCAGGCTGCGGTCGTTTTCTAGCCCGCAGGAGTCGCCTTACACGGACGCAGCAAGGGCGTCTGTAAGTGCTCTGAATGGGGCGTCTATAGCACACCGAGCTGCCATGAATAGATCGCAAGTGGTGGAGGACGCTGGCGCAATTCCAGTCACCACCATGACTCGCAACATGTTTACCTCACATCCGCCCGTCCAGCCCGAAATTGATGAACAAACGAATAATGAAAGGATCCACCAGTCGGCAGTTGAAATGGCAAAGAAGATGTACCGTCAGCAGCAAAGTCGACAGGAGGGTTCTCAAGATAGCCAAGATGCTGGTGAGACATCAACGAATCGCTACGTCGATTTACAAGATGCTGCATACAGGCAAGCACAAGAACGTCTCGCCAAGCTTCAAGATGAGCACGAGAAAAATCGTCGTTATCACGAATACTACGGCGCAGACAAGCCTCTGCGGCGCCGGTTCACTATTGTCAACAAGCTGCGCCGTCGGTCTGCCAGTGACAGTGACATGGAAGACCGCGCTCGATCCGACATGATACGCCAACAAATGACCATGTTTTCATCAAGGCTTGACCAAGTGGACGAAGAAAAACGGGAGAGAGACAGAGAGGCTCTCTTGACCGCTGCACGACGGAACGTCAAAGCAAGCCTCCAGGGAATGGACGAAAAAGTCTACTTTGAGACCGGAAAGGTCAATCCGACAATCTTGGGTGACTGGCAGACTAGAGCTCAGCAAGCTGCCCAGCTTCGACACGACACAAGGCCAGAAGGCGATGGTAGAGTGGACATTGGAGGTGGAGTATTTATGGACGCCGACGAGATCGACGCCATCGCCGCCCGGAGAGTACGGCCCGTGCTGGATGACATTCACGAAAAGGCGGAAGCAGAGCGGGAGCGTCTAACCTCGGCTCGAATGGAAGCAGAGGCAAACAAAGCTGAGGCTGAGAGAGAAAAGGCCCGGGACCGTGAGCTCAAGGACCTTCAAAAGAAGGCTAGAGGTATATGTCAACCCATTTCACTCTATTATTTGTCATAAGACTACTAATTCTGGTCGTGGCTCAACAGAAGAGGACAAGCTGCAAGAGAAAAATAGAAAGCAGCAGGAAAAGCAGGAGGAAAAGCAAAAGAAGGAAGAGGAGAAAACCGCCAAAGCCGAACAAAAGAAACTGGCAAAAGAGGAAAAGCGCAAGTCCAAGGTCGAGCCGATTTCCGGTGCTTACAACCAAGAAATCCGCCGCGAAGAGAACGAAGAACATCAAGCAGAGACGCAGAGCAGGCGGGGTTCCAGCGTCCCGGAGGTTACGACCCCCCCTCCGCAGAGTGTGGCTGTGGACAACCTTGATAGCTCACAAAAGAGGTCACCTGAAGGAGCAACCTCACCAACGGCACGAGTCAAAGGTTGGATCAAAAATCGATTTTCGCGAGGAAAGTCTGTGAGCGAGCCTGGCGAAAAGAAGAAGAGCTTCGTCGGCGGCGCTGCGCTGAGGGACTCGGGCCCGGGTGGGAGCACCGGCAGCTTGGGGAACCGCTCCTCCAGCATGCGTGATGTCACGCTTGCTGGGAGGGGCGGCGAAGAGGCTGCCGAGAGCAATCCTCAACCCGTCAACAGGGACTCACGCGGTGTGAGCCCAGTCAGCTCTGGCAGCGGAAGGAGTAGTGAGTTTGAGAGTTTCGAAACGCCAAGGGCTATCATGGATCAACCGCCGCGGCAAGGAAATAGCCCTATGCGTGACTCTCGGTTCAAGGAAATGATGGATCACTGAGATGCTCGTGCTCTCCTGGAAAGTTGAATGTTGAGGCATAGCAAGGGTTATTAATGTGTTCAAGGTATGATGCTTGTTTTTCTGGGTTTCAACCGCTGCGTCTCTTCCACGTCTTATACCACTACTCATGACTTATCTTTTAATTTAATAATCGTAATCGCCACGTGCGCAACAGATTATTGGTGGTGAGGCATCATGTCTTGGGGCGTTTTGGAGATCGTCAAACTTAAGCTTGCCCTACAGTCATGCATGGTTCGGCTTCTTATAAGTGCAAATAACAATATTTCTTTCATTAATAAAAATAGTCATGTGCGTTAAAAACTAAGCATTATTCGTTCTGATACCTTATATCCAACCTAGAACCCGTGAACCTGAATGTCCACGCAAAGCCTTGTAACGCCTTATTGAATGCCTACCACTCTGATTCTTTTCGTACCCATGTCTTCTTACTCTTACATTCGTTAAAAAGATGAAAAAAAAAAAAAAAAAAAGTATTTCGCTGCTCAATCCTACACCTAAACACTAGAACCTGCTGTTCCCGCACGTCGTTCATCGAAAGTCATATCGATTCGTGTTTCGACCGTAGTCGTTGCGATAAGAGCCCATGTGGCCGCTGTTGCCATCTTGGCTTTCTGCTGACTCCATCTCGTGCTCGAGAGCCTTGCTAAATCGTGAGGCGGGAGCCTTTGTGTGGACGGCGGGTAAGAGATCGATGATAAAAGAGAGGATGTAGAATGTAAAGATGAAGGCGATGATCCATTCGAAGACGGCGGCGACGTTTTGGTTGTCGCTCCAGTTGGTAGAGACGAAGATGATGGCGAGGATGAACTCGACGATGACGAAGGTGAGTTTCACCCAGAAGGAGATGCGGAGGATGCGGTGCTGGCGGTTGTCTGTGTGAGAGGAATGAGAAATTGTTCCAAAGAGCACTTTTTTTTTTCTCTGTGGTATGATTGTACTTACAAAGGCCTAGTTGTTGGTATTCCCAGCAGATGAAGATGGCGGAAATGATGTATCCAGCAATAAAGAGAAAGAGGAAGATGTCATGTAGTTTGTGATGGTGGTGCGTGTCGAAAATGGACAAGAGGATCAAGCCAGCCATGCCGACAATGGCAAAAATGATGCTGATTACGGAGAGAACCTTTTCCTTGACAGTCGTGTTGGGGACTAGTCGCCCATTGTGACGCAGTAGGCGCTCAGCGCCAAACGACAGATTGAGGAAGACGGTTGTGACGGCCGATCCCGCGATGAAGAGCGGCTTGAGTTTGCTGGCGCCAATGTCGGAAATGAAGGCTATGGAGTCGTCGTCGTCCATGTACGAGTAGTGTTCGCTATTGGTATCGACGACCCAGTAGAGGAGGAGGCCTAGCAGCATACCAAGCCATACGAGGCTGGAGATGACTGGAAGAATCTAAAGATGTTGGTTAGGAATGGTAATTATTATGAAGGCTTTGCGTTGGTGGAGGTTTACCCAGTATGATACGAAGCCTCTGGCAGCCATGGCGGAGCGGATGGCGGGATTGGTGGCTGGCTGGCTCTTCGTTTTCAACTCTATAAATCGTGTAGGTTGGAGCTACAATACGATGAGATGGGATGGGGATGAGGATGAGGATGAGTATTAATGGAGTGTCGGCTACTGGGTGTACAAGATTCGAATGGGTATCGTCAAAGCAATGGGATCATGAAATAAGGAGAAGAAGAAAAGAAGCATAAAAAACTCCGGAATCCATGGGCCATGATGTATAAAAGTACTGGGCAGGGCAGGGCAGGGCAGGGAAAGATCGGAAGAGCGAGCTAGAAGTACACGGAAAGCGGACCACTGCTTCTGCCCGCCAAATCTTGCAACGCAACATCCTGATCTCCGCAAGCATTCACAATGTACGAGGGGATACGTAAGTCATCGAACGCCTCGTTCCCATAATTATTTGTTAGGCAGTGCAAATCATGTTATCATTCATTCGTTCATCTTACTAAACAGCAGCGAGAGAAAGCAAGTTGGCACACGCGACCCTGTGGACGTGGATTTGGCATCGATGACGTCGTATGACGGAGACGATGGGTCGAGGGTCTCGCTAATGCATCCCAGGAGAGGCTAGTGGCTGCTTGGTTGGGCGCTTGGCGATATTGGGCAGGCGGGGTTCCCGATCCGGACTCCGGAGCTCGATTTGATTGGGTGAGATGCTTAATTTTTCCTTTGTCATTTTTTTCATTTTTCTCTTTTTTTTCTCTTTCGCTTTTTGTTTAAACAATTGGGCGGAAGCGGAGATAAGCGACGGAAAGAAAAATAAGGGTCGAGACGCGAAGTTCGAAGAGAATTAGTCATGGATGACTTTGGCTTTTTCTGGTGGCTTGGGTTCAAGTCAGATGGCGCAGCTGCCAAGCGGACTTTGACGTGTCGCCGTGGCTTGGTGAAAGTGAAAAGGAGAGTGAAAGGATGGATTTGTTTGTTAATTTGCTTTGTATTTCTGTCCTTGTACGGCTCTGCTGGAATGATTAGCCAGCGCTTGAAAATAGGGAGCGCCCTATCAAAAGCTCTCTGTGCGTCATTGCCAAGCTTGCCAAGTCGAGAGCGAAATGAACGAATTGTGTTTAATCCTCTTGATGATAGGGGACTACTTAACATAAAAATCTAGTAATTTTCCTCCATCGCACTGGAATCTATTAAACAAGAGTCAACGCCCCAATTATTGGTTAATAAGCCTGCTGTCTAGCTCGGCCGGTTCCCAGACAGCCACACTACGTAGCGGTAGCTAAGACGGCAGTTGGGCTCTTCTGGACTGTCGCAGAGATGTGGATATCTGTATTTTGATATCTCGATATAGAGGACTCAGGGTGATTGATGTTGATGAAGCAATTAATGAAGAGACAGATAAGCAGACAAGTAAGCTTTTGATAATACTCCAGGTCTATCCAACGGTCTCTAATCATAGGGCCTCTCATATGCTGGATCATAAGCATCTCGAATTATGCCCGCTCCATGGGCGACATGACCGGTTGCAGTATCAAAGGGATTTGTGCCATCAGAATATAAGAACTTCTCAACAGCTTCATGAAGCCAAACTGCGCGTCCTTGAGTATGCTCACCCGGGATAGGTACAGCATACTCGACTCTGGGTGGCGTAAGCCACTCATGCCAACGCAACGAGTCGCGCATTTCATTCAGCAACTCAAAATCAGAGTCAGGATATAAATACACAAATCCCAACTCAACAGAGCGCAGCCCGGTAAGCTGTGATAGCGCTGCTATTAGATCAGCGCGCATCACTGTAAAGTTCCACAACCGAAAGTGCCGCAGCTCGGCCCAACGATCAAGGGGAAGAAATGATCGTAGCACGGGTGGCAGAGCATCCCCTTGGTAATAATTTGCATCCCAGTTTGTCTCCATGCTGAAATGTTCAAGGTGTGAAGCTTCTGCTAGGGCGTTGCGCAACAGGTTACTGCGAAACCCTGGCCAATCTAAGGCTTGCTGTCCATCCACATTAAGGGATAACTGCAACTTCTTCAAGTTAGGCTGCCGAAGAACAGATAGAAAGTTAAGATATTCCTGGCATTGCTGCTGAAAGAGGCGGCAGTTAATGCCGGTATGAAGATAATGGGCGTCGATGAAAAGTTCAGAGACGCGGTGGTGCTGCTGCTCTTGAGCCAAAATTTCGGTGACTAAACAATAGCCACGAAATTTCGCTTTTGAGGCCTCCCATGGTACTTCAAATGTAGTACCTTCACCGGCACGCCGAGTCGGCCAGCCGCGAGGAATTGGATAGTTGAATCCGTAGGGAAAGGCTCGGATCATGGGAGTCTCGTAGAGAGGGGTGAATAACCACCCATGAGCAGCAGGTGTAACAGTGACTCTCTGCAGCGCAGGAAACCGTCGTAAACCATATCGAAGAGCTTTAGCATCAGCTCCACTGGCAAGTACTTCATCTTGTTGACGTAGGAGACCTTGATAATATGTCCACGACTCTGAGAAGGATAATTCGGCACGTGCTTGCCGGGCTCGTATCACATTGCCAGGACGGCCTGGGTTATCAGTGACCTGGCGATGTTTCAACTCGGATATGTGCTCGTCCCGCTCAGTGTAGAACCAATTCCTATCTGCTGGCACCTCTAGAAGCGGATAGCTTAGGGGAGACCGCTCATTTAATTCACCCCAGCAATCATCAAACGAGCGATAGAAAAGTGCATCGTCGTAGATGATCTCGGCAATGCCCTGGCGATAGAAGTCATGATCGGCAATAGAGCGGAAGACTTGGATATTCAGAGGATTGGCAGAGAGAAAGACTCGATTGATGCGCAGGTTGATCGTGCCAAAGCGTCTACAGGTCAAGCGCAGACTCTTGATGGAGTAATTGTCGAGATGGCTCACAAGATTGTCTATTAGTTCGGGAGGTAGCGCGGTCAGCAATGAAGGAGAATCTGCAGCTCGCCATCAGCGCCTCATTCATCTTCATCGAATGGAGAGGGTGTGCAAATGCACCTGGCGATATGAAGGCTGTGTACGTGTAATCGGATGAACTAGCATCGTCAGCCGGGGTGGCTGGAAACATTTGGCGTATCTTGTCGGCTCTTCTGGCCATGGCGGTCTCTGAGAATGGGCCATCATCGTAAGATTGTTGCTCGGGATATTCGCGAGCTTCCTTTGATGAACTAGTTCCCATGGCTATGTGGAGGACTTGACAGCAAATAGTTGAGTCGAGCTCAGTTGCGTGGTGGATAATAGCACGGAGAATCTGAAAGAGGGATCGCTTGTTCAGATTCTCAGGTGGGGAGCTAGGCAGCCCAGCTCGCGTAGATCGCATATAATATTTACTAATGATGCGACTTATTACAGGGGAGGATGGGTAGCCCTTCATACCTGTATTTGCAAGCTGCACTTTTATTTCTATATTCCTGCAATATTACCCAAACCCAGTTTGCATTCCAGCGCCATTTAAGGTCGCTCAATCGTATGAGAAGATACATGTACAAACGAGGGCCAGACTCTATAAGAATAGCTCTCGGCTGCAAAGGAATTCATCAAGTCATCCAAAGTATACCAGCCATATACTTGATCAGAGACTAGGTGTCTCATTCATCAAATACCTCAATATAAACGAAGTATGGGATATGTTTTGGGCAATATATGAGGCCATAGAAGACCATATGAGCATAAGACGGACCAGAAACGACGGTATTTGAAGTCTACCTATCTTGAGGAAGAGAGTATGAAGGTTGACAGATAGACAAATAATATGAATTCCTACCTCTTTCTTGTATTCTCAATCTCATTGCTATATAAAATGTACTGGAATAATGGGTCAATCAGATTGCCTAAAACATGCGCGCCTGGGAAATGCTTCCAGAGTATAAATGGCCAATAGGCAGAGGGACTAAATGATTGCGCCCCTACAGAGACTGTTTTACAAAGATCCAACTCCATTTTAGCACAATTATAAATTCTACCTAGGTAGTTTATAGAAATACTTACTTATTAATCTCTAGGTATATCTTCCTGCCGTGACATCAACGCCCGCATCTCATATGAAGCATAAGCGCGCAGCCGCCAAAGAGGAGAATTGCCTGCGGACTAGTTGCCGACATTTCCATATTGCAGCTACGAGTATTGATGCATATGCCACACCCGTACAAAACATAAGGACAGCCGCCAGAGGAAATAATTGCCGACTAGCTACCGAGACTTTCTCATTCTAGCTACTGGTATGCCTGTATATGCGCTATTAGAACTACGGTGTAACAGAAGTAATTGTTAGGGCTCTCGTATCTTAATTACTTTCCAAACAGTCAATGGAGCTACTATCGTGAACGTCTAGTTTAGATGCATGAATGTGGAATTCCCTTTTTCCCGCTTCTCTCCACCCACTATTACTATTTGGCCGTCAGCCAGGGATCTAGTAGTGATACGATCACACGCAATTGGTGGATTTGTTTACTATGGATTGCTTTGTGTTTCTTACTATATCCCGATTCCCATCTACATTTGTGCGAAACCCACTACAATTAGATAATGGATTATTACGGATTTATTTTGCATGCATTCAATACTCATACGTGCGATTTACTCAGTCCTGCTCGCCAAACTCGAGCTTCGTCTTACACTACCCCTTCTATCTAGTTTCTCCAGACCTCGAGTTTCCTCATAGATGTGAACCTCCGGAGCCGTAGACACATTCGACTTTAGCTTCTCCATCATCTGTCGCTCTCGTTCGGTTAGGTATGTACAGGGATCCTATCCACAAGCTCTTTCTAGATTTCCAAACGTGAGATTTTCGCGTAAATCCTATCCATCCAATATGCATCCGTACCCATGTGCAATTGGTGGATTTGCTTGTGCAACTAATTTATTTTTCCGCCTCATGGACCCATCATCTGTATATGGGCTTATTCTCCTTTCCAAAGCATGTTCTGGCGCATAGAACCTTGAAGTCATATACTAGCTCATAGCTGGAAACACTATCACAGGCGCCCGCACACCGCCAACTGGTGGGGATGGACGATGTATGATTCCATGTGTATACCAGCCTATCATGGCCCTCATCTATATAGGACTCCAAATATAGACGTAATATATACTATACAAATTCTAGATATATAAAGCCGATTCAAGCACCATTTCCTGATTTTTATCCTGGAGAGTAAGACTAAAAGACTTCAATAAGTAGCACTTCTATCTTATTACTCTTTACAACCTTCGCCATGTTTCAACCTACCGCTCTTCTGCTCGCGGCTGCTGCCCTCTTCATTCCTAGCGTTTTAGCCGGCGAGTATGTTTAAGACAATCTCAATTTCTCAAGTATCATATCGGCAGCATCGCTAATTCTATATAGGGGAGTTCACCTTGCCAACTGTGGCAACGATGTTGGCACGCCAATTACCAGTGTCATTGTCTACTACCCAGATGACTCTCAGTCCACCGGCGAGCCGCTTTCGCAGAACATTGCCTTTGCCACCAACCCTGAGCGTCTGGTGACCTGGGAGGGAAACTCTTATACCGCGAGCTTCTCAAGCGGAAACACTTTTACCACTCACATCAATTCTGGAAGCTTTAGCGTTGGCCAGTATGCGGGAACTGGAAACAACCAGCAGAGATCGTTTGCTTGCTTCAGAGACAACAACAGGCAGCTGTGGCGAGCTACAGGTGCTTACGCTTGCTTCAGCATCTACTATTGCCTCGACGCATAATGAATGTAAACAATGATGCCTAGATAGCACAATAGACATGAGTGTAAATATATTGAGGCCAGTTCTCGGATATTTTATGTGGCCATGTGAATCAATCTACACGTATAGTTACCTGGAATACTTACCTAAATAGAGTCCAATATTGTAGAAAATAAATAAATAGTGGCTACAAACTACATGTATCGCTGTATCCCTTAAATGTCCCGATATTTTGATAGCACAAGGTGTGTTGTTTTATCCTTTTGGTCTATGCGTCTCTTTATGGAGGTGAAATAAAAGACTCAGCAGATAAATGCTATGACACTGCCTGTAGACTTACGAGACGGTAAGGTGTCAAAATCTTACAGAAGGAATTGTCAAAGTTGAGGCATAGCGGAGTGAGGGATTGTTGGAATCACTATTTGGTTACCTGGCAGACGAGGCTATTAAGGAGGAGTTTGTTAAACTTGTAGTAAGAAATAATGATGCTATAGTGTCATTCCTTCTTACGCAGTGAATGGTTCAAATTGATTTCATAGAAGACATCGCAAGAATTGCAGCAGGAAAGCAGGGAGATGTCATGAAAGTCTTAAAATATCTTCTCTGTTATCGGGGAGAGAAAATTGATATCATAGAAGGTGTAATTAAGTCAGCAGCAGAAAATAAAGGTCAGGCATGAAAACGATAAGATTATTCCTTGATCAGCGGGAAATACAAGTTCTCATCACAAACCATGTCATGGAAGCTGTAGCAGGAAATGGGGATCAGGGCGTGGAAGTGATGATATTGCTTCTTAAGGAGGAGGTCAAGTTATGTACGTAGGCATTATCGCAAGAGAGGCAATCAAAAGGATCCTAGATTATCGATCGGATTTATATGTAATATATCTGCTTTTCTGTGAATGGGGAAAGAAATGATTGCTATAGAGGAGGTTCTGGGTTGGGAACTATTAAAGTTTGCTGGGATGTTCCAGTCCTTATTACAATGATATAGTTCGAGTGAGCGTCAGGCGAAACCGCATAAAGTCCATCAGAGTGAATGCATAGAACTCAGGAGCTAGATGCAAAAGCCTAGGACAATGTAAGACTATTGATCTTACATAGAGGCGTACCTTTGTTGGAATAGACTAACATGTACAAATGTGCGCCAAATGAGCCAACTAAGAACCCCTGTCATATTTGATCCTACCATTGAACACATGCTTACTTCAAGCTACCGTCTGATCTCACGTACAGCCTCGGGGATCCGCCACAGCCCGATATGTAGTGAATGCCGAGGAACGGAGTTAATGCGCTCGTCCGTGAACAATATTGAAGCTCTGCTCCCCAAGACTTTTGTTGGGTTCAACTTCTCTCCCATCACATCGCTCTTATTCGTGCCTCTTCACAGCAGACGAAAATCGACTCACTTCGCTATTTGATATGGCCTCCTCACCAGCTCCCCAGGTTCACATCTTGGACAAATCGGACTATACAAAGCAATACTTGGTCGCGCTCCATAATGCGGACCCTCTGCCCGATCTAGCGGCCCGTGAGATCCGTATCCGTAGCAGGATTATCTCCAATACGACCAACAATTTTACATATGCGCGACTTGGTCATCTCTTCGGCTGGTGGAATGTTTGGGCTGCAGTTCCGTCACTGCCTGCGCCATATGATGATGCTTCCAAGTACGGTCGCGTATCTGCTTGGGGATACGGCGAAGTGATTGAGAGCAAAAATGATAGAGTGCCTGTTGGCACCAAGCTGTATGGCTACCTTCCCATCGGGAATTATCCCGAGATACTTCAGGTAACCGTTGAAGATGAGACTGGACACGTCTTGGAGACGAGTGAGCGAAGGGCTAGTCAAATGAAGATATACAACCGATATATATCGTACCCTCCAGAGCTGGACTTGGAGGCAGACAAATCGTCTCGAGGCTTAGACTCTGCCCTTCGTGTCTTCTTTGAGACGAGCTACATGCTAAACCGGTATGCGTTTGCTTGGGACTCAACCAAGCTCTCCCACCCGCTTGGTGCTCCGCTACCTTGGAGTTCAAGCGATGCTGATCTCGCAAACGCCGTGGTGGTGCTCCTTGGGGCTTCTGGAAAGACGGCACTCTCGTTTGCATATCTATTGCGTCAATCGAGGCCCGCTGAGCAACGGCCTCGCAAGGTCGTGGCGGTTGGATCAGCCCAATCACGCAGCTTTACTGAAGCAACTGGTCTATATGACGACTTGCTACTGTATACAGATATTTCGAGCACGGATGATAGCATTGCTACCCGGCTGGGTATCGACGCCAACACCAAAGTGCTGCTCGCCAATTTTGGCGGGAGAGGTACAGTTGATGAGGATCTGCATGCCATTCTTACGCGTGCCTCAAAAAGTGTGATTATTCTCATCGTCGGTGGTGATCCTCAGGGAAAAGGCTCCAAGCTAAACGCCCTGACGGAAGTGCCCGGCAGCGGTGTCGCTGTGTGCAATGCTTCTGGCTTGCGAGACTCTGGGATGAAGAGTGATGGAACAGCAGGGTATTTTGAGAGTCTCTCACAAGAATGGACGCGACTCAAAGAGAATGGAGGTATCAAAGGGCTGACACTTCAATGGGGTAAAGGAATGGAAGATTATAGCAAGGGTTGGGATGCGCTCTGCAATGGAAGCATTGACCCGACGCTTGGCCTAGTATATGAAGTGTAGTACCTGTATACGGCTACTCAAAGTCAGATAATTGATCATTCATTTTGCTTAGTTAAATTTAAAGTGTCTGTTACTTCTCACCCATTCCCACTCTTCCTGGTATCTAGGTACATTATGAGAATTGAAGCCTCTGTACGTGCTGGCTCGTCCTTCCAACTCAAGCAGCAGTTCTACTACCACGTTGAGAATATACATATATTCCCGTAAGTGGATGGAAATTGACAAATGGGGTGAATGGTATGGAACATTGTCATACAACTTCTTCCCGGCTTTGGACAGGTGGCAATGCTTACTCTACGAATTCACTTGTTTCTCTTCACTGTTGAACGGAAAGCGTTTGTGGCTACAGGGGTAAAATTCACATTTACTAAGAGGTTAGCCGCATTAAAGTCAGTTGACTTACATCCACCGCCTCAATCACGGAATTAAGACAGCCACGATGCGCGGTGGGTAGAAGGGATGCGGATAGCAGCCTTGGATACATGTATCTATGAAAGGGAAGTGGTGATTCAGAAGACTCAAGTCGTGGCACATAAGGTATGAGTTGTCATAAGAGAGCCACGTCTTCACTTGCTGCTATGATCTCGAGGCACAAATATATATAATAAAGGGATATAAATGGGCGAAACTAACGGCAGGTTACATGTGTCTTATCCCGCGTATGTTACATGCACACATGCCATGTATATATGTAGTTAGTACTGGCTAATTCACTTTGCCTGGAACACCTTGTTCTGGAAGTACATGCTATAGTCACCAAACAGATTTGCGGTGCTTGATATCTGTCTACACGCACTTGTGTATCCCATGATTCTACCCTTCCAAAATTATAAATAACCCTCATGCGATCCATGTCTCCTCGAGTTGTTGAACCTTTACATACAAGTCATCATTGCCCATCAATTTCCACATCAGCAAAGCCACCATCATTCTTTACCTCAACTTCTACTTTCCACAGAGATCATGTCAGCTTCTGCAGACTCTAAGAGCACCTGCAGTAATAGCCCAAAATGCCGTGACAAAGCTGAATCCGGGTATTGTTGGCCTCAACAACGACGAATCTGTTACTTCTTCCGCTGAGCTACTTCGTCATGCGTCTAAGGCTTGGACCATGGATGGCCCGAAGGCACATTTTGTGCAAACAAACAAGAAGATCGGGCCAGAGTCACGCCAAGTACTCTTTCAGTCTTTCGAGAACATGGATAAGAACAACGTATCCTTGGTTCCTTACGGACATGGTTTGGTTGAAGTAATCATCCGCGCTTTCCAGCAAGACCTCCACCTTACGCTGCGCCCTGACGACGTATGGCTTTCCATCATGGGTCAATTCAGCTTCTATGTAAACGGCCATGCTGAAGAAATGAGGCGATTCTTCGTGACTCATGAAGGCAAAAAGCAGCTCGTTGTAGACACGGGGCTGATGAGCCCTCTGTCCGTCGACTTCGACACACTTGCACGAGCATTTACCGACCTGATACAAGAGAATGTAACCGACCCCGACCTCAAGTCTTGGATGCTGCCAAACTTTTCAACCACAACCACCGAGGATGTGACCACAACCGCAATTATCATGATGGCAACTGTAAAATCTTACTTCGAATGTATTGGAAGGGGTGGATGCGGGTTTCCAAGCGTTACCCTGCTTGGAGAGAGAGCGGATTGGGTCAATCTTCTGGGAAAAGTTGCAAAGATCGCTACCTATGGCGAGGAACTTTCAGCCTGGAGCACAATCCTTACCAAGGTGATGGAGAAAATGGTTGAAACATTCGACAAGCCAGACTCACGGACGACCAAAGATTTTTGGATGAGGGCGGCGCATCACAACGGATCAGATGGTTCCGGTACAGTAGGGTTACCTTCCGGATGGATCACCGCTTTTTGCTATTGGGATGCCAAGGGTGAGAAGATTTACCAGTTTCGCGATGTTGAAGGACAGGAAGCGAATTGGAGGCGATTCATCATTGACGATGTCTGTTTCCCCATCATTCGTGCTTCGGCTGTTCCAAGAGCAGTGGCCGAAGTTCCAGTTATATTTTTGGACTATGCAGATTTCAACCGCTATGAAACGACTGCGATAGCTGGGTTTGTGGGAGCAAAATCGTCCGCAAGCAAAGACGGAGACCAGCATGATACCTTTCAACCCCAATCGGGCTATTGGGTATTGGTAGACAAGGTTGAGCCGATTGTTTGAGATTTTCAACTAAAAGATGGACAAGATATTCTTTCTATCCAAGTTGTAGATGATTGGCGGGAAACAGCAAGATTTTGTCATGATTGACTACTCGAGGTGCACGTAGCTACATACATGTACCCAGATGGTGATGCAGCAAATATCATTAACGCGACTACATATGTAGCCACATGTATTAAATAATATTCTTCTAAAGAAGAAATCAATCTCTATTTGCCAAGAATATTTTAAATGATAGCGAATGTTTTCTAAGTGCGTGGCTACTAAATCACATGTATGTTAGCGTTCCTGTCATCAATTTTGACAGGCGGCTTTGTAGCCCGTCTCTGAACCTAGAGTATTCGAAGATGATGAAGGATAAGTATTAATTAAGAAGCTATTTAATCCATTTTCTAAGTGTAAATTTATCACAGTGAGCTCATGTCTTCTTGTTCTTTGAGTGGGAAATGCCTCTGTTGTACGAAGCATACTCGCCTTAATAATTTGAGATATCTATATGCGACTTGCACTGGTGCCGCATATTCGATATCTATGTGCTACGCGGTTAGGTGAGATTTACGGCCGATTCAAGTAAGAATTAGTAGACTAAATTATTTACCAGGGGGATACACATCTTGTGTGGTGCTTACGTGTATCTTACAGATCAATATAGTGTGATACCCGTAGCCACTCTTTAGGGGCAACAAGGTCTACCTATCTGCGGATTTTCAGCTCGACTTTCTCTTGTCTCTATATTTCCCTAATGCTGTGAATGAGTCCTGGAATTTGTAAATTTTTTTTAATCGCTTGGCAGATCAGATTCCGATCACTTGAACTAAGCCGTGTTCAAGTCAGCAATGGCTCAACAGATCAAGCAACAGACAAAGGTGATCATTATTGGCGCAGGTAGTTGCACCCGATTGGAATTCGAAAAAGAAAAGAGCATGACTAACTTAGAGATAGGGTGGGCTGGCCTGGCTGCAGCAAAAACGTATAGGACTTCCATGCCCATTCTGAGAAGAAACACAGGGAATCTATTCAGCTTTTGCTAATGCAATATAGGTATCTACAGGCCAACCCTGCTATATCCCTTACCATTCTGGAATCAGAATCTACAGTAGGTGGTGTGTGGTCCAAAGCAAGATGCTATCCGGGCTTCATAGCGGATGGCCCCGTGGGACTGTTCGACTTTAGCGACCTGCCAATGCCCGGCGTGGTTGGGCTCAAGGATTGGGATGAACTGCCAGGTATAAAAGTTCATGAGTATCTGCACGAGTATGCTCGAAAGTTTCATCTTCTGGAGCGATGCAAATTTGGGTACCGAGTCACGAATGTTCGCCGGGGAGCACTAGAGAAGGGATGGATCGTCGATGCTCAAAATACCGGCGATGATGGAAAGCAGATTTCGCAGATTTTTGATTGCGATAAATTAATTGTTGCCACGGGAAACTTTTCGAATCCTAAATATCCCGACGTGGCGATGGCTGGGTTCAAGGGTCTGTCTATACACACCAAAAACATCGGGCAGCAGTACGAGGCTCTTCTCGGGACAGACATTGAGAGTGTTGCAGTCTACGGAGGCGGAAAGTCAGCTATCGATGCCGTCAACCTCTGCATCGAAGCTGGCAAGAAAGTGCACTGGATCATCAGCGACAAAGGCAACGGGCCAAACATGATGTTCAGCACTCGACTGAAATGGGGCTATCACGTTGGCCAGTTTGTTGGGAGATGGAAGGACGTGTTTTCTGTCAGCATCTTCAGCATCGACACTTTCTTTGGAAGATTCTTCTACAGCGGCAATAACAAGCTTGGAACGTGGCTGATTGGCAAGTTTTGGTCTTTTGCGGCGAAGAAGACGAAAACGGGCGGACTCTATGCAGACATGACGGATGAAAACCGGCAAAAGTTGTTGCCTGAGAGTAATAGGTAAGTCTTTTGAGAGCTAGAAACCGACGAACTCGTTGTGTCACGATTCTGAACATGATGTTAACAAGACTTGCTGCAGTGCTTTGTTTTCGGCAGCCGGAGGCGCAGCTTTGCACAGCTGTCCCAAGTTCATCTCAGAGCTGAGTAAACAAGATGGTCTCCTCACAGTTCATCGAACGCGCATCACATCTGCTCAAGATCAAATTCTTCATCTCTCCAATGGAAAAACTATCAGCTGTCAGGCTCTAGTGTTTGGTACGGGATGGACAAGTGAAGATGTCCTATTTGATCCTGCACTCGGGCTTTCTTTAGGTTTACCTAAGGCTGCGGTGCTTGAAGACGACAGTTCAACAGAATACTGGCAAAAGCTTCATATGAGAGCTGATGCTGACATATTGTCACTTTTACCAATTCTCAAAGATTCTCCTGGACCCAAGACAGCAGATTCCTTAACGCCATACCGTCTATATCGATATATGCTGCCTTCATCGTTAGCCGCAGCAGATGACCGCTCCCTCATCTTTCTAGGATATTTGATCAGTATTCAAACTCACATCCTCAGCGAGGTCTCCGCTCTATGGGCGATCTGCTGGCTCGAGAACCTCGTTGACCTGGACATCTCGAAGAGCAAGGAAGACATAGACTATGAGATTGCAAAAGTAAATGCATTCAGCTTTCGGAAGAATCTATCCCAAGAACCAAGTGCTGGTAGCGGGATTCAGCATTTCATTGACTTATTAATGAAAGATATGGGATTAAAGCCAAATCGAAAGGGCGGTTTAGGGATCAAAGACACATTTGTCCCGTACAGATCTCAAGATTATCTAGGTATTGTGGATGAAATTTTGCGAAGGTCAAACGCGTGAGCTAGAGTTTCTTTTTTGGCTGATTGAAGCCTCTTCTCTTACGTATCATTAGCATTTCATCATTTAAAAATACCATAATATTAGAAGAGTAACCCTCTCGTACGAAAGTAAAGATCATGGATTTGGCAGTGTAATCGATATATAGCTTGCATTCTGATCAAATGACTCTTCTAGGGATAGTAAGATCATCTACTTCAGGATCCTAACGTCTTTATTTTCCTTTCCGTTCCTTTTCCGTGTGGTCAACAGTGCCCCCAACTAATACTATGTGAGCAACTATCCTCAAACTCTAGTCCACACAATTGACGGGTGACTGACCGTGGGACAGGGTGTCTTTAATTTTCTGTTCAGCCTCAACTTTGTTCGATGGTATGCGATAAAGCAAATCCTTCGCATAAGCAGCTGCCGTCATTGCGGCATACCCTTGCCAGTCCTTATTCTTGTGCGAATCCGAATAGTCACAGATGCCTCGAATGACCAAACACGGAAACTGGTTCATAAGTCCAGCTGCTTCCATCTCAAAACACAGAACGCCCTTCTCATTAGCGAGTTTATCACGCATGATGGCGTCTTTCATCAATTGATTTGCAGAAGCAATAAGGCCATAGTGAATAGCAGGATTATCTTCCTCCTCCGTACGTGCTGAGCGTGGCGCCAATTTCTCTGCTCCGTCGCCGCATACAGTCTGACAGCCAGCGTCATCATTCTCAGGGTGAACCACGTTACTTCGATAGAGCTTATCGCTGCCCGGAGCCGGCCGAGTGTACTTCTTCCGGAGTCGTGGCTTCACATTAAGAATCTCAGTAATAGTGGTCTCGTATCCATGTCCTTCGCTTTCGTGCTGAGACCTAAGCCCTGCCATTGCTGTCCTAAGCACTGTCGGCGGCTGATTCAAGAATCCAGTGGTCTGAAAGCTCTGGTTCTGAATTGTCTTGCCAAAGTCATATTGGAAGACGCCACCCATTCCATCACGAGGAGCGCTCACAACAATATCACCCAAGCGAATATCATGGCTTGGGCTCGGCGCGCCGCCGCCAATGCCGACCATCAAACCAATTCTGACGTTTGGAAAGCTATGGAGCATGTCTCTTGCCACGCTTGCTGCAGAAGCTATCCCGTATTCTCCGTCGGGAAGAACGGCTATGACGACGTTGTGCTGTCCGATTCTCCCCAATGTATAATCGTTGTTATCATGTCTGGAGACGCTACTCGGGGAACCGTGTCTCTCATCTAGGAAAGCCTGCGCAGCGACGTATTCTGTACTTATGGCGCAAATCCAACCAACGGCGTATACTTCAGGGTTTGACATGATGTCTTTTTATGTGGAATGGGCTGGGAGAAGGGATGGAAGAAGAGGTCCTCACAGGGTACGGTGAGTCAGCGCTTCTGAGAATCTTTGCGGATTTGTCCTGTAGATAGAGTCATTTGCAATGTTCAAGTTTTCTGAAGAAAGCCCGGAATGGCAACATGAAGCGGGCAAAATATTAGGCAGCAATAGATCCCCGCCGCATAGCAGCCAATCAATTTGGAATTTTATATTAAATCCTATAATCGTGACGAGGCTGAGAGTTCACATGTATATAGCGGCAAGTGTTCCAGATTACAAACCGATCAGAAAGAACAACAGTCACAGACCAGTGTTTACATGTAAGCGAGCTGTATTTCCTGTCCAAGCATTGTCAAGCAACTTCCTGCTTGAGTGGAACTCTTGCCGAAAATTTTGATACCAGAATAATGGTGATGAAAAAATTGTATTTGGAATCAACTCCTGGAGAGAGAGTTCCTAGAGCTTCTCAACCTGGAGCCCTGCGGAGACATAATATATGTAGAGTGCATGTCAGCTTTCTGTCTGTTTGGTACATATTTTGTGCTTTTTATTCCAGATAGTGGGCGGGGAAATGCTATGGTCCATCACATGCAGATAACTCGAGGATCCGAGTCATGCTCTAGAAGAAAAGTGTGGAGTCTGACTCCAACAGCCGAACGAGTGAATTAACATGCATGGGTCTTTGGGCGACTTGGGGCCGGATACCACGTTGAACATCGAGGCACTCTTTAGCCCTGGCAACCTGGCATGAGACTTTGGCAACTATTGACGAAGTACCTAGTATTTGCACCTTGCTGTGTCAGCACTAGCATTGTTGCAACCCTTGTGGGGGATGCGGAAACAGCTCCGTATAGCCATACTCGTATGTAGATTTGAAATGAAGATTATTAACACGGCAGCTCTTGAACTTCCGAGAGGGGTTAAGCACAACGGTCGGATCGTTTAAATGACGCTAACGACGGTATCACCACAGCTGGACGGCCCGCTCATGACTCGTTATTGTCCTCGAATCGAGATACTGGACAGCTTTAGATGATATGTCAAGATACGTCTCAAGGTTCTAAACTTCAGGACCTTCGAAACCTTCTGCCCGCTGAATACACAACTTGAAAATAGGGTTATGATCATGACCACAGTACATGTATTCAAGAACCAGCGCTACCTCATCAAGCAGAAATACAAATAAAACAGACGCTAGAGATAAAGAATACATGTCCCCCTACCAATGGTGTAAGCAGGAATGCGGAGTACCCGTACCGATCCATGTGACGTGGGCCTTGCTGCTCGGTGACATTCCCTCAAGCATCACAAGAATTCACTTGTGGCAGCGGCCAAGAAAGCATGCGAGCAAGCGAACTTACGGAGGAAGGGAATCAACTAAATTAGACTGTAATGAGATTGTTCATACAAAGATGCAATGAATTAGATTGTGGGGGTAAGTTACATGTGCTTCGTACGGAGTACATACATCGTATTCAACAGGCAGGGGGGTAACCCCGTGAGACCGACGGCCGGGGCCTTTTACCTATTGCATAGGAAAGTGGCTCCCGGGCACGATACTACACAGTAAATCTGTTGAAACCGGGAAAATATGCCATTACGAGCGGGTTTTCTTCTCTTTTATGTGTGCATGGCCCGAGTTTTAGCTCTTCCTGCTCTTCTCAACGGATACCGAGAGGCTTCGTCAACAAGCACATGAACCATCAAAGCCAACAAGTATAATTCCCTCTTCTTTTCTTTAGTGCGTTTCGTAGAATATACTCGGTTTTCGTTTACCCCGTACTGTAGATGTATCCCCTCATTTGCAGCTGGGATCTAAGCCACTTTGCCCACTGAATGCAACGCATAAACTTCCCAATGCTTCTTTGATGGAGATACAAATCTGGCCCTGTAGATTCCTCTGAACCTTTTCCCCCATCTTTCATTACATGAGTCTCTACTATAGATGCTCTAGATATGCAGAATGATTCGAATTCCCACTTCCTAGGTTCAAAGTTGGGATACAAATTTGTAGCTCTGGCATTATCGATACATATATCAATATATAATTATGAATTACCCTTGCAAGCATAACATGTAGAAAGCTTTAGATTACCTCATCACAGCCATGTTTTATAGTCAAATATACTCAAAGTCCATGTATACATATACGCCGATATATAGGCAATCAGTCATTCAATTTGAGCTACAGACAATGTCACTATAGATCCCACCGTTACATATTCTACCTAAGTGCAGAAAACTTGATTTGAATAATTAATGACACCATAACGTAAGAGTCTCATATCTATCCGGTTTCTTCCACCACTCGTAGAGAAGCCACCCATCAAGCTGTGATGTGATGATTGGCGTCTGCAGGGGTTTGATGCAATTTGCTACATTTGGAACAACCCTTACCACCCAACTTGCATTAATAACGTCGCACCCAATGTTCCATGGACCGTGGAGGCCCCTTATCTATGTGACAAGTGATAAGTATTCGAGTTTGCAAGCGGGGCTGCTCTTTAAGCATACCTATATATTGGGCAGTTTGCAAGCTGATGGGGTCCTAATAACACGAACTGATTTCAAGCTATGTAGTTTTCAACTTTCTTCTGATTTTAGCTGGTTCTCAACGCTCGGTTTCTCATGTTATCCCTTCTTGTACTCACCAAGGGGGCTATTACCCAAGCCTCCATTCTTGGAATTCTAATATGTCTCGCTACAGCTCTATTTAGCCGTTCCCTTCGAAAAGGAAGTCTGGCTAAAAAATATCCATCGGGACCTAAACCATGGCCTCTAATCGGAAACCTATTTTTCTTCTCGGAAATCTCAAAGAATAATGAGAAAGCCCTTGACCCACTGAGCAAAGAGTTTGGTGGTTTTTTTATGCTCTGGCTCTTTTCGCAGCCATTTTTGTTTGTAAACAAGTTGGCAGATGCTAAAGAATTGATGGATAAGGTATGTCTTGCCTGATGGGATATTTGGACAAGAACACTAAATTAATCGTCCCAAGCGAGGAGCTGTCTTTTCAGATAGGCCAAAGATGAATGGCTTTGTCCAAAAAGTTTGGCCAAGCCTATTGCCACTTAAAGGTGTCGGAGAAGAGTTCCGGCTTCTGAGGCGAGTATATACTGATATACTTGGCCCCAAGCCAGCGCAGTCAGTTAAAAAGTATCAGGAGTATGAGTCGAGAATGATGATTCGCGATTTATACCACGCTCCTGAGCATTTCCTAGCACATACAGAACGATATGCAACGAGTGTTATATTTAGTGCAGTTTATGGGGTAAGGATCAGCCGACTCGACTATCCCGTTATTGTTGAGCTTCTTGATATAATAGATATCATGTCAAAATGCAAGTCAATATGAAAACTTCTGCCCAAGTTCATGAATGAATTTACTGATTTTATCTAGACATTCTGCCAGGAAAAATGTTGATTGACTATCTTCCATTTCTCGAGAGACTACCGGAACGTCTCCAACCATGGCTTTGGACTGCAAATGTATTGCACGCTCGCGAAGACTCTGTTCATAAAGGCTTTCTGAGAGTCCTTAAGAAGCAGATAGAGACTGGAGCAGAGTCTTATTGCTTTGGCGTTGATGTCTTAAAACTACAAGAGAAGAATGGGCTTGACGACCAGCTTACGCTAGAGATTCTGAAGGGAGTGATTGCTGCTGGCGCCGAAACAACTAGCAGCATGATGCAGACTATCTTTAAAGTCTTGGCCATGAATCCCGAGGCCCAGAAAAAGGCACAAGAGGGTGAGTTTACCTACATGTACATATTTACAAGTTTGAGACACCGCTGAAGCTAACTCAATGTCATCGGTATAGAGCTAGATCGAGTAGTAGGACCGTTACGGCTGCCGACCTGGGAAGATAGTCCCAATCTTCCTTACATGCGGGCTCTCATAAAAGAGATTCATAGATATGCTCCCCTTTTCAGTATCGGGTTACCACATGCTTCTACAGAAGAAATCAGCTACGGAGGTCTCACGATACCAAAAACAACTGTGTTGCCGAACGTTTTTGCTCTTTCCCGAGATCCTGAGAGATATGACGAGCCTGATAAGTTTGAACCAGAACGTTTTCTTGGAGACGACCTCGACTCTTTTAGCAGCGCTAAGCAGGCTGATTATCGCAAGCGGGATCATGTTGACTATGGATGGGGCCGTCGATTATGTCAAGGCATTCATGTCGCCGAAAACTCGATATATATGCAAGTTTCTCGCCTTCTGTGGGCATTTGATGTCTCGACCTTGGCTGGAGAACCACCGTTGGATCTGCAGGATAAACACGGCAAGTCTCCTTCCCCATAACAACGCCTCCTCATAATACTGCTTCCTAGGCTAATACTACAGTATTGAACAGAGGGATTGATAAAGAAGCCCAAGCCGTTCCGATTATCCATCACGCCTCGATCTGAGCAAGCGGTTCAGGTGTTGCTACAGAGCGCCGAAGAGGCAGTTACAGATCTCCCAGATGCAGATAGTGTAGAGATGTCTGCGTAATTGCGAAAGACACCGCACCAGAGAAGCAAAGTACATGTAGCTGATGGTTTATTGGTGGTGTTGATAGCGCGGATGTATTGTATCTACATGTACTTACTTATTCAGAGACCTTACAGGCATGGACTGCATTGCGTTTACATGTCCCAAATTGACGCTGCATATCACCGGGCTGTATTATTGAGACGAAACAATGAGCGGGGTAGAGCCCACCCACGGGACGAGTGAAATATATGTACATGTAACTTGATGACCCGTCAGCAAGAACTGCATTGACTATTCTTGTATCTTCTGCAGAGCTACAGAAACTCATTTGACCTATTGATTGGTGTTTCAGGCATTTCGTTCCATCATGCCTGTCGCCGGTGAGCCGTTGCTCGATGATGCCTCCAATGATCCTACTCATAAAACTCGCTGGAGTTATACGAGTTCTACTGATCTTCCGCTGCCCGATGAAGACCCCACGCAGCCGTTCTGTCCTCGTCATGTCACTACCATTGCTTTATTGAATAGGAGTTCTTTTGGTCCTTACCCAGTTGGCGTGGGTTCAGCGACTCCCCATCATGATTGGCATTTTGGGAATCTTGACTACATTCTGTCGCATCGGAGCTGGTGCCGAGTGTGTGGCCTTATTGCAGATGTGATCAATGAAGATCCTGCAAACTCCATGTCGGAGCACAACAATGCAGAAATTATTGCCTGCTGGGTTTGGGACGGAGTGCTCAGCAGGAGCGGCGACGAAATGGGAACCCTCCGGCTGAGAGTTGCCCCTGAGATGGTTGGCTGGGAAGACTTGTTTGAGCCGTTCGATCTGGTTCCCCTGGCGGACAGTGGTATAGACAGGTGTTTGTTTCTCGGACGGAAAATTGAGGAGGATCGGTTTGACCTAGAGCTCGTCAAAGTTTGGACCAAGAGTTGTACTGAATGGCATGGCAGTGAGTGCCTAGATGCAACGCCGTGGCAGACTTGTCACTTTGGTGTGCCATTCATTCGGATGATCTCCCTCACGGACTACAACTTGATTGAGACATCGCGTCCTCCACCATACGCAGCGTTGAGTTACGTGTGGGGGGCTTCCCCCGTATTCAAGACGTTGCAGGGCAATGTCAAAGACTTGATGCAGCCACAAGGTCTGCCGGTACCGTCTCTTCCGAGATCGATTCGTGATGCTATGGTTCTAGCACGCGATCTTGGTTTTCAATACATATGGATCGATTCCATATGTATCATACAAGATTCCGCGGAAGACAAAGTGCAGCAACTTCGCATGATGGACAACATTTACAGTCGTGCAAGTCTCACCATCGTCGCTGCAGCTGGTGCTCATGCCGACGCAGGAATTCCTGGCTTACAACCGGCAACCAGATGTCGAAAACAGCATACAGTCCAGATTTCTAAAGACCTGACTCTTGTGGCCCTAAATCCAGATACCCATCGCAAAGCGACGGCCACAACGTGGAATACGAGAGGCTGGACTTATCAGGAACGACTTCTCTCAAAACGGTGTGTTTTCTCTTTCCCTGATGGATCTGTGAGCTTTCAGTGCTCAAAGGCTGTTTGGGGTGAGGATTACTACGCCGAGACACCGGATATGAAGCGTTGCGCGCCGATGATGGACATTTCCTTGAATCGAAGCTGGATGGCCCCGGGTTATGTCAACACGAGAGGTGCTCCAACCGTGCATATAATGAATACGCCGTATCTACACGAATACTGCAGGCTTGTCGAGGAATACACTGGCCGTAATATGTCATACCCGAGCGATCGACTACCCGGCATCAATGGTGTTCTAGACGTCTTTCGAAGAGAGTTTGGTCTTCAGTTTCTTCATGGGTTGCCGGAAGTTCTCATTCATATGGCTCTTCTCTGGCAGCCACGCAACAAGCTGAAGCGTGTACCCAAAGATCCCCGGACTGGTTTACCGTTCTTTCCCAGTTGGTCGTGGACCGGTTGGACTGGGCCAGTTGGATATGAGAACTGGGATGCCTTCAATGGTATGCCTGAGCTGGAGGATCGTGCAAAGCGTGTCATTCCTTTCGGAAAGTTGGCCAAGATGGGGTTAAGAGACTTCGAATATATTCCTTTACCAACAGAGCTTCAATCATCCCTCAATTGGTCAAGAATTTCTACACCGAGACAAGGGACTTGTTATGTTTTGGATGACAATGCCAACAGGTATCATTCGATCCCTTACATATCACCATCCACGAGGCCAGAAGAAGTCAGGACATTTGGGCAAACACTTTGGCTCAGTCTGCGCACGCGTGTCGCGCGTTTCCGGTTAACAAATCTTGTCTTGAGTTCTGATTTTAATAAAGAGGACTTTCCGATCGAGAAACGTGGCCGCTTTGGGCTTTCTCTGCCGTCGCCATCTGCAGGCGACCGGCCCTGGTTGGGAACAATTCTTCTACCTGTGCAATATCATGCCAAGATGACCCAAGACCATGAATTCATCATTCTCTCTGAAAGCTATGGATTCAATCGTCAAGAGATGGCACCAGCGGCAGCCACTAAAACGAAACCCTTTGAAGTTTACGATGTGATGATGATACGGAGAGTTGTTGACGAGGAGTTGGCGCAGTATCGATCTCGACTTGCATCCGAATCAGCACAAATGGATAAGTGGTTCGATGGAAAAAGTATTGTGGAGAGGATTGGAGTTGGGCGGATGGTGAAGAATGCTTGGGATAGTGATGGCCACTGGGAAGACTTTGTTCTTATCTGATGCTAGATTTGTGCTTTGATGTTATACTCAAATTTTCTGGTAACATAGCGGCACTGTCTACCTAATGAATCGTAAACTGCAGAGAATTGTTTACTTCAACGAGAAACTATATCTAACATAGCAAAAGTCAGTACAGCTAGTTCTTGTCCTGGCCTATTCTGCTAATTGGTCTGCCATATCTTCAAATGCTGCCTCAATCGCCATGACCGTAAGATCAACGATCAGGTCTATATCAACCATCGTTACGTTATATGGCGGCGCAATCAAAATGTGATCGCCAACTTGGCCATCGACTGTTCCGTTTCCTGGGTACAACAATATGCCGCCGTCCTCATTTAAACCGAGACCTTTTTGATGAACTAGCATGGCAATGTCGAGCTCGCGATCGAATGGAGCTTTGGAGTCTTTGTTTTTGACAAATTCAATCTATATAAATTGTTAGTTTTAAAAGCCTAATACAATGCATATAGACACACCGGGAAATAAGTATCACTTACACCCCAAAAGAGTCCACGACCGCGAATATCACCAACATAACGGTGATGGCCAAGCTTCTCTTTAAGCAGGCTTTCCAAGTACTTGCCCATGAAGGATGCATTGTGCACAAGATCTTCTTTCTTCATAATACGCTGCACTTCTGCCGCTGCTGCACATGAAATCGGATGCGCCTGGTAGGTTTGTCCATGGGAAAATCGTCTGCCACTAAATGTCAGCGTTCATATCATCAAAGGACGCGCAACTTCACTCATTTGCTCACCCAGAACCATTTTCCAAAGTCTTAATAACATGATGACCAACAAGTAACCCTGCAATAGGTGCATATCCGCCTCCAAGGCCCTTGCCTATGGTTTGAATATCGGGAACAACTCCCTCGTATTCCCAGGCATGCATCGTGCCTGTTCGACCCATCCCACACATAACCTCGTCAAGCACCAAAAGGGCCCCATACTTGTCGCATACGGATTTCATCGCTTTGAAATATCCCTCGACAGCTGGGACACATCCAAGCGCCTTTAATCAAAGTTAGTCAGGTTCAGATCACAGGATGAGGTAAATAAGAAGCACGAACCGCGCCAACAACCGGCTCTGCGATAAAGGCACAAACATTCTGAGGCCCCACGCGCTGGAATTCGTCATCTAGTTCTTTTGCGAGTCTTGCCACATATTCTGTTGTACTTTCGTTGTCCAACTTGTATCTATAGGCGTTGCATGGGGAAACGTGTGAGATGTTCTGCATCAAGATGGGTTCATATACCGCCCTCCGACCGACATGGCAGCCCACGGACAAAGCACCCAGAGTTGTCCCGTGATAAGACTCTCTGCGAGCTATGAATCGGGTTCTGTTAGGCTCTGGAGTTGGTAACTCTAGGAAATATTGCCGACATAGTTTCATGGCTGCCTCCATCGCTTCTGAGCCTGTTAGTCGCGTGTTAGCTTCTTTGCCTGAGTATACATCTAGACAGAAACAAATCTCGAACCAGAACAAACAATGAAAGCCTTTGCCATCTGGCCGTTAGTGCTTCGAATCAACTGTTGACAAAGATCTTCAGCGCTTGGGCACGAATAGAACAGGGTATGGCAGTAATCAAGCGTCTTGGCTTGGGCTGTAATGGCATCTATCACACGCTGATCGCAATGGCCAATACATGATACAGCTGCTCCTCCAGTGGCGTCGAGTATTTTGCGACCGTCATCGAATTGAATATAGAAACCCGAAGAAGATACGATTCGAAAAGGTTCCTGATTCAAATCTCGATGAAATACTGCACTGGGGGCCGTATCAACGGCTCCTGAACTTGCAACAGTTGACATGATGCTATCCCATGTGAGTTGCTAATGTCTTGGTTATTCAGCGGGATACCTATGTTACAATCATTGGGTTGGAAAAGGTACAGGCAATTAAATAAAGACAAACGGCAGAGCCCAGCCGAATGATATCCGCAACCAGGCACATGATACGGTCATAAATGGATCTCGTTGTAAAAGCAACCTCTTCCGATTTACCATTTACGTAACAAGATTCAATTCTCAATATCTTGAAGAGATTATTCGTGCGCTTGCATGCAGCAATTGATCCAGAATATCCTCTTTTGCCGTTGAGGACATGCACGTACTTTCGTCAACGCCTGGCTTCTCACTCCACAGTGTGTCACTTGAACCGTTATCATTGTGATGCGTTTAAGAACAAAAGCTACTAACCAGAAAAAGCAAACCGAGATAGTGATAATTGGTTACAGCACTAGTCAATTCCAACTCCCATTGGTAAGTTACTGAATGCCGACTCGGCATTCGGCTCAATTCTTACCCTCTGCTTATTACTTCTGGTTCCATTGAGCAGTAGATATCTGGCTTATAGCCCTTTACAGGACTCATTGAATTGCTCTGTCTTACTTTTGACATTCTATCTGCAGCAATGTGATGGAGTATGGACATATCACATGCCAATTGCTGTTTGCTTAATTGCCTATCCCACGCAGACCCATCTGATGTACTGAAAGACGAGGTATGCACGTTGGTCTGGCTGAGACGCCCCATCCTCCCAAAATTCTATTATCCCTTTGTGTTTTTACTGGCTCAGGTCGACTGATTTTAGAAGTGTTGCCTACACAATCTGAGAGAGTTCCTCAGACGATGTAGCCAGGAGCAGCTCATGCTCCTACATGGCGCTGATTCCAGCAAGGCCCGGTCGACAATCAAGGGAAAGATAAATGCTGCTAGCACTGGTGTCGACCATGGAGCTACTTGGACATCAAAACAGACCGTCTCGCCTCATGTGGGATTACGGATATATTCAGCGCCCATGGCTCACAAAAGTTGTGGTTTAAGTCGAGCTCTTTCCCCCCCAAGCAATTTAGCTTCGTACGTGTCCATTTCGCCGCGATATCAATATCCACTCGATGCCCATAGCAGCAGTCAGGATGATGATGGCATTGGCCAAGAACTCAGTACTCCGTCTAATGCCACCGGTAACTCACTGAGAGGGCCTCAATCGATTGATGCGGATCATTTTGTGATTCGTGCATACAAAGCCATTGTAAATGTTATGAATCTTCGATGGAGTTTAACAGGCCTTCAAAACCAAACATCATTACTTGCGATGGTGGAAAGGGACCATTTAGACAACCCAGGAGCAAGATTGTTTGCCTTGCGTTCGAAACTTCGCAATGAGCAGCACATGGCTATAGCTATAGACAGAGTCGCTGCGGTTTTGTTAGTTGATATGCGGGATGATCTTGGAGGATCCTACGATGGCGTGCGAGAAAAAGGCTTTCGAACAGCAATCGTGGGAAATAAAATGCTTGCTGAGCAGTGGAAAAAGACGCACAAAGAGGTGGTAGAAGAAATTCGGGCAGCGATTACTTACAACTTCGCCGAGCAAATCATTTCGCCAGGGATTAATCTCCTCTTAGGCTCGCGATCACAAGATGTGTAAGTTTCTAACCTTTTGTCAAACATAGCCCCTAAATGATGCCAACTAACCACAATTCCAAACTGGTATAGTTGGGAGAAGCGCTTCTCTCGTAAAAAGGTCGAAGTTTTGCATAGAGTCTTGAAGCAAACCGAAGAAGGCCGAATCGTGCTGAGCCGCGCAAAAGACTTGGATGACGCTGTCATCACTATCAAGTGTATTCTCAGCATCCACATCGGATACAAATGGCGCTGCGCGAAATATGCATCGCTAAATACTCAAGAAAGCGGCGAGATGCTATTCAAAAAGCTACAGGGCCAACTATCGACGCGAACGACAGACATGCGACAATTGGAGAGCACCTTGTATTCTACATTGGACAAGTCGACGCCCGAAAGCGGACAAGTCACCGAGATCTCAAGAGAGAGTTTAGACTTTTTCGTTTATACATCTATTCCGACATCTAATAGTGGTGTATTTACGGAGAAAAGAAAGGGATCAGTGTTGTCAGACCACGACCATCCTTCCAAGAAACATCGATATTCGCTCGGTAAGTTATGCACTTATATAATATTTGCCTATCACTTTCTTTATTGTAATATGTCTGATGGAGGCAATAAATAAGACTTGGATGCTTCTGAACTACAGGTTCGTACAGGGCCAACTTCTTATACGTCGCATATAATCGATGGACTGCCATTGGCGGTCCGACCTATAACAGGCCAAGAACAAAATGATAGGAGAGCATCATCCGCAGATAGAGTTGATAGGTCACTCAACTCTCTCTCTCAAAGTTCTCCGGAAGACCACCAAATGCTTGACCCAGCAGAAGAGGACACTATCCAATCCGGTTTGGAGAATACAGAGATGGGCAGAGAAGGTCAGATGGAATTTCAGACACGGCTAGCCCCTGGAAATCAAGATCCTGGGAACTCCTTGAGCTACGAATATGGCGAACAATGGGGAATCACCGAGGACGTTAGCACTTTGGACGATATCCTCAGTCTCAGTTGGTGACTGGACAAACAGGTCGCCAATGTTACGTCGTGCGCGACAATTCAGCTGCATCAAAGAACTCCAATAGTCGCTGCGACTCCACTGCAAATTCAATTATGCTATGAATGCTCATCGACGATTTTCTTCAATTTCTGAAGATCTAAAGCCTTGACAAATCTGCCTGCCGGACCTCTCATGTCTTGTGCACAGCAAAGCGCGTTATAAACGGCCTCCTCTGTTACATCTGCAGCAGCTTCAAAAAGCGCATTGCTTGTAACATCCTGGACGACTTGAACACTTTGCCCAACCGTTGGCTTCCAGCTAAACGCAGGATCTCTCGGGACGTGATGCGAGGTCGAAAATGCAAGGAAAATATCCCCGGAGCTGTTGCTTCCCCAGCCGCCGACACGGCTGAATCCAACGGAAGCACGTTTGGCAATCCGCTGTAGCTGAAGAGGATGAAGCGGTGCGTCTGTGGCGAGTATCACGATAATGCTGCCATCCTTGACTCCTTCGTCTTCGCGTCGGGAGGTGGCATCTGCTATGACTTCCTCCTTCATCAGCTGTCCAACTGGAACTCCCCCAACTCTCAGGTCACGACTCGTGCCAAAGTTGGTCTGCACTAGGGCGGCAATTGTATATTTGACAGGCTTTTCTCCCTCGCCACCTTCTGATATCAATCCGTCGATTACTCGACTTGACGACCCGGTTCCGCCCTTGAACCCTTGGCAGATTGTACCTGTGCCACCTCCCGTATTTCCCTCTGGGACTTGCATCGCAGAAGCAGATTCGATGCCTTTTACAACATGCTCGGGTGTCACTGCCATCGCGCCGATATCAGACAGGTAGCCGTCGAATGTTTCCGACACGACAGGGAGGATGAATCCATTGCAAAGACCCTTTTCGGGCCCTTGTTTGACAGCGAGCTTAGACCTGCAGTATTGGTAGATGCCGGAGTAAGCGGCGCCAACTGAGTAGCTGTTTGTGAGAACAATTGGAGAATTCAAAAGGCCCGTTTCATCTATCCAGTGACTGCCAGTCATCTCTCCGCATCCATTGAAGCGAAATATGCTCGCATAGCAGCCTTGATCGACAAAGCCTTTTCTCGGCAGAATGCATGTAACCCCGGTGTTGACCTCGTGGTGATGGGCGGTTTTTGGCAGAACAATGGACTGGGTATGTACTAGCACGCCGGGAACATCGGTCAATGAGTTCAATGGGCCTGGAGAATGGCGGCCGAGTCTCAGATTAGGTAGAAGATCTCGAATACGCATGCGGCCCGGAGGAGGTCGCACACGTTGAGGAGAATCGATCGAAGAGCTCATATTTTGTAGATGGTGATGAGAAGAAAAAAGAGGGGAAAAGGGAAAGGGAACTCGGAGGGAATAATATAGTCAAAGTACATGTATGCAATGAGCGGGTTTCTGTGGCTTTGTGTGTATATTGTGTACCTGTATAGTGGCGACCGTGATGATTACTGAATGGATTCTGTAGCGTTTAAGAGCAACTTTGAGGAATTGCGTGCAACTCGTGAGATGGAGTTTTTACACACGTTTAGCTAGTGCGGGTCTGACGTACCAATTTCTTCAATTTCCGGATTAAGAGCCAATAACACGCTCCCTCCAGCGATTCGTTTTAGCATCTTCTATTACGCAAAAGCCATCTCTTGTAGTTTCATCTAGCAGAAATTTCTTCTCTGTGTAAAGCCGAGATATTTAAACAGCTCGCTGCCGTCTGAGCTCTTCTATTTATTGCTACCCCTCCTCTTCTCGCAACAACACTCATATGAGAGTATCGATCTTACGCTTGCATATATTCTGACATACTGGCATTGAGACTTGCCCACTACAAGAAGCACCCACAGTTCAGTAAAGTTGAACTCTTCATCTACGATATTCGCCATGACCCAGAAATCTTCACCATTGGTATCGCCGCCGCTCCCAGCTACAGCTCGACCACGGATTCGTGAGTTGGGCTACAGCCCCGGAAAGTTTGCGCCAGGACCCAAGAACTCAATTCTTGACGTGCCAGGTACATAACTTGGCCTCTTCTTTTCCTTCTAGTGCCATTACATTCTGTGGCGATGGCGTACTTTGCTGAAATACTCATTCGGTCCTCCTAGGCGTACAAGTCGGCCAAGTCACCGTCAATGAAGGTACCGATATCCATACTGGATTAACGGTCATTTTGCCCCGTGGAATAAAAGAAACCCGCCTGACCCCGTGCTATGCGGCAACCCACGACCTCAATGGGATGGGTGAATTGACCGGAACTCATGCCCTCGCTGAATATGGATACATCAACACAGTAAGCTGCCTCTGTAACGCTCATCATGTCATTGATTGCCTGCTCACCCGGAAAATACCACTCTAGCCAATCGCAATTACCAACACTGTCAGCGTGGGCAAGGTTTACGACGGCCTTTTCCTATGGCAAATGGAACAAGCTCGTAAAGACGGGGAAGATGACATCGAAAGCCTACGACGTTTTTGCATACCTGTTGTAGGAGAGACGTACGATGGACTCCTAAACGATATCAGTGCCTCTGTTTTGGATAAAGACTCTGTTTACGCTGCTCTCCAAGTTGCTCAATCTCAAACAGAGGTCCAAGAAGGCAACTATGGCGGTGGCACAGCTATGCGATGCCACGGGTATAAGGGCGGAACTGGCACCAGCTCGAGAATCGTTCCTGGTGCTGATCGTGACTACACAGTTGGTGTCTTAGTCCAGGCTAATCACGGCCAGAAACCCGATCTGAGGATTGGAAATGTGCCAATCGGCGAGTTACTGATAGCTGAGGAAGCCAAAGCCAAAGAAAAGGCAGCGGAAGCGTCTAGCCAGCTACCCATTGGCGGCAAGGCAGCAGAAGGAAGTAAGTTGTCTCTTTTGCCATAGTTGAAACAGTATTAACGATTCCTGTGATAGGCATCATAGTATTAATCATGTACGTATTTTACCATCCTAAGCAAATGCATGCAATGAACCACTGACCTCAATATAGAACTGACGCTCCCTTACTGCCGCATCAACTGCGCCGTCTCGCTCAGCATGCCGGAATGGGCATCACTCAGGTCAGATAACGACATCCAAAAGCTATACGTCCATATCATTACTAATGAGACATTTAATACTTCAGGTAGGGGGTCATTCTGCGGGACGAAACTTCTCTGGAGAGATCTTCCTTGCGCTGTCGACAGGAACCTCGCCGAATCAGCTTGCTACCGCATCAGATGGTATGGGCTATCTGCCTCCGCTGGAGAGTCAGCGTGTCGAAACTCTAAAGAACGAAACGATTGACACTCTTTTCTACGTTGTATCGGAGACAACTGAAGAAGCCATTCTGAACGCCATGTGCAAAGCCGAGACTATGGCTGGTTTCAAAGGTAGGACGACAAAGGCTCTGCCAGTTGACCGAGTGAAGGAGCTCTTGGAGCAGTATGGCGTTGGTCTGAGAAAATAGATGTACGTCTGTAATCCTGTTCAGATGAGAATGTCGACATGCAACTACATACCCATCAAATGCCTCATGAGCCAATATAAAATGTATTTGAAAATTACTTCTTCTTGCCATAAGTGCTATCTAGTCCACCACCCCCTGAGGCAGAATGGCGACATAGTCTATCGCCGCCTGCTCCTGTGCATCTCCGGTTCCCTTGATGGTCAGCTTGTCCCCCCTCGAGATCTTGACATTCTCAAAGGTGATACGAATTGCCGAGTGGCAGTCAAGGAGCGTGCTGAAATCATGGCCGAGGTAATTCTCTGAGTCGCCCTTCCAGGTCCCTAGAGATTTGCCATTGAGTAGCACATTGTAACTAGCACTTCCTCCCATCACGTCATAATAGTTGATAGCCACCGTATATTTGCCGCTTGGGACGTTCAATCTCGTAGTGGCCGTGCCAGTTCCATTTGTAGCAATCGCTTTGTACTTGGACGCGCATTCAGTGGGAGAAACGTTGACCTTCGTAAACCCCAAAAGATCCATATCCTCGGCTTCAATACGGTGTGGGTGGTTTCGAACGCGGTTGAGTTTGTCCGGGATGCTCGATAGGTTACGATAGAACTCACTAACACCATCGCGCCAGACGAGTGAGTGGCCTGCTTGATACTGCAACCTGTACAAGACGTCGGCATATCGCTCGGCGTCTACTTGACCCTTGAGTGACTTCCACGTTGCCGGGAACTTCTGTACCGTCGCAGCACCAGAATAATGAGCATCGTAGAAATGCTGAATAACAGTCTTGCCAGAGTGCAGCTTGAAGGTGTATGGCACGTGGTGGAACCATAACAAGAGATCGTCCGGTGTGGTTTGGGTATGTTCAAACATGTTGGCAACATCTTTGGGATATTGTCCTGCATTTCCTGTGCCATTCGAAACTGTACGGTCCATTCCGATAGTCTTGCTATCAGCACGCGTCCACTGTCCCCAGCCATTGTTATCCTGAGAGGCGGGATTAGCACCATAATGAGTGTACAGAATATCGGTAAGGGTTTGAATGCCAAGGTTGCCGCTGTAGCCCTCATACGCCGGCCAAGACTTCATAGACATGTCAACAATAGCCGAGACCACATCTCGACTCAGGCCAAAAGTCAGGCGAGTCCATTCCTCGACAATGTCCTGAGAATTCGCTTGAGGGTTCCAGGCAAGTCGACCAAAAGCGAACATGTTGGACATGGCCAAGTGACTACCAATCCAGGTGTCGTCCATCCCGACGTTGATAACTCCAGCATAACCACCAAGTTTGTGATTAAATACCTCTCCCGAAACAATGTCGCGAACATAAGACTGCCGGCGATTGTATCGCATATCAAATCCCAAGATAGTCTGCCACAACGGCGGTAGATAGACTAGGTGACACTGTTGACCAAGATATTCCTGGGTGACCTCCAGCTCAATTGACACAGGGGTCTTGGGCATATTGGCAAAGAGAGGAGAAGCGGGCTCTCGAACTTGGAAATCAATAGGGCCGAACTTGATCTGGATCAGGACATTACTGTCAAACTGTCCGTCCAGGTCCTTGAAGTACTGAACAGCAGCATTGGCTCGATCGGCCTTCCAATCGGTTTCATTCAACTGATCATAGACAAATGCACGGAAGACAACGATGCCACCGTGAGGCTGAATCGCCTTGGCAAAGAGATTGGCGCCCTCCGACAAGGCGCGATTATAAGTCAGAGGCCCGGGCTGACCTTCTGAGTTTGCTTTGACAAGGTATCCCGCAAAATCGGGCACAAGCTGGTAAATTCTGTCGGTTTTGTCGGTCCACCATTTGACGACTGTGCTGTCTAGAGGATCAAACGTCGTCAAATCCCCCAGAACTTGTGGTGAGGCAAAGTTGAGCGAGATGCCGACATTGACTCCCCACGGCCGGAACAAGTCTGCAATTCTCTTGACGCCTTGGAGATTGGTCTCGTTGAGAAGGTTGGCGTCCGCATTGACGTTGTTGATGACGATTCCGTTAATGCCAACAGAGGCCAACAGGCGACCATACAGGGGAACTCGCGAAAGATCCTCTTTGATCAGGCCACTATCGAAGAAGATGGAAGCTCCACCGTAGCCTCTCTCGATGCTACCATGTGATGCAGTTGCTGCGTTCAGATTATCCCACTGGTTGGCCCATCGAACTGGCGCACTTGGGTTTGAAGCATATTCCACATCGGAAAAGTCACCCTGGCCGAGTAGGGAAAGATATTTAAAAGCACCGTAAAGCGCACCGCGTTCATTCTGGCCGATGATTTGTACTGAGTTGCCTTTGGTGTTTAGCCAGTATCCATCTTCCTTCAGATTCGCTTTCGGCGAGAGTTTGCCACAAGACGATTTGTATGTCTCTAGAGTGGAAATGACAATAGTCTTCTGAGCAGAGCAACTCTTTCCACCGGAGCTCACGTCCAGATCAAGTCCTAGGATGCCTTTAATACCCTTGTGTAGTTCTGATGAAGCACTTGCCAATGGTCCGTTTTTCGAGGCATTGAGGACGACGATGCGGTTCGGAAAAGAATTGAGATGTCCTTTAGTTGAAGAGGTTGGCAACCGAGCGTATCGCAACCACGCATCAATGCCGCTCTCGGCATGGACAGGCGCAATGGCCGCTATGAAGAGAAGAAGAAGGCCTTGTATCACCATGACTGCTCCTTTATGCCTGAGGATGTCTGGTAAGGCCGCTGGACCACCGCAGCGGCACGATGGTCATTGTCATCTTTTATGTCTGGGTACACCGCTTCCATCCGCCCGTGTTCTTGTCGAGGTAATCAAATCATCTCCCCGAATGCCAACCAATTCCAAGCAGCAGGTTGTTCTGGTCCGCCAACAAGGGACAGCCTTTAGCCTAAAGTACAGAATCCAAGATCCGCCTGGAGAGCCTGGCCTGCACTGGAGATTGAGGGGTTGACAAGACGAGATCTGCAAGCTCCAGTCCTTGGCTGCTGTAATGCCGATGGGTAAAACACAGGTTAATTGGGGAAAGCTTGATAATGTCTTTAAGAGATTAGATATCCAATGTGGAGGATAAAGCTCTACATTTGCTACTCTCCATTAGAAGAAGAAACCAAATCTTGGGCTATAGATGTTCAAACTTGACACGAACTCAATCCATAATGCTTACAACATGAAGCCTCCCCATACTTGCTCCTACTCCCCACATCGAAAGGGTAGCATCTGCCGGAAAGCCACAACCGCTACCCCACAAAGCTGCGGAGATCCTTGTAAACTCGGAAACAGTCATTCGATTGCGATGAGGGGCTCCGGCAAAAAGGGCCTGCAGCTTGGTTTGCTCGGTTGCTTCCACGGGTATAGCAGTTCCGACAAATCCATTGACCAAGGTAGAGATCAAGCGAAATTGGTTGTTGGTGGAGGAAAGACAGGGCTAATGTTGCTCGGCTAATTAGCCCTTAAAGATTGCATATGCCAGGTCTTCTGTAGCTTCAATTATGCCAAGCTTAAGCTCCATAGAGGCCCATTTAGTAGTTTATACAATGGTAATTAAGGTCCATTGTATCCTGAGATAAAGCCTATTAGGGAGCGTGTGTGACACTGAACAATGTTTCCTCCAATAGGAAAAATTCCCGGCTCAGGCACGTTCATTTATAAAGATCCCCACGAAGCATTTATTCGTCCCGGATCATTATATCCTTCACATTGTTGATTGGTAGAGCAATATAGCCTAAATCTATTAACATAATTAGAGTATTCAAAGTAAACAAACCCCAGTTATTTAGTGTATAGAGAACGTCATCAAACGATGTCTTCGTGGTTTGGAGGCAGGGCACAGGCATAGTGCGACCGAAGATATTTCATATTCTTTTCCATTGATCTTGTTTCATCAAGAAATACTACCTTCAAGGTTCTTAGTGCAGTGAGATTTAATATAATGCCACGTGGTCTGGTTCAAAAAAAAAAAAAAGACCCCGAAAGCTGAGTTTACCCGTTTAGTTGTGCTTCTGCTACGTACCATTGAAAGCAGACTATGGAAGACCGCGTGGAAGGTTTCCTCAGCTTCTAGGAATACTACGTTATATCGAACAGGTTCATGAAGTTTCCCCTTCGAATCATAACTCACATTAGTATATCCGCAATCGACAGCTCAGCTCTCGAGACAAGTCCCGTCTCGAAGCCTGTCTTTTCTACTTTGCCTTACACAACTGCCAACAGCTTACAAGTACAGATACAAACTTTGGTAAATGTATTCAAGCTGATCTTCTATCAAAAAAACGTAAAGTTAATTAAGAAACAACACATTACTATAATATAGTATTAGCGATCTGCAAGTTCTATGTGCGGTGATGTTGGAAAGAGCCCTTGTTCACTTAGACTTCGAGTTCCAGAGAATGCAATATTTACCAAGCGAAAAGCCATCGAATTTGATCAAATTATCGTTTAAATGGCAGTATCTGCAACTTGCAAGCCATAGATTTTATGCTCTTTCATGTTGATGGTGGGCGAAGAATAGCGTATATCCGTGCGGACCTCCGATCGGATCCGAGGCTCTATTCCATATCCGAGCGTCCTCCGTTGAATGCTCTCCTCGGACGAGAAGACTACCGCCGATCTCAGTGTCCTATCACAACTGTCGCAGTAGCATTCTACAGATATTCATATGTCACAATTTTGGTTGGTGAAACAAAAGGCCCGAAGAGTAACAGTCGAGGATCATATCTGCCCATGTTACGATATACCAACGAAGCTAGGCTAGAGGAGAACAGGCCTAGCCGATCCTGTGTAAGTGAGATTCATCACCCTTTTATTCGGTCGAATGAGCATCTTGATGGTTCAAAGTCATAAGATCAATGTGTTTGCGGATTAGATGAAGTGCCGTGTCCGAGGTTGATTTCAAATACGAACCAATTATTGTGTTAGTTGATATGAGAAAAAAGAAGTATTTCTTTCACTGAATTCCCACCCTTCTAATCCTGTCAAAACTCAAGACCTCCATCGATATATCACGAGCCTCTTAACTATTCACAGCAGGTTGCCTCTTTCTTGCCTTGATATCGTTCCTATACTATGCTCTTGAACATCGGTACCTCGTACAAATAACTTGAGTTTTCTTGATCTTCTTGTCGATTCTCATCTCTTATTTACCCTGTTTCTCAGCCTCCAGCAGGGTACAAAAACATGTTTCCATCTGGACTCAGGCAGAGTATTGCAAGACTACCAAAACGCCCCTCTCTCGCCATCATAGATGACTATCTCAACACGTCCGAATCACACTTCGCTCATATACCACCATCGAGCCTGCAAGTTACCACATTCAATGATACCATCACTCCTATCAATGAAGCAGAGACCACTCGTCTGGTGGAGCGACTGAAGCCCTTTGAGGCTATCTCAACGATGCGCGAAAGGACGGCATTCCCAGGCTCTCTATTGCGAAGCTTGCCTAATTTGAAGCTTCTGCTAGCCACTGGAACGCAATTCGAGACATTTGATCTCTCTGCTGCCCGAGAGCTTGGGATTACTGTCGTTGCTGCCCCAGGTCTCGGCCGAACTGACAAGCTCGATGATGTTGGCTCGCGGCACAATATCAAGAAAGGAGGAGGTCATCCAACCACGCAGCATGCATGGGCTCTCATCATGGCACTCTCTCGCAATGTTGCTGCCGATGACGCCGTTCTAAAAACCGGTACCGGATGGCAAACTGAGCCGGCGGTAGGCTTAGCGGGACTCACTATAGGCATCCTTGGGCTGGGGCGACTGGGAGCTGCAGTTGCTCGGATTGGGCATCTTGCTTGGGACATGAGAGTCTTGTGCTGGAGTGAAAACTTGACACAGGAAAAGGCTGATCGCATGGCTGTTGAGGCTGGCTTGCCACCAGATACATTCCATGTAGTGAGCAAGGAGCAACTCTTCCGCAACTCCGATGTCGTGAGCTTGCATTACGTGCTGAGCGATCGTTCACGGGGAATCGTTGGTGCCAACGAGCTGCAACAGATGAAGAGCTCTGCAATGTTGATCAACACATCTCGGGGGCCACTGATAGACCAAACTGCGCTCCTTGACTCACTGGAGCGTGGGACTATACGTGGTGCTGCATTGGACGTGTTTGAGATAGAGCCTCTTCCCATGTATAGCCCTTGGAGGAGGACTAATTACTGGGGTCGAGATGGACGGTCACGTCTGATAACCACGCCACACATGGGATATATGGATGAAAGATTGGTGAATGCATGGTATGCTGAAACAGCTGAGAATGTTGATCGTTGGCTTGAAGGACAAGAAGTTTTGCACCGTATTGCTTAATCCAGGGAATGCCTATTCAGCAACCCAATCTACAGATGTTGATATACCGCATCCCGTGTGGACAATTCCGAATGCTGGATGAATAAAGTTATGGTAGTAAAAACTACATGTAGAGAATGTAGCTGGGACGGCAGAAAGCAGTAACACCAGCAGATACTTCAAGAACTGGGTATTTACTAAGTGATGCACTTGGCTAGGTAAATGCCTATAGTAGTAGTAAATAAACGAATTTCCTCCATATGCAGTTTCGATGTTCAAACTCCGCGCAGTTACTAGGATGCTGAACATCTCTCCCCTGATCTGTAACGAGATTCGACACCAAAAACACATGTAGCTATTCGCACAGGCAAATAGTGTTGTTCGCTGAGCTATACTTTCTGCAGTCTACAGTACAACAATATGACTTTTGATTGTCTATGGCCATTCTTATAATTACCACTCTAGGAAATATTCGCGCCTATGTGCAACCCTCAGCCTCCCAGGTGAGATACTCATGTTCTCTCACACTTGCCGCTCTGCTGAGTGCTTACGGGCTGCTTCTTTATTCGCCAACCGCACCCTCCGTTCCTCTCTCCAGACTGGGCCATAACGGATAACAATAAGAAGAAAAGGACTCAGCACAATAAGGATACTTCCAATGGCAGTATATGCCCAACCGGTGCCCATCACGCGTATCATAGGCTCAATAACGGCAGATCCTCCCGCCGCCATTAGACACCTGGTCAAATTATTCGCAGCAGAGGCAGTTGACGGCGAATTTGGATAAAGATCAACCAACAAGAGGTTCATGCTATTATAGCAAGCGGTAAGACATAGGGCCATGGCGAATGTGAGGACCAAAAGGACCCAGAGATGCGCCTTCATCGTAGCAGCCCAGCCAAAGCCGATGATAGCCAGAGCGCCCACATAAACAAATGGCCAAACGATGCTCAGTCTTGCTTTCTCAATGGGAAACTTGGTCAAATCATCGCCTCGCTTCTTGTCGACAGAGAAACCGTGACGATGTGCAACACGTGCATAATTCCAGTCCTGGATATATCCATTGCCCATGATGGACAGTGCAGCCCCAACACCAAAAGGTCTGGTATTAAGATATCAGTATACAATTCTCGGCCCTTTCTTCGCGAGATATACTCACATATAACATAATCCTAAATGTAGCGTTTCCAGGTGGTAATTCTTCGAGAGTAGATTTGACAAATTGGCGGTTACTGTATACCACGACGAATAGATGACGGCGTTGTAGAACAGAGTCACCGCACAGTCTTTCTCAGCGATGATAAACAGTGTCTTCAAAGGATTCGGAAATCCCAATACACGAGCCTTTGGCCGTGTTGAGATTTCGTCTTCACCTTCTTGCTTGGCGGCAGCTTTACGACGAGAAACCTCGTTCAGCAAGGAACGACTCCACCATGCCGTCGGTGGAATGGAGCCATTCCCAACCACCTTTCTGGCGGTTTCCGGAACCGTGATGGCAAAAACAACGATGTATATGCTGCCACACTATAATAGTTAGCTTCCTGGGGCTCATTATATGACATCCTGATGAAAACATACGATAGTTAGAAACCTGTAGATGAGTTAGCCATGTGTGATGAGTACTCTTAATTATTCGGGAAAATACTATACCAGAATATCGACCTCCAGCCAAGATGCTGGGCAAGAACACCTCCCAGTATAGGTCCTTTCTTCTAGTTAGTAACCAAAGTACCAAATTTATGGCTAGACATCATGAAACTCTTACCAATTGCCGGCCCAAGCTAAGAGAGAATCGATTAGTGACTGAAGCTATAGTTCCATGGAGCATCGTGTGTTCTTACCATGATCCCGCTTTGCGCTGCACTCATGTATTTACCACGTTCGGCCGTGGTTGAGATGTCGGCAATAACCCCACTGTTCAAGGCATATGTGCCACCTGATCCTGAGCTCTATTGAAATGTTAGATATAAACATGATGTGGCCATTTAGGAACCCTGGCCAACAGAATTATTGTTCTCTTACCTGGAGACATCTGAGGATTAATAGTGCCGGATAAGAGGACTGACTGGCCAAGCCAATGTTGGCAATTATATAAATCACGAATGATATCAAATATGCGGGCCGTCTACCAGCAATGTCGGCAAGATCGCCGTAAAGTGACGGGGCCAGTCCTTGGAAAATAAGAAACGCAGTGACCGTAAGATTCATCAAAGATGGAGACACTCCAAGATATTCCGATAAACGGGGGATACTGGGTAAATATGTATTTGCTGATAATGGGGAGAAGAATCCTCCTAGGCCAGACATAAAAACAATGAAGGCTTTTTGTCGCTGGGTATACACTGAATAAACAGGCTGTGCTTCTTCCTCGACGGGTTTCTCTCCAGTGATTGGAGTCTTCATATCATCATCCAGAGACTTGATATCGAGGGAAGTCACCTCAGAGGATGTCCTCTCAGTAACGCTTGAGGCCTTGGAAGACATTTTGGTGAAGATACAGGTGATCTGAAGAGACGGAAAGAATTGGAGACTGGTAGCTAACACCAACTGTTGCTGTTAGATATAAGAAGTTCTTAGATAAGAAAATGTGGGAAACCTTAAGCATAAAATAGACTTTTCTGTGTCTTATGTTTTCTCCATAGGAAGTCTGATATCGAGAAAACATACCCTGGCATGGGATCAAAAGATTGAGTTTTATCTTCTTTGTCTTGGCATATTCAAGACGAAACGATCCACATATCCTCCTGAGTCTTAGTTGACCTTATTTCCCATCCGCTTTCCGTGATTCATAGAGTCAATATTCCATCGCGATGTCGTTTGAGATATCATGTGGAACCGAGTGAAACATGAGGTGGCAGTGATCATCGGGCGGAGATTTCCTTCATCGAGTTGTGGCTGGCCTTTAAATGTAGGTGATCGTCCGATATACGGAAGCGTTTTGTGTTGGTCGTTTCAAAGTTAGACAGTTAGGGAGAAGGTATGCGACGGTTTGTCGATCGCCGGCACTCCACTATATATGATCTACTAGATCTGTATACTTTTCGTCAAAGTAGTTTTCAGAATGTAGGAAAGTATACTCTCTTCGTGGCTATGGGGTTTCATTAGCTTGGAAGTCTCTACTGGGACCTTATTGGGCGGGAATAAAGTAAGACACCAGGGGGTAATAAGGCCAGATTCGGGCCGTGTAGATCTTCGATTCAGTACCGATGAACAAGAAAGGTATCTTGGCTAGCGTGTCTCGTATTACAGATGGCCACTCAAACTTATTTCTCCAGAAATGGCTAACATATATCTTGTCACTCTATCAAGGTGCCTTGTGAGGCAGCCTCTGTGGAAATTCACCATGTCTTCCACAAGTATCCTATCATCGCTCGTTATACGTCACTACTGCAGATCACATTCCGGCCAGCTTCGCAATGAGCAAATTCATTGAAGAACAATCTACTTTCTGTATACCTCGAGGCTAAAGATATACCAACAATTAACGTTTGATGTTATCCAGCAAGCTTCGGCCCCATGAGGACTCCGTACTACACGCCACAATGTAGCGTGAGAAGATGTTTACATGATAAAGTAGCTAAATTAAGACGGCCACACGCTGAAATATTTCAATTGAAGATTGCTGTATTCTGGTGTTCAATGAAATGATGTTGAATCAGTTCCATCCCTTGTATCGCTGTTTTGCAATACATGCGGATAAATTCAGAAGAAAATACTCATGGAAATATTAATAAAATTATTCATCGCTGATGTGACACTATTTTATTGTTTCGGTGACAATAAAATGCATATGACGAATGGTGATACTTCCAAATCATAAGAACTATACCTGCACTGTGGCTTCAAGTAGAGATCTTACTTGCGGCTCCATTTCTGGGACACAGCAGCATAGAATTCCTCCCATATAGGAGCGTCACCGTTGGCAATGTATATGCTCAAGCGTATCTGCGCCTATTTTGAGCACTGCCACTGCCTTTTATAGCTCAACGGGTCAATCTTTTCTGTATCGAGAGAGCTATTGAACTATAATATCCACTGGCTTGAGCCTCAACTGTTAATCTGTGTTTGAACTTTGTTGTTCGGGCCGTTTTGCGCATTTTGCTCATTTGCGCATTTTGAGTTTGGTGATGAACCTTCGTTCACAGCCTTGCTTTAATGTGCTGTTGCCAGTGATATGGCCTAGACTCTCAAGATTTAAGCAGTCGATATTGCCGCTGATCTTATTCAGATGAAGACTGATTCAAGACGTTGGGCATATATGACTAGGGCTTCCTTTCATTCAATCAGGTATTTCTCCCTCGGACTAATTGCAAATAGCGTCTATAGATACCGGGACACCTTCATTCTTCCTGGTCCATTTACCTCATTACGGAAGAAAACTTTTGGACTCTTACAAATACAGATGATGATTCTAGTCCAATCTCAGCGCCATTCTCAACAAGTCCCAGGCCTGTATGAGCTTGCGCTCCGATGCAGACATCATTTATACAGATAATTACGCTAGTTGGTGTCACGACAGGCGAATGTTTTTTTTTCCGCCATTGCAATAACATTAGGCGCAAAAACTGATGCTTAGGCTAGATGCGATAAGCGCAGATTGACCTAGACTCGGTGGTAGCGATCGAGCTATGGAGGAGGATCAACATGGTGCTTAGGTTGAGGATGAATGCTTGGATGTAATTGGGCGTGGGTCATCAAGTGATCTAGGCATCAATATTGCAATGAAGCTGACTGCTCGTTTTGTGATATATAAGGTGCGTTGTGTCATTCGCTCATATGATAAGTAGACCTACCCTCCATCTTTGGTATTGCAAGTATTGGATATATCGGAGGCCTCATAACAAGGCAATTTCTCGTCATATCGCTAGGGGGATTGTTGACAGGGGGACTTTCGGCATCTCAATCAAGATGAACATCCAAGCCACAGCAGTCGTCGTCGCTTGAACTCTTGAATATGACCTGGAGGATTTCATGTCCAGAGACACCAGCCCATCCTTCGAAGAATGAGCCCAACGAGGCAATAAGTGGAAACCTGAAGAGAAACTAAGACTTCGAGAAATGAGCCTTTCCGGGAATAGTCAGTCAGCGTCTCGAATCCTCCGGCTGCGGTGCTCCTTGTCTGCGCCACCTTAGCTTCGAGAAATGCGCCAAATCGGGTAATGGAGATGTGACTAAATGATTGAAAAGGGAGAAACTGTGAAGAAAAAAGACAAGATCTCCTCATACCAATTGTATGAAATAGACTGTAATTGTGACAGGAAATGAAGCCTTTTAAGCTGAAGGAGGCTATGCTGCATGTGCGCTCATAACATCGACAGTTATTTAAACGGACACCTTCTCTTGTTCTTCTCAACTGATATAACTTGCGCTACACAGATACAGTGTATATCCAGCAATACTCAAAGTGTTTCCTTGCCATGGATCAAAAACAGAGTCAAATGGACCCGCCTCGGTATCAAGATGCTACATACCATCAATATGGTGGCCAGGCCATCAATCACCCTTTGCCTTCTTCAATAGACCAAGAGGAAGCGCTTTTCTTGGAGCAAGTAACCGGTTGGATCCCAAGGCAGCCACCCAACAGAGAGGCGCGCATGTTCCGTCTTAATGTACGTTGTATCCTATTCCTTATACCATGCTATTTACATCGCTGACGCCGCAAAGAGACCAGTCGTGATTCCAAGAGTAGATATTGCTAGGCCCTTCCAAACGCCATTTCCTTTCATGAGAGCATACAGCCCCGATCTATATCGCCACGATATAAGCGTCGAGACTTTTGTTGCTTTCATCGACAACCTTGCCGTGGCAGAAGCTCCGCCGGCTCCATTGCAAGCCTTGAACGTCGCAGGCCAAGCAATAGGATTCGTGTAAGTAGAAGATTCGCCAAAGTCATCTTGCCCTGGCTGATAACTTGGTTTGCAGTCCGCATCACTGGGCGCAAGCTGCTAGTTTTGGTATAGGCATGGCCGCGGGTGTAGGTACAGCCGCGGTTACTCGAATTCGAACGCAACGATTCTTGGAGGCCGTTAATCGCGATTATTTCGGGCCTCGAGGACTGAAAGTGTCCATCTGCAAAGGCCATGACTTGGCTCCGAGGATTGGGCTCGGACAACTTTTACCAGAAATACCGTTAGTAGTCTCTTCTTCCAGCAACCGCTTGATCATGCTAACATAGGTATATGTATACAGACCAGTTGATCTCAGATCACAGTGCATCAGCATCAGAGACCGACAAATGCAGTCCATCGCCGCAAACATTGCACCATTGTCTTTGGATGTCCCTCCGCCTTCCGAGCAGCGCAACGTCATCGACAGATTGAGCGCCAAGCAAGTCGAGTCTCAAATCAAAAAGACCGAGAAAAACAATCGCAAAAAACTATTAGAGCTTCGAGAAAAGGATTCGAAAATGGCCCGAAGGTCGCAGGGACACTCCGGCGGCGACAGTTCCGATTCAAGTTGGGAGGATGAGCAGCGCGAGCTGGACGATAAGATCCGGAAGATTCAACGCAAGGCCGACGAAAAATTGGCCGACGCAAGCCCTAGACAGGCTTCAAGGATAGAGGAGAGGCGAGCAAAAGAGATGCGAAAAATTGAGCGAGAGCAGAAGAAGCTGGATAAAGAGGTTGAGAAGAAGATGTCCAAAGCTTCGAGAAAGGAGGACAAGAAGCTATCCAAGGATGGTCGGAAGGCCGGAAGAATGGAGTTTGTGGTCGTGGAAAATATTTAAGAAGCGTTTCTTGATGTTGATAGTTTGGCGATGTAACCGAGAGCATCTAGGTTGAGGTTGTGTTGTTTGACAACGGTTGGATGTCGAGCAGATATCGTGCGGTTGCCCATCTGCCCGCTGAACCGGAATAGATTTGTTGTAATATTGCCTTGAGCCATGATCCAATCTCCACGTTGTCAATGCCCACTGCATCAAAAGCCATTCTCAGCGGGAATAGTATAAAGAGGCTGCTAATGTCATCTCCTCTTCGCTCCATATGGTAATCCATGCTGCGACATATCGCTATTCCCGCCATGTTTATCGAAGCTCGTATCTCTTCACACTTATCCTCGTTCAGCTCTAGTTGAATGCCAAGACAGAGCCTTGATACGAGAACAATAGCGCCATGATATAGACTCATGATATTGGCCTGGTAGAGGGACTCAAAATGATAGACCGTATGCCAGATCGGTGTTGGCAGTCCTTCCGAGTCCATAATTTCTGGTGTTGATGAAGGCGAGGGTACTTCAGTCCATGGTCTTATACCTGGTCCTTGTTTCCAAGTGTGAAGACTGTCCAGAATTGCGTAAGCTTTCTCCTCAAGTTGATGCAGAGCATAACGCCTCTCTAGTTGGGCAGTTTCAACAGGAAGAGACTCTCGCAACACGAAAAGCTCCGGACAGTCCGCAAGAATATCGATCAAATGTTGCATGGCGTCTTTTCGACCCATATAGTTCACCCATGGGAGAGTTTTCCAGTCCGGGAACGCAAGAATGGTGTTTTGGCGCAACAAGAGTGCCGAAAAGATGATGGAAGGGCGAACGCTCTCTAATATGGTCAGACAAGGGAGCGATGCCATGGATTCAGGTCCCCTAATCTCCAGAAGCCGCTGAAGTCCTTGTGAATGTTGTAACCATCCAGCCTCGAGATCACTAATGAGGTACTGCTCCATTGTCAGCATGGCAATGTTCTCATGGGGAGGCGACTCTTACCTCGAATAGCGCCATGATCATGATGGACTCTAGAACGTCCAACGTACGACTAGCACTCTGATCACCCAACCTCTGATTAAGAGTCCGCAACGACTTTCCATATTTGGACATGCCACGCCTCAAAATCTCCTGTTCCATATGCGCAATACCAAAGTACGTTGTCGATAGAGCAACCAAACACTGCTTGGCTAACCCTCCGCTACTTCCAGGCATTGACGAAACATCAGCGCCGTTTTCTAAAAGCTGAGATATTGTGTATGTGATGAAAATGTCCTCGTGGGGTATCTGAGGTCTGTATATACTCCACGGAGATGATGGATTCATGCTGCTCAAGTGGCTGGCTCCAGATGAACCAACGTCTTGCCCCGTGGTTGTGTTACCTATTGGCCGTGCAACGGAAGACGTGTTGGATGAAATGGCACGTTTGCTCTGTCCATCATATTGAAGAATACTGAGGCCCCGGGAACCTCCACATTGCAGCCCTGCTTTGAGGCACCGCTTACAGTGTGGAGTTGTAAGATCTGGTAACTAGAGTCAGGAGCTGGCTCAACAGACAGTTCAATAGAAGCACTGAGAAAAGACACGGCGCTCACCGCATTTTATCCGTCGACGTCGGCACTCATCGCAAGCTCTGGATCTCCCCCCAACTCCTACCATTTCTTTTCTTCTTCCTCTGATGAAGGATTTTGGCGATACACAGTGCAAGAGGATCCGTTATGATGCGAACAGTCGATGGTTGTTTGTCCTAGCAATGATCTGGGGAGAACGCTGAGATGATTTGCAAACGCAGATGATTTATCTCGATGATCGCATCCACGATACGCGTAACAAGATGAACCATCGTCTAGCGGATGCTGTTTGTCAATCATGAATGCATCATCTCGTCCTCTTTCGGCATCCGAGATAAGATCAAATGACATGGACTGAAGTTCGCGCTAAAAAGGAATCACTGCCGCTTTATATTCCGGATTTAGCCCCCGATTAAAGCGGACCACCAGACAGCTTCATCCGTCAGCCCGGCAGTAACAGCATATTAGATTCATCTTGACACCAAGACAATGATGTTAATACTTACATGGAGGCAGCTTAACCACTCGAATAGCTTCAATTATGCGACCGTAGAGGCAAAATATGTGTTGTGCGTAAACAACAGGCAGTAGGTGTAAGCAGAGCCTTGCGAGGCCCTGGCACAAAAGGCATGGAGAAATAGCAACTTGTGGTCAAGTGTACAAGCAGAGAAACTAGGAAAAAGGATGAAAAAAGCGACACGTAGATGGGGCCAATGCATCTAGAGAATTAGAAGAGATGCATTGGCCCAATCGAAACGCAATATAACAGAGAGATGCCAGCATTCGCTTGATTACATGCAGTCATCGTAAGATACTGGCCATCGTTTACCAGAGCCTTGTTTTTGTCAATTAAACATCTTTTACCAAACACACGTCAATTAGTCGCTTTGATACTACTATATAGTAGAAATACAAACGACGCCCAAGTCTTGATGGTTCTGCCCAAGTTTACGAAAGATATTACCTTGAACAGAGAATGTAAGAAGTTTCCTCTTTATTATCCTTGCCCAGAGAGTACCAATGATAACTTGCATACGAGGCCTCTGAAACAAAGGATTCGGCTAGCCTCGCAGGGTTCAGGGTACAGAGGTGCATATGTATATTGATGTGCATGATGTAAACAGTACAGCTTCCCCGCCCTCAGCTGAAGTCCCTACCTCCTCCTCTCTTCTATAAATCACACAAGGCGGCATTGGGCTGGTGTTTGAGTATTTCCAGCTTCTATGCCGCCTATTGAGACTCACTCATTGATAGCTTCGACGCCTTACTACGACAATCTCATGGGCAATAGTATGCAACTACAACCAATAGCTAGAAGAACCCATTTCAACATTTGAATAACACTCTCTTATCCGTTGCCGCCATGGACAAGAGGTTTCGAGTTCAACGACGTTCACATACTAGGACAAGGGACCCTACAAGGCCATCTCCATCGACAAGCGGCCTTTTTAAATTCATAACGACCTGGTCATCGTTGTCATCAAAGGGTCCTGTTAAATACCACGTTAAGGCATCTCCACATTGCAGCATCTGTGTGGGGAGGATATTCGACAAAGAAATGGCCATAGTGCGTAAGTCCACTGAATTACATCCACAAAAGCTTGGAGCTCTTTGCAATATACATGTGTCGTTGACGCTTTATCCAGTCTTTGGGGAAAATAATGTATACAAGAGACGGACACAGCCCTTTCCCTTGCCTCCTTTGGGCTCTGCCTACCGTCCTTCCAACGAGTACTTGTTTTGTCGGATGAAGCGCTGCTCTTGCGATTCGTCAATCGAATACACTAGAGTACACCTTGGATGCCATCAGATATTCTGCAGGGTCTGTGACTTTGGAAAATTACAACAAGAGAACGCGTTGCAAAAACTATGGATCTCTACTACGTGGAGGCTCCCATGGAAAAATGCATTCTTCATGCCCGCATCCAACGTATACATACCAACAAGTACGAAAAGTCTCGAGTTATCGGGTCAACTCTTTGGAATAACCTTCCTACATAAACTTCCTCTGGAGCTGGTAATCGCCATTTGGAGAGAATCTAAAGATGCCTTGTTCTGGAGGTGCATGTCCATCATCCGTATAGTAACTGAGTTTGAGACCAACACGTCAGAGTTGCAAATCAAGCCATTGGATCAAGTGGTCTCCTGGCGACGCAACGGAAAATTAGAGTGTGCTCCAGCATCTGCCATGTACCCAGTTACTAAACTTACGATTGACCAAGAAGGCATCAAGCAGGTGGAACGACTCCGTTGCAGACCTCAGTATACAGGAGAGCTTTATAGCGATTCGACTTTCATCGTCGAGGAGTGGTCGTCATTGCACGGCATCGAAGCACAATTTCAGGTATTTTGTGCCAATGACATTCAAGTTATCCACCATAACTAATCCATTCTGCAGGATGGACGGCTACGTCTACAAACTACGCAAATCCAGCCCAAATTCCCTTACATATGGAACACTCCAGCTCCACCTCGCTTCTCATTATGCAACGCCCATATATTCGATGTATTCAACACATGGCGGCTGCAGGTCGTGAATACCCGGAAAATCGTAGGCATCACCTTCTTTTTTCTTCAAGATAGGTTTTATGATCTTTACATTCACGACTCGGATGAATCAAGTGCATATGCGCTGTATGAGCAACTCTCGCCCGACATGCAGAGAGGCGCTTTCTGGATATACTTGCCAATCGGAACCACAGACAGGATGCTTGTTCTTGGAACCCGTTTTATTTCTCGGAGCGAGTATAACATCCTTGTTCGTATGGAGAAAGCCGGAGATGTTGTCATCGGGAGAAACTGCTTCTTTAGTGAAGACGACTACCACTATGACGGTCTATTGCCTGAGGACTGGCCGAGTTCTCGCGCGGACCAATGCCTCGGTGGAGATGGCCCGGTAACTTTGGTTTATGGTGAGCGGGAACAAGGCTATCTTGATATCCCATTGTTTGACGCATATTGTGAATCGGACAGCTGGACTCTTCCAGAGCCATTTATGCTTGAGAAGCCTACCCCTGAGCGGTTTGATCGTTTCGGTTACTATTCTCGTACGCCGTTGGATCAGATTGCAGAATCCACGGTGTATTACGTACCAGAAACCGGCCGTTGTAGAGGCATTCTCCTGCGATACAAGAATGGCGGATGCAGAGCCGTTGGGCAATGCCGCGTAAACGTGGACTCCTCTGAAACAGTTGCTGAACCAAGCTTGATTTGCGTTCGAAAAGAAGATTATCTAGATTCACAGGGGTTCAGACTAGAAAAAACACTGGTCAAGTTCACCCATAACACCTTGGATGACGAGCTTGATAAAGGGTGGGCGCAACATCCACTAGAAGGTTTTATTGAGTTTTATTTCCTTTTCGACGATGTGCTCGTCGAGATAACGACTGACTTTAACGAGGATATTGTTCGCCCAATAGAGCGGTGAGTAAGAAATCCATGATCCAATAATCGACTGACAAAGTTTACAGTCCGAAGGAGTCTTTGTTTTGGTTGGATATGGCATATAAACATGTGATCGATCCATCAGACGAAGACTAAGAGAAAGAGCTGAGACGGCGGATAAGACGAAGCAGACCAAACTTGACTCAATTTTTGGTACAAAAGAGGAATTGACTGTAAAAAGTAAAATTGAAACCAGGGAATTCATTCCAAATGAACCCACAAAGTCGTTGGGTAAATGAATAACAAGATCAGTGTTTGTTTGTGTGGCAAAGGTTCACATACCTCTTGACGCCTTTTGTAAGTGAAGCCCAGAGCTAACAGTACCTAAGCTAGCACCCGTTTTCACTGAAAGCTCAGGTACTGCGGGCTGGCTGAGCTACTGATAAGATAAAGCGCCATCTGATAGCGATAAGCTTGCCGTTCACGGCTGATGCCAATCCAGCTTCATCATCGCTTCCTCTCCATCCTGCCACAAGCTAATTCCTCTATATATCTGGCTTTCCACGCCCTCAATCTGCGTCTATATTGTCCCATCTGCTACCAGGCATTACGAAACTCGTTACACAGCCCGCGATTTGAGTTCTTCCTCTCCGCCAGACCGCCATCATGGCGCTCTCTCCAGTCGTCACAACCACCTCGTCCGCTTCAAACCCACAGCTCGAGAATATCCAGACGCTGCGGCCCGTCTCCTCGCCCCTCAAGAACCTCGCATCCGGCTCCGGCCAAACCTCGTCCAATGGAACCCCAAAGCCCGCCCTCGCGCCCGCCGCGCCCGCCTCAACAGGCCAAACGTTGCCTCCAACGCTCGACCTCGCCGAGCAGATGAACGAGGAGGAGAAGCGCAAATACGTCAAGGGCAAGAAGCTCGGCGAAGGTACCTACGCCGTCGTCTTCCTCGGTCACCTCCGCTCCAACCCGGCGACGCGCGTCGCCATCAAGAAGATCAAGGTGCAGAAGGAATACACCGAGGGCATGGCGCCCGACGCGGTGCGCGAACTCAAGCACCTGCAGGAGCTGCAGCATCCAAACATCATCTCGCTCCTCTCCGTCTTCTCCTCCAAGGACCAGAACCTCAACCTGGTGCTCGAGTACCTCCCGCTCGGCGACCTCGAAATGCTCATCCGCGACACCGACAACGTCCGCTACGGCGCCGCCGACATCAAGGCCTGGATGGGCATGCTCACTCGCGCCGTGTGGTTCTGCCACGAGAACTTCGTCCTGCACCGCGACATCAAGCCCAACAACTTGCTCATCGCCGCCGACGGCGAGGTCAAGCTTGCCGATTTCGGCCTCGCGCGGAGCTTCGCCGACCCCCATCGCCACATGACTTCCAACGTCATTACCCGCTGGTACCGGCCGCCTGAGCTGCTCTTCGGCGCCCGCTACTACAGCGGCGCCGTCGACGTTTGGTCCGTCGGCACCGTCTTCGCAGAGCTCATCCTTCGCGCGCCGTACATGCCCGGCAACAACGAGCTAGACCAGATCAAGATGATCTGCGAGTCCATCGGCACGCCCACCGAAGACAACTGGCCCGGCGTCACCCGGCTGCCAGAGTATACCGTGCCCGGCCAGCACCCCACGCGCGGGAGGGACTGGTACGAGATGCGGTTCGGCATCGTGGGCACCGACGGCGTCGATCTGCTCATCAAGACGCTCGCCCTGAACCCGCAGAAACGCATCACCGCGCGAGAGATGCTCAAGCACCGTTGGTGGCATTCCGAGCCCAAGCCCACGCGCAAGGACGACCTGCCCCGGAAAGACAGCGGCGCTGGAGAGGACAAGATGGGCATGGACCTGAAACGGCGTCCTGGCATGGTGGCTGACGACGATAGGGGTGCCAAGGTGGCCCGCAAGCTGGACTTTGGACAGAGGTAGAATGCTCCGGCTTCGGGCTTCTTTTGTTTTGATTGTTTTCTCTTCAGGTCTCTTTACATTTTCATCAAGAAAAAGGCGTTCTCATTCGGATAATATATACATGTACATACCACATCTAACCACGGAGTTGGCTCTAAATCGAGAATAGGGGCCCAATGGATCAAGGCCAAATAAGCTACATAATTGGAAAAATCTTTCGTACTATTCGGTTGCATTCTCTTTCTCTTTATTCATCACGCTGTACAAGGAGTACATATATAAAGATTTCTATCTATGCTTTACGCCAAATCTAGGCACACACTCATTATCCAAATATCCTTTTTGGTCACCCATCTCTCCCCCCTTTCGCTCAACCCAGAAAACTTTGAACAACTTTCATGGATCACATAATTCATCATCTCATCATTCCCAAGGTCTATCCAATAGCCCAAAAAACGAGGTCCCAGCGGCGATATCCCGCTCTCCATTTACATGATCAAGCAATCCATTCCGTACATTGCCCTCTCGACGCTCCTCCTGACCTGATACCAATCCGCCCTACGCTGCGCATACTCGTACACCTCCTCAGCGCGAAACACGCCGCTAAACCGGTCTCCATCCGCAATCACCGTAGCCATTTCTTTGGCATGGCCCGGATCAATCAGGTAGATCTGGCTTAGCTCGCGCAGCGCGGCAAAGTACGGCAGCACATCCTGATTCCGGAGCGACCTCACATAGTCGGAATAGAGATTCATGTCGGCAATGAGCTTGACGGCGCCGTCGGTGCTGACGCGCTGTCTCTTGAGGTGTTTGCATATCGCCGTAAAGAGCCGCTGGCCGACTTCGCCGTTGAAGACGTCGAGCATCGACTTCTCCGTCGTGCCAATGAGCATGTTGGTGTGGGATCTGACGAGGTCGACAATGCGACGAGCCGTGGGCGTCGGCCCAATATCCAGCTCCGCCATGGATCCAAGCGTTGCTCGGTGGGACATCCGATGGTTCGCATCGTCCACCGGTATGCGGGGGGTAGGGTTGTAGTCTGTGGGCAGCTGCAGGGTTCCGTGGAGGTATTCGACCTCATCCATGAGAACGTCGATGCCCTTGTTCAAGCCAGCCGCCACGCTCTCATCAAGCATCTGCTCAAACTTCTTCTTGGCTAAGCCGGCGGGATCCAAAAAGTCGTTCTTGTCGGCAATCTTGGGCGTTGCGAGCTGCTGCTCATAAAAGACTTCAATCATCTGCGATATGAGGTCGCCCACATTGACCAGCTCAATAAACATCACCAACGGCGCCACACCCTTTTGGTCATGATCGCTAACATCTCTTGGGTTGTACTGAGACAAGTGATCTACAGCCATGTCAAAGCCGAATTTGACGTGCCGCTGTCCGAGGATCCGAACGAGCGCAATAAATATGTTGGCGCATTGCTCCCGGGCTTCTCCTCCAACCTGTCCGCCCAAGGGGATGAGCACCGCAGCCCGCCCTAGGCTACTCTTGGCTTTGTGCACCAGATCTAGAGCTACTTCAATGCTGAACAAGGATTTTATGCCTTCCAGCTTGGAGGCCATTATGGCTGCTTTGGCTGCAAGCTCGTCAGTCGGGGCTTTCGCCCCAGGCATGGGACTGCTGCCCCGTCCTTGTATTTCATTGCCCAACCCTGGAGTCTGTGGCCGGGAAGACTGAGGGGTCAAGGCTGCAGACCCATTCGCAGTAACCGCGGGAGAGGATGTCGGTTTGTTAGTCGCAAACGGAGAGCCGATGGGAAAATTCGGCAGAACTGTGACTGGCATCATGATGACCTTCTTGAAAGAGCTCAAAAAGTCGTTCTTCTCCGCAGAACGATTAATGTTGGACATGTAAAACGACTCCAAAGACGAGTCTTGCTCGGAAAGCTTCTTCTCCCACTGGGAGACCTCTATTTCCGCCTGTTTGGTGAAGAAATCCAGCTCCTCCTGCAGGTATAAATCGAGGTGAGGCTCAAACACCTTGAGTGTCAGCTGCTTGGCACGCTTCTCTATTTCTCCCTCTTCCCCCGGCCCCTTGGGAGGTGTGAGTGATTGGAAGAATCTCATCGTCTGCTCGAATATGCCGGAAACGGCCTTGAGGTAGGAAAGAATGCTGCGCTCGTGCGCCTCGTCAAACATGGGAGTTGTGTATTCGGCAATGATGTCCTCCGCAACTTTTTCAGTGAGCCCCCAGAACACGGTGGCGGGATCGGGGAATATTCGTTCCAGAATGCTCGCTTGCTCGTTGACCTTGAGGAGCACTTGCTCAAAGAAACGACGTGATGGCTCCAGCGTCACATCGTCCGTAAATGCCTGATTCAGGCAGTCCATTGGATTGTGCACCATGTCACGGTCGTTAAAGAGCGGGTGCTTCTGTATGAAGAGGTCGATGCCAGTCTTGGCGCCATTGAGCGTGTGCAAAACATGAGCGTATCGGTGCATGCGCCCGTCCACGTCCCAGAATTCGTAGCCCTGCTCAAACTCTCGCAAAACAGCCGCCTCGAAGATGTTGATCATCGCCGTCAGCTTCGAATCTCTAAGGCCCCATCCTTCAGACCAATCGCTCCCCGCGAACTTGTGCAGGTTGGCCAGCATCTGCGCCTGCTGCTCGGGATCTATAAAGGCTTTGAACACGATCGGGTCCGTGTGCGACTTTGCCTTGACCAGATCAAAGTAGAAGGGCGCGAGAGCCTTGTAGATTTTGCCATACTCCTGCCTTGCCCCGCCTCTGATGCTCCTGACGCGCTTGAATACGTCGAGGTACGCGGCGGGGTCCTCAGCAGGATCGCTTGTCCCAATTGTCATGGTCTCGAAGCCGTCCCTCAGTTCTGAAGCAGGTCGCTGTCGACGTTGTTGCTCGACCGTGGCATCGAATATGGTGGACGATGCGACTGCGTTCTTCTTGCCATCGTTGGCCTGATTTGCCGCCGCCGCCGCAGCAGCAGCTTCTCGCCTACGCCTGACCGCATCTTCAAACCTCTGCCTGGCCTCCCGCTCGTCCCAGCATCCCATGCTCTTCAGTCGTGATACCCAGCGGGTATCATCGTATACCATCTCTCGCAAACGGTGGGAAACGCGGGCACAGCGCAACTGGTCGGCCACGGGCAGGTAGTTGAGGATCGTCACCATGATTTCTGTCCACAGCAACACGGTTAGCTGCCATTGAGCTCCCCAGATGGCCCATTAGGGTCGAGCAAATCAACCCAAGAAGCGAGACATTACCTGCCGGGAGCTTGGATCGCGCATCGAGCTCGGTGGCCTTGAGAACGCCCAAGATGCTGCCCCGGTTGCGAGGCCCAGAGCCGCCAGACCGATACATGGTGGCGATAGTTGGTGCACAGGCGATGAGGCCCGCGCTGTTCGTACAATCTGCGGTACGCACAACACCATCGGCGTCTGCTATATGGCTTCAGGCGAGGCGAGGCGCATCGTCGTGATGCTGGTGGCGAGAGAGTTGTTGCTGTTTTGGCGGTGCTGAAGCGCTGAGACGGAGGTGTAAGTGCGTATTCGGTAAACAAGTATCGCAGGTGGGGGAGTTTGGCGGCGTGAGTTTCACCGAGCTTTCGAAAAGAGGCTTGCAAGTACCTCACCACCAAGACTTGCTGGTGGCGGTACCTGGCTGACGTTGTATGCTAATAATAGCAACGCTGAGAGATACCCTGCAATTTATCTCATGATACTCCGTGCGATATAATCGGATGAGAATCAGGAGCCCATTGTATCTTTAGTTAATGTATGCAATTTATTATCTATCATCTATCGAAATTTTAAAAACTCCTCAATGATGTAGCGCACGGTGGCGTATGAAGCAGAAGAACTGATGATGGTGTAATGCACCAACCTGGTCAACCTCGATCGTTTCCACACCCCAACAAAGAAATAAAAAAAGAAGACAGAAAAATGTATCCAATGGCTTTGGGAATAATGAAAATAATAAAGAAAGGCCTCGCAATGCGATAAGCCTTTACAGTTCCTTCTGTATCACCTCAACCGAAACCCTGTGCATATAAATTGCTCTAAAACATAAATAGATCGGCGCCGCAATGCTAGGTATCATGGCCAAAACCGCCCCCCCTAATCTAGGAATGTGAACAAATGAGTATGCAAAACATTCATGGCTCTCGTGGCATCGCGAGCGTCAATGACACAAGAGATGTTGATCTCACTCGCCCCTAGAATGAATAAAATCCAACGCGTTAGCCAACCAAAAAAAAAAAAAAAAAAAAAAAAAACTGGTGCAAAAACACATGCATAGTCGTAGTGGTTTTGCTTACCTTGAGAGATCATCTCGAGATTGACATTGTGCTCTCCGAGTGTCGAAAACATGCGCCCAGCAACGCCAACCATGTTCTTCATGTCCGCGCCAACTAGACTCAGAATAGCCATGTCTGTTAGAATGCTGACATCTCCACACTCCGCCAAGTCCCGCTTGGCAGTCTCAAACGCCTCCGATCGAATCCCGTCAGCGTGGATGGCCATTGAGACGTGCACCTCGCTCGTGGAGATGAGGTCCACGGAGATGGACTGCTTGTCGAGGATGGAAAACACGCGGGCGAAGAAGCCATGTGAAATGGATCTCTTGTTTGAGTGGACGTTGATGACGCTGATCTGATCCTTGATTGTGACGGCAGTTGGGCGCCTGGGGTTCTTGAACAGGGCCCGCTGCCCAGGTCGTGATCGATGCAGCTGCTGTGCTGCCGACAGAATCGGGTCCGGAATCACCACCGTGCCGTTTCCGCGTGGATTCTTAACGTTCTTGATGCGAATGGGGATGGGCGGATGGGCCCGGATGACCTGGTCCATGGTAAGGTGGTGGATGACCTCGGAGCCGTAAAACGTCAGTTCGGCGGCCTCTGACGGCGTGATGGATGGTAGCAATCGAGCCGTGGGGACCTTTGACGGGTCTGCCGTGAAGATGCCGTCCACTTCTTTCCAGATCTGCAGCTCGTCCGCCTTCAACCCCACGGCGCAGAGGGCTGCGCAGAGATCAGTGTAGCCGCGACCAATATCTCCATCAATCAAGCTGCCAGGGACGTTTCCAAAGAAGCCCGTGACGACCGGGACCCGGTGCTCACACGCGGTGAGTTTCTTGAGAAATCTGCTTACCGCCAGCTTATAAAAGCCGGCATCCAGGGATGGAGAAGGGGTGTCGTTATGCAAAACGTCTGACAAGTCCACATATTCGGCATCAACTCCCTAGAAGGGGGTAAAAAAGTTTACACGTCAGCGAGATGACCTAGTACAGAAATTTTCTCGTCAATTTTTCTAGGTAGACATACCGAATCTTGTAGCAATGTCGTCATAAACAAGCAGCTGAGCTTCTCGCCGAAGCTGATGACGCGGTCCTTTGATCTTGAGTTGATTTCAAGGTTGAATCTCTTGGTGGCCATGATGTACTCAATTAACTCCTGGCACTCTGCCTTGAGCTTGGCTACCAAGGCATCTCTCAACTCCGGATCCTGGACAAAGGTCTGGGTGGCGGCGACGTGATCATTGCAGACATCTTGGATGAGCCCCGCGGCCTGCTCAATCAACTCTTGCTGCTTCTCCTCGGAGCTGAGGGGCGTAGCGATGTTCTTGAGTTTTGTGTAGACAGCAAGTAGCCTGGATAACGAAACAATGAGAAATCCGTTTCAAGTTGCAGCAGATCCAACATGGGGGGGCAGTTTCTTACCGACTGGTGGTGCCCTCGGCCTTCTTGCCTGTGCTTCGAGCAGAGCATACAACAACGACTCGGTTCCGCGAAAGATTGGCTCTGTAGTAGTATCATGGATGAGCTGGAGGCCATACATTGCGCGACTCACCATCGCCACATGCGGACAAAACTTACTTGACAATATCACGAGCAATCTATCATGAGAGCGCGCATCAGCATTGACCCCATTGACACCCCGCAAACTCTAAAAAAAAGGAAAAGGACAGAATGAATCGAAAATAACCTCAATTCTCAACTCACCTTGTCTGGGAATTTTCCGACACTCGTGCCGCCAAACTTCTGAACCACCCAGCCCAGGTCGGACGAATTATCACATGTCGAGCTGCCCATGGTGACGATGCTTCCTGCTGCTAGCGACTTCGGAATCGAACTGAATCCGCTAAATGGCCACTCTGTGCTCCACTAGATGGCCTTTGTCTTGGGTCCAATTACCCCCTCGAAGACAATGAAGTAAAAAGAGAAAAAAAAAAGAGTAAAATGTTCACGACTCGAAGTCAGAAAAAAAAAACAAGTGACAGTAAAGTATGTAGTAGCTTTTTAATAGATAGAAAAAAAAGAGAGAAAGCCACAGATCGAAAAAGCCTCCAATGGCAGAAGAGGCAAGGGGAGAAAAAAAAGGGTTGCCTCAGCTCAGTCCGAATCTCCAATGAATCGAAAGAGTCACAACTTTAGTGGAGGGGCGTTTCGGACACCGAATGGTCCAAAATCTGAGTGATGGAGCCGGTTTTGTATGTGGCGTGGGCCGAAGAACGGCGAGGCTCGTCTCCAGTTTTTTTTTTCGTCCGCTCCGAACTGAACAAGGAAATCTGGTTCGAGGGAATTTTTCAAACCGAAAGTGGCGGAACAAGGCACGGCAAAGCGGTTATTCGTCATCGCTTTTATCAATTGAGTCTTGATTTGATGCCCATCTCATCACTGTTTTACGCCGATGGTGAGTCTCAGATAAGACACAGACCCCTGGACATGAATCCAACCACTGCCGTTGAACGCATCCGTCTTACTTGGCTGTGGCGGCTTACGTATAAGAAGAGGGCAATGGTAGTAGTTGTTGTCCTATTGCAGCCAGTGGTAACAAAGATGATTTTCCTTTTCTTTCTCTCTCTCTGACTACTTCTCCAATTGCAATGATTAATTCACGATTTGCTTTCGTGAGACGCACCAACTTGTCCTTTCGAATGAATCCTATTCCCTTACTTGTGGCGCAACCTGGTGAGCCACAACATGCATGACATACCTAGAAACTCTGCTCAGCTATCATGATATCAAAAGAAAAAAACACATCTGCAGCAGAGAAGCCCTTCACACCGTATCCGGAGAAACAAGTGCTGAATACATCGTACACCCTATCCAGTGATTGCCAACACCCCGTCTATTCCAACACGCCCCTTGCCATGGTCCTCCCCTCGAATAAAAAGAATAACAACCAGCGGGAAACAAGATGGCCACCGCAAGGCCTTTGAAATATATAGCAAGAAACAGAAGAAAAAAACACCAATCCCCCGGTCGGAACCATCCGTGCGGAAGCCTTTTATTACAGTCCAGATGTCGTGTCGTCGTCCATTCGTCCGATCATCACAGTGATTAATCCGTCTCCTATCGCAGTGAGCTTTGGTCGAGCTGATCTTGGCCCAGGCCGGAAGCAATCCACTGCGTAATTAAAATCCTCTCGTCCCTCTTCTTTCCATCTTTCCAATATTTTTAAAACTTCTTCCTTTTTTTTCTTGTTTTGCAAGGCGGTTAGTTGATGTGCTTTCGCGGACGCAGGAAAGGGTTACTATAAGCTTGCACCCGCTGCCAGCTCCAGCCCCTGACCTTCTGCTCCCGCGAAAGTGAACTTATCCATGGGGAAATCTTCCTCAGGAGTCCGGATTCCTATGCCACTATCATCGTGGGAATCGGCAATCATCGGGGCTGAGTTGGTATTGTTTGGTGGTGGAAACGGCGCTCGGCCCGGCTGCGTGTGTGATACATGAGCCACGCTCACGTCGTCGCTGCCACTGCTGTATCGGGAAACCTGTCTGCTCGTGGGCTTGCTGGAGACCTGAGACTGAGGTTCTGCCGCCGGCATGGGTGCTTTGGCGCTTTCCTTCATGAATCCGCCTTGCTCGGCCAAGAAGCACGTCATCTCGTCCACCCACGTCTTTGTCACCCACCAGGAGCCAAAGCTCTTACCTTGGGCTAATGTGAGATCTCGCATGACGGCGGTCCCAACTCTTTCAACACACCACACAATATCTGCATGTGATGCATAAGGGAACTTTGCTGGCAGACTTTGCAAGAAATTGACCCATCTGTCCAAGACGTTCTGACCTGATGTGTCGACGCCAGCATCGGCGTCCGATTGACGACCACTGCGCGTGACCACATCCCCGTAAATTGTTAGACATTCCACCTCCCAGGGAACATTTGCCGGATCTAGCAAATCTCTAATTTCAGTCACGAGCAAGGTGACGACGTCGTCCATGCCGCGGGTTGGAACGCACTCGGCAATCTTGCGAGCGCGAATCATGGTGATCCAGTCGACATACATCTGATCGCGATTGGCCGGGTTTGAAAGCATATTGGCAGCCGCATGGGCCGTCAGATTGACGCGCAGGGCGCGATCCAACAGGGCTGCAAAAATGGCAGCCGGCGATTCCTTGGCCGTAATAACGTGCTGTGGCTGGCCTTGGAATGAGTCCCGAATATGGGGCACTAATCTCTCGGAAATGTTGCGGAGGGTGTCGAGAACTGGCTTGGGAACGACTTGAAGAGTCAAGCCAGAGACGATGCGCATCATGCGTTGATACAAAGCAATGTCGCATCCTTCAATCCATGGGGCGAGGGCCGGGTGTCCAAACAACTTCTGGACGGGCATGGTCAGTGTGCCCTGAAAAGACGTGTATAGGTGGAAGAAGGTCTTTTCACGGCAGTACCGAATGCACTCTACCAAGGATGTGCAGTGTGATCGGTACAGGGCGGACAGCGATTTGGCCGCATCGGGGTCGGTTCCATGAGGGAGATAGGATTCAATCGGAGGTAGAGCGATTGGCTCGGATTGCTCGAACGCGCTCTCATCTGGGGGCGGAAACGCCAGCTGCAGCTCCGTCTTGTTAGATGTAGCGTTCACGTTATCAATGTTGCTGAGGTCGGGGTGGTTATAGAGGCTGTGGGATCTGTTGGATGACTTGGTCGGTAGGGGGTTGATTTGAGGTTGTGTGGCTGTTTGAGGCGAAGGCAGTACATCCCGGCGAACATTGTTGTTGCCAGGCTGTGTTGGGACGCTGCAGCTGGATCAGTAACAAGTCTTATTATATAAACTAAATTCCAAATTTGCATCGTAGATTCGTCCTTGACTCACCCAAGGCTCTGAGAAAGACCTGCTGCAGCTTCCGGGAGCGCCCTCGGCGGCTGCGGCAGCGGCTCCTTCGCTTCTGGCTGATCCTCAGCGATGGCGAAGTTGACGTAGTGGTACTTTGATTCTCCTCGAACTCCAAGACGGCGTGTCTTGAGGCCGGGGAAGAGAACTCTGACCAACTTTCCGAAACTGGCTGGGTTCAAAACTGTTATTCTTTCGGTAGCGCATCGTGAGGCATAGTTGGCGTAAACTCGACCGCGAGGAACCGAACCCTTCCCTTTGGAACAGACCGAGTTGATCCTGCAAACGCACAAGGTCAGAATGAGCAATACTAAACACATAGAGCACACGGCGCATACCATAGCATGGCAAAAACCTGGCGAGTGCGCTCTGAGTTGGGCCCTCGCTCGTTCCCATGCAGCTCACGTGCCACGTCCTGGAGACTGCGATGCCGGTTCGCGCTGTAGAGATGTCGCATTTCCAGCTCGTTGTTGGCACTAGATCTTGTCGCCGTCTTGACGGCACCGGCGGCCCCCGTCATGGAGTCGGCGTCCTCGTTCTCTTCGCGATCCAGCATCTGGCTGTCGCCCTCGGTGAAGCTCGCATTGGCGCCGTACTGCTCGGCAGGCAGCGGATGCCTCGTCATTGTGTGATGTTGTTGATATTGCATGTGATGGGCCATGGCAGGTCCCATAGACCCATCAATAGAGAAGTCGTGGTTCGAGGACTGCATGTGGGTCGCCGCCTGCAGGATCATGTCTTCAGGGGACATTTGCGGTGCGGCGCCCATGTCTTTAGAGTGACCGTGGTGCTCGCTGGGGATCCATTGGCCGGTATAGAGAGATGAGGCCTCGGCGAAGGCTGTCTGGTCCAGATTGGACTGGGTAGCAGCGCTGTGAATCGACGTTGTTGAAGCGCGAGAGAGAGGCCGCTTCCTAGCCTTGGCCGTTGCGCGTGTCGCTGAATTATCTACAGGGGAGAAAGGAGTTAGCTGGCAGCGCCGTAGAAGAATGCAAAGAGAAACGCAATCGCACTAGCCGGGCTAGACATACCCTGTTCCATGGTGGGAGTCTGGCGTGGTTGAGTTTCAAGGGCTGAACTTTGGTCGTCAAAATGACTTTTGCTAGACAACAAACATTGGCTGTGGACCGGAGACACGAGCAGGTTTGGCGACCCGGATCTCGCCGCGACCAGACGCGAGCAAGGGTCAAAAAAAAAATCCCAAGATGGAAGCGAAGAAGGGGCCGGTTCAAGCGACTTTTGCACAGGAGCTGCACGGGCGATTCTCTCGATGCGCGCGCCTGGTGGTTGGTGCCGAGTCGGACTTTGGCTGCAGCTGTTGTTGTGATTTGACTTTCTGTTGCGAGGCCAACGAGAGGAGAAGAGCAGACGGGCAGACGCAGGACCCCAACTGGGCAAGAAGCCAAACTAGGCAAAACTAAACAAAAGGCAGAATAACAAACTTTGCGACATTAGGTAAGCAGGCTTGCACACTAATTAGGTGGAATTCCAGCTGTGGCCGAATTGTGAGGAGCGGGGCAATAACAAAAGAAGTTTGAAAGGGCTGTCATGTCATACCTGACGAATTATATGGAGGCTTTTTCTGAATAATACCTATGCATGAACCAAGGGATGCAGGAGAAACCAAAAACAAAATAGTATATTTTATTACTTTCTTTCTCATCTTGCCTGCTAGACTTGGAACTGCCAAATAAGCTGCAAATGCAGGTAGTCAACTGTACTCTATTGAGAGTGAAACCATATTACTCAGTGCACTATTAATGGGCTTTATCCAAGTTCAATTTCCTTGGTAGCTCCCGGATGCGGTGCCGGACAGCGCTTGTAATCCCGTAACAACACTCTCATATAGTAAGGTAGTTCATCATTCTGACAAGTACAGTAAAACATAAGAAGCGGTATGGCACCTTTTGGCTTCAAGCGGTTACTCTCCTGCTCAGTTCTTCAGGTTCGTATCCTTCACTCTACTCTCAGT